TTCTGCTGATAGATGGAAGACACTCCACCTATTCTAGATGGGGCAGTAATGCCTTGGAAGGAGGTTTGTAGCTTCAGGGTGTTCCTTGAGTCATCTTAAATACCTGAAGCCCAGCTGGATCCAGTGGCACAAAGTGCCTTCTGCCTGTGTTGGCTGGTGGCCCAGCTATGCCCCAACCTGGACAGGGATAGCCTGGCTTCAGTGTTCTACAGCAGATTACTACAGTACACTCTATGTTGGGCTGCCCTTGAAGATTGTTCAGAAGCTGCAGCTTGTCAAAATGTGATAGCCAGATTAAAAATGGGGACAAGCTAGTCCAAGCATGTACCACCTGCCTGCATTGAATGCCTATGTGCAGGTTTTAACTTGCACACATTGAGACCACAATATCTGATGGAATGTTTCTCCCATCCTCTATCTATCCAGCCTGAACTTACAGGATTTGAGGCTAGCCTCTACCAGCTGAAAGGTATGGAGGAAGAGGAAGAGGGACTTTTCAGTGGTGGCTCCCCACTTATGGAGCAAGATCCTCACTGAGGCCTGCCTGTTGCAGAGTTTAAAATATTTGTGTCAGTTTAAGAGTATTTTCTACCACAGGGCATTTAATCAGTTCACTGTTAAATTGGAGCTTTGCCAGTTGCTTAAACAGGTCTTACAATTTAATTTATATAAGCTATTGCAGCTGCTTGCATTTATATTTGTTTTAAATTTTGCATGATTTTTAGGATGTTTTATTGTTGCCTTTATTTTTATTGTATTTTACTTGTTGTAAGTCACCCAGAATGCTTCAGCTATTGGGTGGCACAGAAATGAGCTTAATAACGATGATTACTTTGGCACTCTGGCATTTTAGGGCTAAATCATGCCTGATAAAAACATTTCACTTGGAGAGCATGGAACTTTTTAAAAATTGTAAACAGTAGCAACTGAGTTCCCCATGCATTGTGAAGGAGGACAGTGCATGCGCAGGGGATCAACACTTTCTTTCCGTGCCACAGTCCCAGTGAAAATGGCTCTTAAAACATTTAGGAAAACAGCAGTTTTGGGGGAAAGGGGAGATTTGTGGGGATTCTGAGGCAAAAGCAATGTAAGTCACCTCCAGCTGGACTGTAGTCCTGATCTCATACAGTGGACGTCAGCACTGATCATTTACAACTGAAAAAAGTTTTCAAGTAGCTTTCAAGTACCTTGTTTAACATCATGTGTACTCTGGACCACATGCAAAGCTCTTTCCTCTAGATTGTTGCTGCACCCTTCTAACTGGAGATGCCATGATGGAGATTAAACCTGGGACCGCCTGCATGCAATGTATGTGTGCCACTGAGCTAGGATACCACTACATAACTTTAAGAGCAGAACTTTTTCTGATAAATGAGAAATATTTGGTGCACAGCTGAAATCCCTCTGTATCCCCAGTAGTGAAGAAAAGAATGTACCACTGTAATCCCATGCTGTAATTCTATCCAGAAAAGCTATAAATCAATTTCAAACAATGGATTTCAAAGTGCACACAGAAATATGGACCATAGCATTACTCTAAAGCTGCAAATTCTGCAGCAGTGTTATGTTTACTGTTCACAGGAGCTTATGCAGGTAAGCTCAAATTTATCAATGATACAAAGTGAACTGACAGGATCATAAACAGTTGGCAACCATGTTAGTAAGGTGAGAACTAAAAATAATGCAACATACCTGCTTGCTATTGCACTAACCACTTGTTTATAATTTTTGCCAAATGAGAGAAAAATTAGTACCTTTTCCCTTACTCAAATTCAAACTATCAGTGCAACAACAGCTGTCAACAAATTCAGTGAAAGTAACAGTTAAGTAAAAGCCAACTTTACTGATTGCTCTGAATATTTTTTATTTTTAGAAAACTAAGATATTTTCTATATTTCTAAATCACCTGCAGAGATCTGACCTGCAGAACGGAGAACCAATGCCCAACAAAGGCAAGACATTAATCTTGTATGTGGAATCCAATTTGGAATCCATTAATCACTTCTCCAAAATTATTGGAAACAAATGGGAATTGCTGTGAGAAATCATCTCTCCAACTAGGGCCACAAGAAGACATGCTAGGGTTAGACACATTATGAAAGTTATTCTGCATGTGTTGATTTGCCGTTAACTGGTGAATGCTGCAGTTTTGCAACAGAAATGAATGCTATTAACTACAGGACTGGAACTAGAGACCCATGTTCAAATCCCAGTTATAAAGCTCACATAGGCCAGGCATTTGCTCTCAGCTCCTCCAAGGTCACAGGCTTGTTATGATGGGGGAGAAGAACTGTGTGCACCAGGCTGAGTTCCCTTAAGGAAGGGTGTGGTAAAAATGTTATAATACTTGCTCTGTTCCAGTAATTTTGTGTGCCTCTATCTCAGTAAGATGCTTCTGGATTGAGAATTAGAGATATTGTGTTGCAGCCTTTTTGCTCCTACTTGATGGATTTGAATTAAAGGAACTACAAGGTGAAGGATGGGTTCTTTAGATACTAAGGATGCAATGCTATACCCTGATGCACATAAGCTTCTGAACGCCGAGGCTTAAGTGCCCAGAAAACAGTGTGGCAGATTGTCACTGCTGTTGTGCCTTGCACTGAGTATTTTATCTAGGCAGCTGTTTTCAGCTGTAAGGAGGGGTCGGGAAGGGGGCTTGGACACCAATAAAAATCAGTGTCTATCCTCACTCTCAGCATGCCCCTTCCTCATCTTCTAGAGCTCAGTTGCAATTCTGGAACAGCTGGCATGGTTCTTTCCATGCTAGCTGCAAGGGAGAAGGTATGGAGGGTTAGCCTTTACAGATCTCAGGATCTTGGAGCTGGGATCCTGAATAATCTTATGGTATCCCAGATAATGTCAGAAGGCTGCACCTGAATGTCAGGATCAGAGGGTTGGACAGAGATTCAGGTAGGAAAATTCCCTTTGCTCACAGATTGGTAAAGCAGAATAAACATAGAAAATGTTTATTGCTCTTCCCATTGGATTCCTACCCCCGTCCAATGCATTAGGCCTTAATTTCCTGCTAAACAGGAAACTTTACACCACTTGATCTATCCAATATAAGTACTCAAATGACATTCTCCAAACAAATCCCACCAATTGTGCTGATATTGAAGATTATGGTTCCTTATTGTCACAAAGATTTACCCATAATCTACAAAATGTTCTGAATGTTTACAAACCAAAGAAGGAATAAATTAACATTGACTAGCAACTTCCAGTTATGGGATGACTTAATGGGAATTCTGGTCATATGCTCCTAGTGTATCTTAAAGAGTGCCTATGAGTAACCATTTCTACTGAAGGGTCTATGTGATAATTCATCATTTACTGCCTGATGAGTGTTCATATTTTCAGAAACCCCTCCCAAGCTTTGCTCAGACAGCAGTTTTCTGCCTTGCTGGCAGTATAAATTAGCATTAAGGAAGTACATGACCTTGAAGCAACACAAGAAAAAAGACAAAGAGTTCTTGTGGAACATTAAAGACGAAACAATTTATTCTAGCATAAGCTTTCTTGGACAGCATCCATTTCATTGATGGACACGCCATCATGGAGAAAGTCCACAAAACTGGCAGTGCTCAGTGCCAAAATGATCAGGCCCACAGGCCAAAAACAAAAAATGCATATGCCAATCACTTTTCTACTATATAGGCTCAATTTGTAAAAAGGAAAGGGTGGACAGGGGAGCGGAGGGCATTGACTTCAGAGGAAAACCTCAAGCAGGAAGATGGAGGGAGCAAAACACATATGGGCAAAAGGGAGATGAGATGCAACAAAAATAATCAGGGCTCTTGTACCTTTATTTTAGCAAGTGCTCAGAGACAGCAGCATGGTGGGCCAAATGGCCTCCCAGAAATTTGGGGCTTCAGCCCAAGTGTAACAACTGCTCTGTCATAATGCCAGAATAAGTGTGTTAATTTGTTTTGCTACAACACAGTAATGCAGCTGCGCCTCTGGAAAGGAAAAGAAAGCAGTGGAGCTCCAGCTTTTGGATTGCGCCAGTCTCTTAAGGTGCATGCCTATGCGTATGTTTGGACTACAACTCCCAGCGTTCCACAGGCAGCTATGCCTAAACATGCGCCCTTAGGCCACACTTTTACCGGTTCACTTCAGAGCACGCCCCACTGCATTCTATGTAGACAGGTAAACAATGGCCCTATTTTTTCTCCCAGGTCCTGCGTCTGGAGCAACGGGGATTCACTAATAGATTGCCCCAGGCGCGTTGAACATTGCAGAATGTGCCTACTCAGAGTGAACCCAAATACAAATTTCCCCCCATTGGTAATACTCAGATAATCCTGCGGGACTCCTGCTTATAATTTGCAGGAGTGTCGTCTGCGCACAAGTAGTAATATCTAGAAAATACTTCTGTGTGCGCTTTTTAAGCCTGCGACTCGGACAAGAGCATAAATATTAGCTCTAATCCTTACACAGACTCTATCCTGGCACGCTGATTTTCCTCAAGGAGAAGAATCTAAGCCTCCTCCGCAGCCTGCAATAGTACAGCCCAGAATTCTACCACGTCCTCTCTGTCTCCCGCTTCGTTCCACCAAGTGCCTCCACATGGCGTAGCGATGATATTAGTATTACTACTAGTAGTAGTACTACTACTATTATTATAGGTGGTGCTCGCAGAAGGATCGTACCCCGCGGTTTGCCCTCTCCGTCCTTCCCCTAAAAGCGATCTCTCCCTCAGAGATACGGGAGCCTCTTTCCCACTTCCCAAAGCATTTGTATCTCACCTTTTCCACCCCCGCCTCCCGCCTTTAGTACGTGGGCGTTCCCTCCCTGTCAGGAAGCCGTCGCCCTCTGCCTCTTCCCGGCTGCCTGCTCTGCGCATGTCCCCGTCGCTCAATAGGGAAGCGAGGTGAGGAAAAGCAGCGGAGGGAGGAGAGCGACGGCCGCAGCAGCGACAGATCAAATCAGCTGAGCCCGTCGCGTGACGCGCTGGGCAGCGGCGGCGGCTGCGCGTGCGCGCCGTGGGTGGCTTCCCTGGCCGAGCGAAGATGGCGGCCTCCAGAGCCAGCCTCTGAGGGAGGCAGGAGAGTTTGAGAGGGAGCGGCTCCAGCCCAGCCCGGGAGAACCCGCTTGGCAGCGACTGAAGCAGCTCCAGGTGCTGCTGCTGGCTCGTGGCGTGTCTTTGCAGCGAGGTTTGGGGGGGCTGGTTAGCGCTGCTCCCCGGGCAGGTAAACTGGTGGGATCGCCCCCCAGGGGGAGGGAGGGAGGGAGGGAGGCTGAGGGGAAAACGCCGCCGCTTTGCTAGCAGTGGGGGTGGGAAGGGGAAGCTACGGTGGGTGGGGATAGCCTTCCCCCATTGTCAGCTGATCCGGTGTCCCCCCCCCCCATTGATTCATCACACACGCGCGAGTTACACGCTCTCACCCGCCCTCACCTTGGAGGCTGAGAAGTGGGAAAAGGCAGCTATCGCTCTCCTCTGCGCTTTTCCCTCAGCCTTGTCTACGGAAGCTGTAGCTGAACTTGCAAAAGCCCTACTCTTTTGTTTCGCTTTCTTTTCCGTGCTCAAAGCAACAGGAAAAACATTTTCAGCAAGTTTCTTTTCAAGCATAAAAACATGCATGTTCTGTTCTTATACGCACCCATAAATGCATATTGGATTGGGGTTGGGACAAATTCGGAGTTGTCTTCTCCCGCTGCTCCTGCTCCGTTAAGCTGGCTCTAACCTTTCCCGAAAACTTTTGCATCTGTTATGCAGACATACAAAGCATCTCTTGCATGCTGTGTTTGGTTCTTGTGTATCGGACGCACTATGCATACGCCCTGTCTTGATGAAAATGACTTAACAGAGACGCTGAAACCTTTAAAATTGATAACATCTAGGCGTTTGCCTTGGAAATGTGCTGGAGTATGTAGTAGAAAATGTATTGAACAATGTGCATTATCCTCTACCTTTGTGTTTTCATATTAATGATGAATGGAATCTTTGCACAAGTGTCCCTGAATTTCAAGATGCTGTGATTGAGAAATCATATTCTGTTTAATTCTAGATGACAGTACCTTGTAGTGCAGTATGCATTTTGAGTCCTGGGCTGCTTCTAGAAAGGGATTTATGCCATTCCTCTCCTTTGATCCCTCCCCCGGTGGGAAACAGAACTTATTCTTGTTCACTGGAGGCTGTGACTTTTACAAAGAGAGCCTATTTAAGAGCTTCTGTTCTCACACAGAGGCAGAATGGAGAAAGAAGCTCTTTAGCAAGGTGTTAATGCATGTGGTTGTCTTTGGCATGAAAGAGTCTGTACAAAGAACCCTACAGCCCATCTGGGGTGTTTTGTATTGGCCTTGGAGATATATGGGAATAGAAGTTTTACATGTATAAGGAGGAGCTAAGTAATTTTTTTTTACTTGCCATCATTTAATCATTAACATCCAGAAATATACTGTCTTTTGTTTTAGGCCTTGCAAACTCTTATCTCTAAGTTGTACATTTTTCTGCTGTTGTTACTTTTTATGGTGGGGGTGGCAAATAAGTATGTTATCTTTAGAAATTAAACTATTTAGAATAGCAGTGAAATTTTCTATACACAATTTTGTGAATGCAAGTTCAGGAATGCCTATCTTCCCCCTAAGAAAGCATGCCAATTAACAAGTAAGAATTATAAGAGAAAGCACATGAAGTTCTGAATGCTGGATATTGATAAGCAAAATATTCCTTATGTATGCTCTGCCTTGAAGCTGTCAGTTAGATTAACAACTGTGTTGTTCAAGGACAGCAGAGCAAATGCAACTTACCAAAAACATTAGTTTTTCTACTTTTTCTTTATATTAGTGTTGACGGATTTTAACATCTTGTTGGAAGTGTGATTCTTGTAATGTGTAGTGCATTTCCATAAATGTCTACTAAGAAATTAGCCCATTGAATTCAGTGGAACTGACTGCCATGTAAATGTTTATGGAATTGCAGCCTTAATATCTATTGTTTTGAAACTAATAAGTGAAGAAATACAGTGTGAGAGAATCTTTTCATATACACTTCCCCCATAAATTCTCATCCTTGGTTTTGCAATTAGAGAGATAAATGTTACACATCTTGAATAGAATAATAATTTACTGATTTTCTAACTAATTAAATCAATAGACACTTGATAGCATCAATGAAACACAATAGCAAGATGTTTTACATGACATTTGTGACTTTGCAGTGAATGAATTTAACAAATTGTCCATTCTGAGGTGATAATTTTAAGTTTGAAAAAGCACACAATAGGTAAGTTATATAACTATGCATTATGAGGACAGTGATGGATCAAGAAATGAGTAAAAATCTGCACGTATTCCACTGTGCTTAAATATGATACATGATAATGTTCAAATACAGTTTCTAGGTGCTTGTTATTTGTACTGTAGAATTTTGTGAGTTGTCCTGGAAATATCTGGAAGAACAGTATGTTCATTCATAAAATAACAGTTTATTAAGGCCCAAAGCAAAGTTTTTTTTTAAGTTAATCAGCTCTTATGAGGGTCTTCAGTAGTGCCGGTGTCTTTCCATGGCTGTAGGTGCACCATGCACCTACTAATGGCAGTGTTTGAAGTATGCAGAACAAACCTGTTTTGATATCTACCAATAGATAAATAATGTATTAAGCTTAAATTTAAGTACAAGCTGAAGCATATTTTTTTAAATCACTGTTTTCTGACTTCACATGTTTACATATTGAGTCACGGCAGTTATTTTAGTATTTACTAAAGCTATCTATTAAAAGAACCTATAAAAAAGGACAAGATTACAGTAAAAATAGGGTCCAAAGGAGATTGTTTAGCACATATGTGATGCAAAGAATTCCATGAAGTAAGCAAAGAGATACTAGAACTAAAATTATTAATGTATGGATACATGCCTGTGGCTATGTTTTAGTATGTACAGTCCAAAGGAAAATTAATACGATTTTTTGTTATTAGATTACCTTTTGGCTTAATAACATTAGGATGAAAATCAGACAAGTCATTTAAAAATGATGAAAAATCATTATATTCCCCATGTCTAACAATGATTATACTGCAAAGCTTGGCTGGCTGTTTTACAAACAAGATTCTCTAAACAATAAACAATGAAGAATGCAGCATCTTGGAAGTTGAGGACTTGCAATAATTTGCTTTATCTAGTGCTGAGAAAAGATAGTATGAAAAGGGTGAAGCTTGTCTGTGGCAACAGACTGTATTTAACAGTACCTTCAGTAACTTAAGGTGCCATCCTATGTAAGTTTACATATTAAAAAGCCTACAGCTCCCAGAAATCCCTAGCCAGGATTCTAGTGGTTATGATTTACTCCCATATTAGCTGTATTCCTTATAGCTTCTATTTCTAAGCAATTTGCTTATTTAATTGTGCTAAAAAATCAGTCCAAGTTCGCACTTTGCCAAATGCATACCCCAGTGTGAGTTGAGTTTGCGTATAGAAAGGATATGAACTTGTAGGGTTTGAACAGAGCTGGCTTGTCTGGGAATATAACTTTATTTCTTGTAGAAAAGGGTGGTAGTTCTTGAAGCTTTGTGTAATCACAAAATAAGGATTGAATTTTGTTTACTATATGTCTTTCCTTCCTGTTTTCCTGTAAGGAACTCAAGGTGGCTTGTATAATTTCTCCTCTATTTTGTCCTCACACCAGTTCTATGAGGTAGGTCAGGCTGCTTCATGGCCAAACAGGAATCAGAACCTGGATCTCCTGAGTTCCAGTTCTGCACCCTAAGTGTTTTTATCACACATGTGGTCAAATCTAATCTACATAATCAGCAGAATGAGGTAATAGGATCGAGCTGGGGTAAGCCACATGGCAACTAGAGACACCAGCCCACCTTAGGACTCCTTCCATGACCAGGGCATCATATCTATTTCACTGATTTTATTTATTTATTTATTATTTAAAACATTTTTATGCCGCCCCCATCACAACGAAGCCTCGGGGGGGCTCACAGCAGGATGCAAAGTACATAAATACATTAATAGTAATAATAATAATATAACAATTTTTTAAAAATTGTTTAAAAGCCCCCGGTGCATCTCGGCTAAAAATTTAAAATCCTGTTAATTCAAATAATTTAAATTATTTAATTATTTTAAATTTATTTTAAATAAGTAAATAAATAAAATTTTATTTAATTATTTTAAATTAATTATTATTTAATTATTAAATAATTAAAATAAGTTTTAAATAAAAAGGTCTTAGCCTGGCGCCGAAAAACAAATAAAGATGGCGCCAGGCGGACCTCTCTGGGGAGCGCATTCCGTAGATGGGGCGCCACCACAGAGAAAGCCCTCCTCCGGGTACTCACCCTTCCTAATATTCACAGAGGGTTCCCGGAGAAGGGCATCTGTTGCCGATCTCAAGGGGTGGGAGGGCATATATGGACGCAAGCGTTCCTTTAGATATCCAGGTCCCAAGCCGTTTAGGGCTTTATAGATCATAACCAACACCTTGAATTGGGCCTGGACTTCATTCGGGAGCCAGTGGAGCTGACGGAGAACTGGGGTTATATGAGAACAACGCCCAGTCCCCATCAGCAGCCTGGCAGCTCTATTCTGCACCAATTGAAGTATCTGGACCGTCTTCAAGGGTAGCCCCACGTAGAGCGCGTTACAGAAATCTAATCGGGAAGTTACCAGCGCGTGTGTCACTGTTGCCAGGCAGTTGTTCTCCAGGAATTCATTTTAATGAATGCTTTCTCTGGAATTGCTTTGGAATGAATTTCTGTTGTTGCTGAAATCTGTGGGTTCAAAGGAAATGTTCAGTGTGTTGGAGTTCATACTCCTGCATTGCCTTGCTCAGTCTTTTGAGCAGGTTATTGCTATGCTTCTCATGGCACCTGTTTCATGTTGAAGCCCAAGAAAGTTTATCAAAGCATAAAATTTATCTAGTCCAAAAGGTCTGTGTACCCCTGAAATAGATTGAGTTAGATTGTGACTAGATGGCAAGTTATGCATACTTTTTAATCAGGATTTATTGTAAGTGGAAATCCAATGCAGGGGTCAAAGGGCTGAGAGAGAACCTTCCCTTTTGATAATGTTAGTTCTTAATTGCTATTTCTAGGGTTTTTTTTTTTAAATAAGGGGAAAAAGACAAAAGTGATAAGTCTGAAGTGATACAGTCTCTTGTAACACCTCATTCTACATCCTGTTGGCTCTGTAGACACAAATGTAGCTGCTGAAATGAAAGTGAGAGCAGTTCTAAAGTATAGCTGAAAGTCAGCATCTCTTAGTTTACTTGTAATATTTGGTAACTGCTTTAGCAAACCTGCACTAGCATACTCCTGTGTACAGAATATATTGATGCTTAGCAGCAGAATATGTTAAAGATAATAACTCTTATTAATGCAGAGCTTTTTTTGTTACAGATTCTGGCACAAAATGAATATCATTAGGGAAAATAAAGATTTGGCCTGTTTCTACACAACAAAACATTCATGGAGGGGAAAGTAAGTAGCCTGGCTTATTTTATTCTCCAATTTGAGGATAATTGTGGCATATTAAAACCTATCTCCAAAATCCAGCTGTGAACTCTCAATTTATTCAATTACAGTTTCTTTGGACTTGAATACTCTAATCATCCTACAGGCCCCCTATGTTTATTCATAATTTCCTTAATTGTTAGTCTGTTGCAACAAAAGTAGCAAAGCATCTTGTTGTACTTTCAAGACAAACACATTCATTATGGCATAGTATTTTGTGGACCGGGCCTATTCCATCAGATGCATGAAGTCTTATTGTCAAAATTGGCACATTTATACACACATGCTGACAAGGTAGGGGATATAAACTATGTGGTTAGAGGGAACTGAAATGCAAAACAGACAGTGGTAATTATATCAGATGTCATTTACAGCATGGTGTTAGTTGATAGAACCAACATAATTGCAAATGTGAACAGATTAACATGTAATTTGATTAAAAGCCCAACTCCTTTCCTTGTTCAAACCACAAAAATACTGCTGAGTCACTTGATGAACTGTACTTAAGAAATTTTGCATTGAAAGCTATCTTTGAAATTCATTTTTCAAGAATGTCTCTGTTAAGGTTATTTACAGTGTCTGAACAGAGTGAAGTGTTGATATTAACAAGCATTGGTATTGAATTACCAAAAAACAGCCTGCTTTCATGTAAAAAATATTTTGGCTGATTTCTTAGTTTGAGGACTAAGAAATGCAGTCTGTTATGTTGAATGGTCTGTTATATATTCTAAACTAGAAAAGTGACTATCCTGTATACTAAAAGCAAACTTATTTTATGGGCATGAATCCTTATATAACCAAAATGGCGGTATCCATGCAGAAAAGGTATCAGCAGACTTGTGGAGAATGCAAGGTTTGCATATGTGGAAAAAATCTTGAGCAAAAAAAAGTGAAAACAAAACAAAAACTCTGCTAAGGAAGAAAATTCCCAACAGCACAAAAAGGGGGATCTGAGCACGGTTGTAAAAATGCTAGTTGGCTGTTGAAGTGAGAGGATGGGGAGCAAAACTGGAATGGAATTTCCTGAAAGTGGACAGAACTGCCTGGCATTCTACACAGGAATATTGACACTACAGCATTTTGTTGCAGGACTCTTAGTAGGCAATTCCTTCTTATTTTTTCCTGATACATGTAATGTATAACTACATCTTATTCATATATAATTTCAGTAATGTGAGTTATAACATTGCAGTGATACAGCAGATTATGCAGGTCACTTCAATAATAATAATGATAATAATTCTATACCACCCATAGCTGAAGCTCACTGGGTGGTTTACAAAAGGTATAAAACAGTAAAATACAATTTTGATTGATTAATTGCAACATTTGTATACTGTTCATCAGCCAAAGCAGGCTTCCTGGAGAGTTCACAACATCAAAATATATACCAACAATCAGTAACATATACAATTATAAAATAGTACATCAGATAGAACAAAAAGGACAAGTGTAGGCAACTGGGTTTCCTCCAGATGTTTGGGGTTACAACTTCTGACCCTAGTTATGCTCCTTAGGGCTTATGGGAGTTGTGCAAAAAGCTGGAATGCACTAACATACTTACTTGAAACATGCTCAGGTGCACAGAGGAAACTTTCCTTACTCCAGTTAAAGGAGGGTCATGTGTATAATTCATATGAAAGAAGCTGTATGAGGATTCATGGGTTATTTGTAAAACAAAAATAATTTCCTCTACAGTTTCAGTTTTCTGATAGTGTAATTCTTGATAAAGTGTGGCTTCTAGTTTATCTTTCCTTTATGACATTATTGTGATCAAAATCAATTATTTTGTTATACCAAGCTGCATATATTACTAATCCATACAATAATTAGATTTCCATAACTTTTCAAACTATTTTGTTTGCTTTAATTTGTTTCATTGTTTTTTGATCTCCAAAACAATTTATATTGCATGTGATCGGCATTACTCAATTCAGTATTAATTAAATAATATAAATTATGTTATTTTGATATTTAATTATATTAGATAAAATTATAATTTAGCACTATGTGCATGAGAAAAAGGAAATCCTTACTACTTCCTTCTTCATTCCTGATTGTGGTTTAAAATAAACTGTAGTTTATTTAACAAATCAGCAAAACAATCCAGTGTTTATTGTTTGATTGTTTAACAATTGGCTAGAGTATTTTTTCAATCATAATTTCTGGGGCTAGGTCAAAACAGGAATCTGCTAAAATGAAACAGAATTCTAGTTTATTCCTCTTCCCAGTGATCGAAGAAGAAAAGAGAGTGATGAACACAAGAATCTGAAGCTTTGCTTGGGCTCTTTTCAGTCTGTGCACATAGTGCTAATCTATAGTTTAGCATGACATGCAAACACACCTATTGTCTTACTGCTGTTATCTTCAGGTTCTGTATTAAATTCCTTTTAAGTAAGGCATTTAATTGTTCCAATCATGCATACTGTTGGTTTATAACTTCACCTAAGATTTCATTTGGGATATTCTGGGAAAAAACTTGATGAGCTTGGCTTGTTTGGCTGTTCATTTTTGCCACTGAGTCAAAGGACAAATCTAATAGTTTTTTTAAATAATGTTTAGCAGATTTATTTCTTTATAGATAAATAATTGATTAGTCTTTTCTGACCTTAAGTGATATTACATACTCTTAATTCTTGCTTTACTTGCCTATAATACATGTAAACCAGTTATTTCCACTCTGGTCATATTGAATTGTGTAGCTAAATTATTAATTTAACTGCTTTCAGTAATTTCCATTGATGGGACAAAATTTAATGTATGTATAAATATTATAATATCAGTGCAGAAACTCAGTTTAATAATCCTGATTCTTTGCTCAGATTCTTCAGGTGCTTCAGTCATTTCTTTTCTCTGAACCCAGGAGTTCAGAAAAGATGGCAAGAGTGCAAAGTGGGACATATGTGTCTAATACCTCCATGTAGTAATGTTTAGATTAAATACAGCATTGTATATTGATATGACTTGTGTTCTTTCAAAAACTTTTCCGTTTTCCCCTCCCCACATACCAGATTTTCTACTTAACCATGGTTACATTATATTGTGTACTCTTTTACTGTAAATCTGTTTAATAATATTAATGTAGGATTGTGTAATAGCAGAAGCTTCAGGTTACCAATGAGATCTCAAAATTTGCATGTTAGAATTTTCCATCTGAGGATGAAACTCAAAGTTGGTAGTCCAGTAAAATTGACCTCTAATGTACAAATGTGCAGATGTTTTATTGGACTTTCAGCCAAGTGCTTAATTTTACATCCTTTTTTCTTGTCATGGTTTAGGTATAAACGAGTATTTTCAGTTGGAACTCATGCCATCACAACATACAACCCTAACACATTAGATGTTACAAATCAGGTAATAATATTTGCAGACTATTTTATATATTAACATAAAAAATAAATGTCTTATATGGCAGGTGCTGTTGGGAGAGAGAAAACTCAGAGAACTGGTATCAGTTGTGTAAAAAATAGCTGTTGGCAGCAGTTAAATTGCAATTAGCTTTATGTTTGCATAATCTGTAGAAGCTTTGCAGATTATATTGCAACTTAATGGAGGGGGAGAATAACATTTTAAAAGATAGCTAGAGTAGTCAGTTTCCTTGTGTCCGTACTGAGTTAATTAGCATCCCTGCCTGGCAACTATTGTTGTTAAGGAGACTGAAATCTGAAGGACTCCAGATTTAATTACAATATGTAGCTCTTGAATCTCTGATCTCCATATTTCACCTGAATGCCTGCACATTACTGATTGCTCTTTTTTGATGTCATGGCTTTAAGAATATAAGGAAGCCAGGCTGGCTCAGACCAAAGGTCTATCCAGTCCAGCATTCTGTACACATGGCGGCATACAAGCTGCCCACGGGATCCCTCAAGCAGGTTGGATGCAAGACCATCTCCTGCCGAGGCTCCTAAGCAACTAGTGTATGTAGGCATTCCACCTCTAATAAAGGAGGTGCCACATAGCCAGCAAAGCTAATAGCCATTGATAGCCACCTCCTCCATGAATCTGTCTGATCTCTTTTTAAAGCCATCCAGATTGGTGGTCATCACCACTTTCTGTGGCAGCAAATTCTATAGTTTAACTGTACTCTGTGTGAAGAAATAATTTTATCTGTCGCAAACCACCTACCAATTACTTTCATGGGATGACCCTGGGAGAAAAATTTCTCCCTCTCTGCTTTTACCACAGCATACTTTATTTTAAACACTTCTATCATGTCTCCCCTTACTTGCCTTTTTTCTAAGCTGAACAGTCTTAAGTTAGCTGTTAGAGGAGTAACCACTCCTCATAGGGGAGCTGCTCCAGCCCTCTGATCATTTTTGTTGTCCTTCTCTGTACTTTTTCCAACTCTCCAATGTACTTTTTCAGGTAAGGCAATCAGAACTGAACACAATACTCCAAGTGTAGTCGCACCAAAGATTTGTATAAGGGAAGTAAGATTTTGGCAGTTTTATCTGTCAGTTCCATTCCTGATTATGCGTAGCATGGTGATTGCCTTCTTCACAGCAGCTGAACACTGGACCAGCATTATCATCAAGCTGCCTACCACTACCTGAAGATCCCTTTCTTGTTTAGTCACTGCTAGTTCAGATCCATCAGTGTGTACTTGAAATTGGGATTTTTTGGCCCAACATGCATTACTCTACACTTGCTTATATTGAACTGTATTTGTCATTTTGATACCCATTCTGTACAGAGCAAATGGCCAGTATGAAATACCTAGGACTGCTGATGTCAGAAGGCCCTAATGTTCATAAATGAAAAATGTGAATCTTAATTTTGGAATTTTGCATGCTGTGCTCAAACACTTAGGGCACTGCTATGATATATTCAACAAATACAGATGGATGGATGGATGGATAGCACTATGGAAGGCATTGCAGAGGTTTTATTTGGCTTGTTTTTCTGTGTCTTGTGATTTTAGAATCAGTTAAGGCTGTAAATTTCAGAATACTGTTGGGAAAATGGAATTTGATGGACATTCCATTAGTGTAATTCCCCATCCTGCTGACTATTAATTTATCTATCTGGCTGTAAATCCTGTTACAAATGTCTTTTACAAGCAGTTTCAGTGTTTTTCAGTGTTTTCAGTGTTTTAATATACTGATTCCTAAGGCTAGCAGCCTAACCTTTCTTGTTTGTCACACCCTACATGTAGGGTGTCGAGACATAATTTAAGTTACAATTTATAATAAACTTTTAGTAATGTACCACCTGACTAAAATATTTCTAATAGTTTATCTCGGTAGAGGTATTCCTTTTTTATGGTGATAAAATGAAATATTCTCTGATTCTAATTTTTTGGTTTAGTGGCCTTATGGAGACATCTGTAGCATCAGCCCTGTTGGAAAAGGTCAAGGAGCAGAATTCAACCTAACATTTCGAAAGGGAAGTGGGAAAAAGTCTGAAACACTCAAGTTTTCTACTGAACACAGAACAGAACTCCTTACAGAAGCCCTGGTAGGATCTTTCTGAATAAAAAATTCAGAAATTCTTTGTTACATTACAGACTCTTCTGCTAACCATAGGGAAATAAGAAATGTGCATTTTCTGCTGAATGGCATACTTTACATTAAAATGTAACATAGTGTCATTTTTAACTAGCTATGGTTGGGGGCCAGACTGCAAAATGTAAAATAGCTATTTGGCACTCTTCTGCAGTCATTGAAGAGTTTTCTCGGCACCGCCCTTCTGCTTGTGCAACTGCTTGCACATGCAGAACATTAGAATTAGTTTGACTTTTCTTGTGCAGTGCTCTAATACAACTTTATTCAACCTAGTGCCCTTCAAATCTGTTGGACAAAAAGTCTCATAATCTTCAGCCTAAGTATTGTGGGAATCGTAGTCAACATATTTAAAGAGTAATGAGTTGAGAAAGACGTAAAATGGCCTTTTCTGCTAATGGGTGGTTCCTTCTATGAGTTGAAGGGAACCTTTGCATCCCATCCAACATGACTTGTAGTTGTCTTGTAGATACTAGAAACATAAATTGTTGGTACAATTAACATTAATTCTTTTTTTCTTTCATCCCAGAGATTCAGAACTGATTTTGCTGAAGGAAAAATCACAGGAAGGGCAAGTATTTTTCATCCCAATTGTTTAAGTCTCCCTGACTATTAGAAGCTTTCCCTTGTGTGCTGAACCTTGTACAGGTCACTTTGTGGGAGCTGGGAAATACCTTTTAGCCCAGTCAGATTGGCTGGCAAATATGTTGTTTGTGGTTTCTGTCTAATCAGCATGTCTCTCTTGACTGAATACTGCAGAAGGAGGATGTGTAAAGACACTCAACTTTGTGCCAACAGCCTGTGAAACCAGGACCACAGGGTAGCAATGTGTGAGGAATTTGGTTTGGGAATTCATCAGATTTCCTTAGCTTGGTTCCTCGGAACCAAGGAACCTGCTTTCTCTCTGCTCATGTCAAGCCTTCATGTGAATGTACAGGAGGAAGTGAGTCCAAGTACATCCCTGAGGCCAGCTTGTGAACACAGCACCTGTGGAGCTGCCGTGCAAGCAGAGTTCTGCTTCTGCTGAAATGACTTGCAGGCTTTACATAGTTACTGTTCTTCACCCAAAGAATTGTGTACTTTTCATACTTTGTGCAAAGAATAGCATACTTTCATGCAAAGAAATGGTTAGCATTCCCAAGTGATCACAGACTCTGTCTCAGTTTGGCTTACTTCCTGACTAGGGCTGAGTGCAGGAAATAAGTCTGGCAAGCACAAGATAGCTGTAATTCGACTTTGATTTTTTCAGCCCTATCATGAGGAAGTTTACTCCTCTCTCCTGAGAAGAACACTATGATAAGGTGAAGATCAGCCTGGCCCCAGTCATTGGCCAGAGAAGGAACAGCTACAGAGAGTTTGCATTACATCTACCTGCTCTAACTTTCAATTGCTCTGGGATGTCAGTATTGAGGGAAAAGGTGGTTCTTCCTGCTAGAACAGCCTTCACCAGCCAGAAGCCTAAGGGTAGCCTTTATATTGTTTTATTGTGTTATAAATTGCATTCAGCATTGTTGAATCAAAAAGACAAGATTTAAATATTAAACAATTTTCTTAACCCATAGTTATTCATTCATTTATTACATTTATGTACTGCCCAGTAGCAAAAGTTCTTTGAGCAGCTTACAAAGATCAAAAAGCTTAAAATATAGAATTTTGTATAATTTAAATGCCATTTACATAGAAACATATAATAAACACAGGCACAGACTGGGGTGGGCAGCCTCAGACTTGTAGAATCTACCTTAAATTTTACTTGAACCTTCAGACAAAATAATGACTAGGACAGGTGGGCATATGCTAAGATGTTTAGGAGCTGGCTCATTAATTCACAAAGGTTTAGCTACTGTGATGTAGTAATTAGAGTGTTGGACTGGGACTTGGTAGACCTGAGTTCTAGTTCCTGCTTGGCCATGAAGCCAACTGAGCAACTTTGGATCAGTCACTGACTCTTAGCCTAACCTATTTCACCCAGCTGCAAAGATAAAATGGAAAGCAGGATTAGTTAAACTGCCTTGGATTCCATGTAAGAGGAAAAGGCAGTATATAAATGTAATATAATAATTATTATCCCTGGGCACATGCTTTAAAACAGGAAGTTATGGTCCTGCTTTTACAAAACCTCAGTTCCTGGCATTTCTCAACACATTCATTTCAGAAACTTTTTTTGTGCTGGGTGGAGAGCTCACTGAAGCTCCTCCTTTGTTTCTGAGCTTCCTTCAGTTCCTTGCCCTTTATTCTCCCTGTGGTTACCCAGAAACTTCCTGGTTAATTTTTAAGCCAGCTGGTATAGGGACTATTCCTGGTAGCAAATCATAGAAAACAGTCCAGAAATCCAGGGTTTTGGTGTAGCTGTGATTGGACAGTAGTCTTTTCACCCCAAAGCAGAAATTAATGATCCTTCTAAGTTGAGAATTGCACACCCCACATTTGTAACCATTATTTTTTTCCCCTGCCGGTGCTGGTAAAGTTCATGGATACCCGTGTTACAGAGAGCAGAGCTATGGCTGAGAGAGCGTGACGTATGACATCCCTGCAGAGTAGCTCAGGATTAAATTCATTTTGCTGGAGGTAGAGGAAACAGAGAGATTTGTGACAACCCTGCAGTATAGACTACTGTTATTCAAACTCTTGGAATGTAGGGCTTTTCTTAGGGGTGATGGTGTTGATTTGTAGTGGCTGTGCAGTTAAGAGATGGACAGGTTAAACTTTGCTAGGGAAAGAACTGAAGGTCTTGGTTGTGGATGGCAAGGGATTTGGACATCCAGTTTACTCATTGATGGATGTCAGGTCCTCCCACTGAGAAGCAGTGAAGAGGCAAACCTCTATAAAAGTTTATGAAGGGCCAGGTCTACCAACTCAGACTTGATGCAAAGTGTTGCTCATTGAGCAGATCTTCCAGACGCAAGAGACCTGTATTCTGCATATACATATGTTTCCTCCTCAGTGCAAAAATCTACTGGGTGCCCATGTTTAAGCATGCTATCAGCTGAACTTACAGTAACGGAAACCATCAGTGGCTTTTGTGTTATTTGGCTTACATCCAGCTTTATTGAGCCATAAGCCACACGTATGTGAGAGAAAGGGGAAATGAGAACCTAGTCTGTTGAATTTTATGATCTGTACTCGTATACATGTATTTCACAGCGTTTAAATCTTGCTGTAAACTGCTTTTTTTCTTCACATAGAACCTAATTAATCCAACCTAACTATGACCAGCTTCAAGTTATATATTCCTATACAGAAAGCACATGTGTAGGAAATTATGTGAAACACATGATTGTTGAATTTGACGACTACAAATACAAGTATTTCAGAACTTGTACCTACTTTGAGAAATCCTTTTGATTTTCCAGAATGTACACATTTGATGTAGATGGAGTCCAATAAGTCTTGTGAGTTCATCATGCTACCAAATGCACACAATTTGAGCATTGCTTCCTATGCAGATGACAACTCTTTGGGGAAGAAAAAGCAGAGCCTTGGCTATTGGACAGTATAAATATGTAATAAATGAAAATATGCCCAGATATGTTTGTTAGATCCTGAAGCACTGAAAATATACTCAACTATAAAATCAGCCCTGTTGGAAAAACATGTTCAGACTTTTCACGTTAAACAACTTATATACTAAGGGGCGGAACTGGATGAATGATTTTTGAAAATATTGTTTTCACAGAGATACAACTGTTATAAGCACCACTGGAGTGATTCAAGAAAACCTGTAATCCTAGAAGTAACTCCTGGAGGCGTAGACCAAATTAATCCTGTAACAAATAAAGTCCTGTGTTCATATGACTACAGAAATATTGAAGGATTTGTTGATTTGTCTGATTATCCAGGAGGTTTCTGTATACTTTATGGAGGATTTAGTAGGCTAGTAAGTATTATAACACAATACTTCTCAAGCCTGCATCTAGAATCCTGTGGATTTCCTAGAATGTATTGTTTTGGTCTATTGAGAAAACTGCCTAGCAGTTGTTTGAGCTAGAAAATATAATTGATTATTGGTACTATATAATTACAACCTTTTATCTTGTAGTTGTATGGATGTTGGTTTAATTTTAGATAGAAAATGTAATTGCTTTTATTGTTTTTATTTTAGTATTTTATTAAATAAAAATGTTGAATAATTACATAATTTATAATTTATTAATTATTATTTTCCTAGTGATTATTCTTGGGTATGTTGACTCTGTTGTTCATCAAGCAGATGAGAGAAGAAGCTTGTTTCATTTAACAGATTTCAGTTTTACTGAATTCTGTTTTAGTCAAGATTATGAATTCTTGTATTTTTGCTGTTGTTCTTACTACATTCATGCCAAGAAATTTATGGAAGTCTCTTGAAATTTACAGCATTTATTTGCTTCTGAACAAAGGGAAGACATTATCAAAAGTGCAATAGACCATGCTGGCAATTATGTTGGCATTTCCTTGAGGATAAGGAAAGAACCATTAGAATTTGAGCAATATTTGACTCTTCGCTTTGGGAAATACAGCAATGATGAATCTATTACATCTTTAGCAGAGTTTGTGGTCCAAAAAATATCTCCTAGGCATTCGGTAAGAGCTAAACATTTAAATGTGTTGCTTGTGCCTTGAATTTGGCAGTGCTCCTTTTGTGCATGTGCTTCTCTACTACCACTTTATCCTACCCTGCCCAGAATTTTGATAATTGAATCAGGTGTGTTCATTATGTCACTATTTATGGTTTCTATAAAGTGGAAAGGACTCTGTAGTTAATGTGCACCCTTGTATTGTACATTAAATCTTTTTAGAATATACTTTGACATTTCACTGGTGCATGAAATGGCTAGGAACCAGTGAACAGAAACTGGTTGTGTGTGCCCATTTGAACAGTGGTCATCTATGTTACCCAGTATATAGAAAAGCAAATCCAAAGTTGTTTGTCATGTCTTCTAATCACAAGGAGATACAGAGTTACCCAAATGTACTTTATATTACACGATGTACACAGTAGCAGGCCAAAAGCCCAATTGTCCCATAATGCTGCTGTGTACTTTCACCAGCACACCATACCCAGATTTCATCCACAACTTATTTCTGGAAACATTAACATCTGCAACACAAAATAAGTTTATTTTGTTTATTTCAGTTCAGTAGCTGAAGCTCTTTGTCTGGATGATTTACAAGAGAAACTTTAAGCCTATTGAATAAATAACATAGTAAAATATAATATAAAATGATAATTTAGAATAAAGCCAAAGTATTAAACAATAAAAGCCAGCAGCAGTGCAAAAATCTAAAAATATACATTTGAAGAACTGAATGGCTAAATCCTCTCTAGGGTGGATTTCAGAGTCAGGGTGTCACCATTGAAAACACAGTTTCCTTTGTAGCCACTTTCCTCACCTCATTTGGTGAGGACATCTGAAGAAGAGTCTCCAAAGATGTGTTTGGCATCTGGGGGAGGTATATATTGGAAGGAGACAATTTTCCAGTTTTGTAAGTTAATAGCAAAACTTTGAATTTGGCTGGAACTGGACAAGCAGGCAGTGCATCTCAAAAAGCACTGGAATAAAGTGATCATATGGGCCAATCTCTATTAATGATCTTGCTGACCTATTTTGGACCAGCTGAAGTTTCTGAACTGTTTTCAAAGGTAGTTGCATGTATAAGACAATGCAGTAATCCAAAAGAAGTTACCAGAGTGCAGAGATCTAACTGGGCTCTCACTTTCCATTTAGGATTGTAGTTTGTATATCAGCCTAAGTTTCTTCTGGCAGTTTTGGATCCAAGAGCACCCCCAGACTACAAACCTTATCCCTTAGAAAAAAGCACAACCCATTTCAGAACAGGTTGAATATTATTATATTTGCATGCAACACCATATCCCAGGGAATCTCTGGGTGGCTCACAGGAAAACAGGATAACAACATCATAAAACCATAGTCAAAATTAAAATGATCACATCTAAAACCTCATAAGGTCCAATAGTATGTAAAATTCAAACCAGGGAAACAGATTACCAACAATAGAACATGCAGCAAATAACATAAATCATTCCTATCACTCTTCCAGGTGGAAGAGCCAGCCACTAACAGCATCTCCATCTTATCAGGATTGAGTCGTAGTTTATTGTCTCTTATCCAGACTTACTACAAGCAGGCCCTGGTTTAGTACACCCACTGCTGTCTCTGGACTCAGTGAAAAAGAGTAATAAGAGCTCAGTGCTATCCTCATACTGGTGGCACTTAAGTCTATGTCTCTGGATAACCACCTCTAGTGGTTTTATGTAAATGCTAAACAGCATGGAGGATGATGCAGTCTGTGGCATAACTACCAAAGGACAGAGCAATAATTCCCCTGCACCATCTTCAGCAATCAGGCCTCCAAGTGGGAGCAGAACTACTGTAGTATAGTGCTTTCAACTTCTACCCCAAAAGTGAGTGTAATGAAAACCAAGAAGTCTGGGAAAATCAACAGGGTCACATTCCCTCTGTCATCAGCCTTTCCTTGGCAAGCAACCAAGGCAATTTCCTTTGCAAAACCAGATCTTCAAGCTTGGTTGAAATGAATCTAAATCAGCTTCATTCAAGAGTGTCTGCAGTTGACTGGCAGTCACCTGCTCAATCAGCTTGGCCAGGAGGAGGACATTAGTAACCAGCCTGTGGATGTGAATATCTTCAGGGTCCCTGTTAGGATTTTTCAGGAGTTGCTCCTTTAAAAGCAGCCAGCAGCTGTACCTAAAATCTCTTGGTTTTGCCATTGGAATATCTTTATGATTTCAGGCTTTTTACCATTCCAAGTATATACTGGAAAATGGCTTGGGGTAGTAAATGCTCTTCAAAACATTGATGTGCTTTTTATGCATTTTGGATGGAGAGCAGGAGTCAAAATTGCACTAATTTCATGAGCTTATGTCAAACCTGGATCACAGCCTAGATTTAAAAGCGGATTGTCCAACAGAAGAATAATTTGGGCAGCAGGCAATACCTAAATGAATAAGGGCAGCAGAAATGCATAGTATAGAATGCACTTAAATTCTGTGTATTGTCCTTGTTGAAATGCTAGCTTTGGTTATGGTCTCTATTTATCATATATTTTAAAATTTAGCAATATTTAAACATGTAAAAATAGTCTTTACTGTTTTAAGGTAATAATACATAAATTTTGATCATTCACTTTTTATAGTTTTCCCCATGTACATTTACCTTTTTCCCCAAAGTGAAAGCATAAATATTTCTTTAATATTATACAATAGATTCATAATAATCATAATGCTTTCCCTAGGATATTATATTTTTATACTTTTATAATCAACTTTATCTAACTTGCCTCTGTCATAATAAAAATGTTGCAGTTTATGGACTATTACCTACTCTTCAAAATAATCTAGAAGCAGAATTACTGTCATTAGATTTTACAGTTGCAGCAAAGTTTATTTGACTTGCTTTTGAAGACTTTGTAGTGGGAAATTTCTCCTAAATATCTATATTCTTTTTTGTTTGTGTAACTCAAGGCACTAGAATATAATACCCTTTCCTGTTTTTAAGGAACCAATGAAAAGGATATTGGCTCTTACAGAAACTTGTTTAGTGGAACGTGATCCAGCTACATACAATATTACAACATTGAAACCCTTAGGAGAGGTAAGAGAAAAGCTTGCTCAGAGCTTTTGGGTCAGGATAAATATTAAAGGATACCAATCAAAGTAGAATTTGGAAGACTAAAGTCCCTGAATCAATTCATATTCCATCTTTAGGTAATGATTTTAAAAATGGGAGCACTGTTAAGCTTTTGGTTCGTATGTAACAAAAGGATTTGGAAAACATGGTTATGCTGAGGGTTGTAATCTCTCATATAAAATATAATGTGCAGAATGATACTAGGATTAGTGCAACTCCTATTTGACACACTCTTTCTTTAAAGGTATTTGCGCTAGTGTGTGATTCTGAAAACCCACAACTTTTTACCATAGAATTTATCAAGGGACAAATCCGAAAATATTCTTCAACAGAGAGGTAAATGTTCCTGAACTGTAAATTGCTTCATTGGGATGTCAGTTTAGATGTAATCTTAGTTAAACCTTGCAGCATTTCTATAGATGAACTTAATCTTTGTAACCAAGTCAACAATGCCTGTATTTCTGTTTGATTCGTTTGACAGGAATTGTAAGCTTTTGCCACATCAGAGGAGAAAGTGCAGTAGGTTCTTAAGTCTGCCATCAAGTCCTGCACAAATTAGTATTTGAACAGAATTTCAAAATAAGTTCCCCTACAGGGTGATTATTAGCTAGGTAGAAGAATTGCCCGTAGTGTTTATTTTCTAGAACCCAGTAGCACTATCAAAAAGGAAAAGTAGCCATTTGCACACAATCTGCAAAATGACTTTGCTGAAGTCCTTGAACCAGGTCTATGACCAGTGAAATAAATAACCCAATTTAATATTATTTACTCTAGTAAGTGAGTGCAGATGATGAAGAAATGCATGATGTTCTGGTTATGTCTGTCACTGCTGTGCAATAAGCTATTAAGTATATTACTAGTTTCTCTTCCATTATTTCACAAGCTATTTATCAAGCCTCCATAAGTCTTAATCAAGAATGCACACTTTCCTTCACCCCATTCCCTGGTATACTGTCATGCAGATTATGGTGTGATCTGCAGCACAAAGAAGTTGAAACTTTCTGTTATGAAGCTTTAAAAAAATGGCTCCATTGCACCAAAAGTGTTCCTTCTACATGCACTTAACTAGAATGAAAGATGATCGTTCAGGACTTCTTATGAGCATGTTTAGCTTTTATGGGCTGGAAGAACTGATTTACCATTTTTCCTAGGGATTCACTGTTAGCCAGTTTGCTGGATGGTGTGAGAGCCTCTGGCAATAGAGACGTCTGTGTGAAAATGACACCAACAGACAAAGGCCAGCGGTGGGGCCTTTTGAGCATGCCAGTGGATGAGGAAGTTGAAAGCCTGCATCTAAGGTTCTTGGCAGCACCTCCAAGTAAGTCTTCTCTTAAGTTGTAACAAGTGGAGTGCTTTCTAAGATCTCTGCAAAGAAATCCAAGTTGTGCTGATATCGTATCTGTATTTGACATATTTATCCATGCTCCCATTGCAGATGGGAACTTTGCAGATGCTGTCTTTAGGTTCAATTCTAACATATCATACAGTGGAGTTCTGCATGCAGTGACACAAGACGTAAGTTAAAAAGTCGGTCTTCTATCCGTTCTTCTAATGTGCTATCACTGACAAAAAGGCTAACATCTTTCCTCCTTTTTAGGGTCTGTTTTCAGAAAACAAAGAAAAGCTCATAAATAATGCCATAACTGCATTACTTTCTCAAGAAGGTGACCTTACAGCATCTACTGCAGAACTTGAAAGCCAGTTCCAAGCTGTTAGAAGATTAGTTGCCTCCAAAGCTGGATTCCTTGCTTTCACTCAACTTCCAAAGTAAGTCTTCAGCTTCCAACAGCACCCTTGTAATACTCCATGGATTGTTTACTTTCTGGCCTGGATTGTACATAATCAATGAGCTGTTTGGGGGTTCCTGGGAGCAGGTTAGCATGCTGCCTTCCATCCACTCACCACTTCCACTTCATTAGATGCAGACCCAGAACTCACCCCCCCCCCAAATAAAAAAGTTAAAGAAGAAACAACCCAAAATTTGAAACCATGATTTGTTGTTGGGCTTCTCATTCAACAGCCTAGAGTTCCGAGCTTGCACACTGGGTGTTCCTGGATTGTTTATAAACCAGAAACAAAGTGGAAGTGGTGAGCAGGCTGGAGACAGCACTAACGTCTTTATGGCCCTGAGTAACCATGGCTTAAACAACCCATTGTTAGTTTTGTATGCAACCTGGGTTGATATTTTTATCCGTAAACATGTGCACAAGTCAGAAAGCGGTTTGTTTGAGTATTAATAGTTGTTGCAACATAAAAATGTCTTGAAAATAAGCTTTTATGTCAAAATTTCCTGTGAATGATGGTAATGCTAGTTTTTAGGCTTCTGTTCAGTATGCAACAGAGCCATTCCACCTCTATTGGTTCTGTTCTTCTCTGCTTGTGGGACCCCACTTTCGCAACAAGGCTTTTGTGGTTTTCCCTATAGGATTCCCCCCATACCTCCTACCCAGTCCACACTCCACACTCACTCAGGTTCAGTAATGCTACAGCTTCTGTTTTCCCATACCATCCACTTAAACCTAACTTGAGTACTGCCTTGTCTTTGGCTCTTCAAAAATAATTTGGCAACTCAGTTGTATTGGTGAAAATGCTCTAGTTGTATCTTTTTGACCAGAAAGCATTTTATTTTACTGGCAGTCCATAACAACTATGCCATATTGTTAGACTTCTGTGGAGAATTTGAAATTTGCAAATAGAAAGTGGTGAATTGACTGATTTTAATAACATTCATATTTGCTGTTCTAAAAATATGCTAACAGGTCAGTTCATTGAACACCCTGTTTGAACTGAGCATCTGACACTGATGGGACAGTTTTAATTTTGCACTTTAATACTGGCTCATGTTACTGTTATTTGTTTTGATGTATTGCTATGTTCTTTTGAAAGATTCCGAGAGCGCCTGGGTGTGAAGGTAGTGAAGGCTCTTAAGAAGAACAATGATGGAGTAACTCATGCTTCCATTGATATGCTTTGTGCCCTCATGTGTGTAAGTACTTAAGTAACTAATAATGCTTGAATAGCATATTTATTTTTAGGGTTTCATAAGTTATAGCCAGTGATTCCTGTACTGAAGTATCTCCGTAGGAAAAGACCAAGCTATGGACCAAAGTGGAAGGCTGTTCATCATTCCTCATTTTGAATGGTGACTCTGCATCTTCCCATTTTCCTTTTTATGGTTGGAACAGGAGGGAGGAGTAAGGAAGTGAAAGAAAGGCACTGAAGGAAGCACTTAAGGAAACTTGTAGAACTTTTTTTTATCCTAAGAAGGCTCACTGACATCTTAAATCTCCTTTAGTTGAAAGAAATTGCAGTGTGTGTGCTTGTCAGTTTGGGTGTTGTCTGTACTTGTGACATTCAAGTAGACAACTTATCTTCAGTACTTTGGAAACAGTAAGAAAAGCTATGATCTTGAATCCTTTAATTTTTATCATGGGTGTCCAACTATCATGGATACAGTTTTAGCCTTAAGATCTGTTTCAAAGAAAGCTTTTTAAAGTTGTTTGGGGAAACTTAATTCTAATCAAATGCTGTCTTTATCCATAGCCTATGCATGATGACTATGACCTGAGGCAAGAACAGCTAAACAAAGCATCCCTTCTTTCTTCAAAGAAGTTCTTAGAAAACTTACTGGAGAAATTTAATTTGCATGTGGTAAGACATATCATTCAAATATTAAAAGATTCTGTTTTTGAGAGGGGACAAAGGGAATATTCTACTGCTTAGATAATTTAGAAGGACTTTTAGTTTTATCTCTTGGTTTTTAGTGGGCTAAGGATGTTGTTGCATCTTTGATCACATTACTTTGTTGACTATTATACATGTAGTGGCAGTTGTTTGAAGACAAAGTGTCATGGGCGTGTCACTTAATAGTTAAGAGCCATGGAAGATGTTTCTGCAAAGGCTTTGAAGAGAAATATGTTACTGTATCTGAAACCAATCTTTTTACTTTTAGGAATATGGAACAGGTGCCCTTGTTATAAGTTCACTGCTGGACTTCCTTACTTTTGCCCTTTGTGCTCCGTATAGTGAGACGACAGAAGGACAACAGTTTGATATGTTACTGGAGATGGTTGCATCTAATGGGAGAACCCTCTTCAAGCTCTTTCAGGTGAACTCGGTGTCAAGGAATACTAAGATTACAGAGAACAAAAGTTATATTAATGCTGTCTTAAAACCACACACACATCAGCAATGATCATTTGCCATAACTTGTGACCGTGTGCAGGCTTTCCTACATGCTTTTACAGTGTCTTGTTCTAAAAGAAATAATCTTAACCTGCTTATGAACTAGAAATATGCATTGTATAGGAAAAAGTGCAACTACAAAGCTAAGAGGCCCTTATGAGCTGAAACACCTATTAAAATGTTTAACCATCATTGAGATCCAGAATAGCAACTACACTTTTAGATTGGTCTGTTCATCCTGTCTTAGTACCAGAGATTCTTTCTGTTTGGAGAGGTCACTTAATGTTGTACTAGGAAACACTGACATGCTGCTTTCTTTAAATTGGTTTCTGCAGCACCCTTCCATGGCCATTGTGAAAGGTGCTGGTTTGGTTATGAAGGCAATAATAGAGGTAAGGCTTATGATGATTTTGTAATATTTCATATACTTTTTCTGTATGAATTTAGTGCTAACTTTTGAAGTCAATACTTTGCATAAAAGAGGCATCCAGAGAAGCTTTCTTTTTTCTTTTTGGAGGGGGGAACATTTTTCTAATTTGTCACAGCTGTTTTTCATGATTGCATCAAGCTGTTTCAAATGAAACAGGCCCATGAGCTAGGTTAGTCTTCTGTGCAGCTATAATTTAGTAATATGTAAAAACTTTATTCAAAAATGCACTTCTTTGGTGGGTGTTCCATCTGAAGTGAATAAAACTAATGTATAAGAAGATGTATTTTAGCATAGGGCTTCAGTTGACAATTTTTGTAAAAATCCAAAGGAAAGGAGTAACATAACCATGATCAGGATCAGTTAAACATCACAAAGCAATGAGCTGCTCTCCAGGTTTTCAGAATCCTTTCAGGCTTGATGGTAAGCAAAAAATATTAGGGAAGGGGATGGAAATTGCTACTAAGAAGCCTGGTATTTCTTTTGCAGTATGTTAGTCTCAAGATGGTGTTCCAGGAAACCCTTTCAGTAATTTGGTTAGATTGTGTACTATGTAATAGTTTGTATCAAACTATCCTAGTGGGAAAATACCATTTGCTTCTTGAAAATAGAAAACCAGCAGTTACTCAGATATGTCTGTAGCAGCGATAAGTGCTCTTGAGTGTTTTGCCCCAACAAAAAACAAAAGCAAGCAAAAATATTGTTCAGTGATGTATCTCAGTTTTACTTTCAAGAGCAAACTGTACTATGGGTGCAGCTGTGTTTCTACACATCCATATGCTTCAGTTAGTATTGTAAGCTGAGGAAGAGTAGTTTGACTTCTTTCACAGTTATTTTCTTGCCCTATTTCCAAAGGAGGGGGATAAAGAGATAGCAACCAAAATGCAAGACCTTGCCCTGAGTGAAGGTGCCTTACCTCGTCATTTGCACACTGCTATGTTTACAATAAGCACTGATCAAAGAATGCTTACAAATAGGTAAGTTTAGAATTATACTGCTTATCATCCTACTCACCTAATAGCCTCTTAATATCAGACCTCCCCATTTCTCTCTTGTACAGTACAGTACGATACAGGCTACTTGTAATATGTGGGCTTTCATCCCTGCTTCTTGCTTGCAGCCCTTCCACTACTGAATAGACTACCTAAATTGAAACTGACAAGGACACAGGTAGCAGCCTGGGAACTGAGAGGCAAAAGTATCAGCAAAAATATGCTGGAAACAGCTAGTCTATATTAATAACAATTGGAAAGATAACTAGCATATACTTTTACAGGTTACATATCTCTGTCTTTTGGGTTTTCAGTTCAGTATCATTGCCGTACCCTGAGACATTGGGGGATAAATTGTAGATGCCTAACACAAACTGAGCAAAAGTACTGCTCCAGAACAGTGACATGTTTTTTCATGAGTTAATTTTAGGAAAGTGGTAACACATTTCTCAGTCTTTTTATTTCTCAGACAGCTGAGCAGACATCTAGTGGGCCTTTGGACAGCTGAAAATATAACTGCTTTAAACTTGTTGAAGCGTATTTTGGTAAGTGGAAGTCTGGTTCAAGTATTGATCTAAATTGTATTAAATTATTATTATTATTATTATTATTATAACATTTCTATGCCGCCCCTTGCCGAAACCTCGGGGCGGCTTACAACACGATAAAATACATTGAAATACAATAGTACATAATAAATTACCATTAAATATAACAATACAAAAATACATTGATTTACAAATACAAAATTAAAATTATCAGTATAAAATAAAAATATAGGAGGAGAAAGAGAAGGAAGAAGAAGTTGCCCAGGCCAGATCATATGTTTTAACAATTGAAATGATGTTTAAATAAAAAGGTCTTTACCTGGCGCCGAAAAACCAGTAACGACGGTGCCAGGTGGACCTCTTTGGGGAGTGAATTCCATAGGTTGGGCGCCACCGCAGAGAAAGCCCTCCTCCGGGTACTTACTCTCCTAATTTCTTTCATGGAGGGTTCCCGGAGAAGGGACTCTCCCGCAGATCTCAAAGGGCGGTCGGGCATATACGGACGTAAGCGCTCGTTCAGGTAGCCAGGACCCAAGCCGTTTAGGGCTTTGTAGGTCATAATCAACACCTTGAATTGGGCCCGGGCTTCAATGGGAAGCCAGTGAAGCTGATGGAGGACTGGAGTCATGTGAGCATAACGCCCCGTCCCCGTCAGCAACCTGGCAGCTCTATTTTGCACCAATTGAAGTGTTCGGACTGTCTTCAGGGGAAGCCCCACGTAAAGCGCGTTACAGAAGTCTAGGCGGGAAGTCACCAGCGCGTGTGTCACCGTCGCCAGGCAGTCATATTCCAGGTAGGGGCGCAGCTGATTAATCAGCCGAAGCTGAAGGAAGGCGTTCTTCGCTACCGCTGTCACCTGAGCTTCCAAAGAAAGCTCCGGGTCGAGGAGTACACCTAAGCTGCGGACCTTATCCCTAAGAGGGAGTGTTGCACCATTCAGGACCAGGTCAAATCCACCCTCTCCGAAACCCGATCCGCCAACCAACAGGACCTCCGTCTTGTCTGGGTTGAGTTTCAGTTTATTGGCCCTCATCCATTCCCTTACCTCGGCCAAGCACCGGTTCAGCACAGCCACTGCCTCACCTGGATTAGTGGAGAATGAGAGGTAAAGCTGGGTATCATCAGCGTATTGATGATTCCGCAGCCCACACCTCCTGATGACCTCTCCCAGCGGTTTCATATAGATGTTAAATAGCAGAGGGGATAGAATGGAGCCCTGTGGTACCCCATGGCATAGCTGCCATGACGTAGAGACATGGTCCCCCAGCACTACCTTCTGGAATCGACCGTCGAGATAGGAGCGGAACCACTGCAAAGCAGTGCCTCCAACCCCCAATCCCGCAAGTCTATCCAGAAGGATACCATGGTCGATGGTATCGAAAGCCGCCGAGAGGTCCAGAAGAACCAACAGGGATGTACTCCCCCTGTCCTTCTCCCTGCACAGGTCGTCGTACAGGGCGACCAAGGCAGATTCAGTACTGTACCCGGGTCTGAAGCCGGACTGAAAAGGATCCAGATAATCAGTTTCCTCCAAGAGTGCTTGGAGTTGTCCCGCCACCACTCGCTCCAGCACCTTGCCCAGAAACGGGATGTTGGCCACAGGTCTATAGTTAGTGGCCATCTCTGGATCCAGTGACGCTTTCTTCAGGACCGGTCGTATTACCGCCTCCTTTAAAGGGGCAGGCACTCGACCCTCCCTCAGAGAAGCGTTAACCACTTCCAAAATCCAGGTCCCAATCCCGTGCTTGGAGTTATTTATTAACCAAGACGGGCAAGGATCCAATAGGCAAGTGGTGGGACGTACTCTTCCAAGCACCTTGTCCACATCATTGGGCCGCAATAATTGAAATTCCTCCAGTAATTTTGGACCAGACGGTGGCATTGGCGACTCCTCAGAGACCTCTGATTCATTAGTGGAGTCCAGCTCGTGACGAATCTGAGCGATTTTCTCCCTGAAATGCCTGGCAAAGTCGTCACAGTGGGCCTTTGAGGGTGGCATCGGATCTTCCTTAGGACCCAGGCGAACCAGGCCTTGCACCACTCGAAAAAGCTCCGCTGGACGGCATTGTGAGGAGGCAATGGAAGCAGAAAAAAACTTCTTTTTCGCCGCCTTCACCGCCACAGCATAGGCCCGATAGTGGGCTCTCAAGTGTGTTCGGTCAGATTCATCCCGTGATTTCCTCCACCTACGCTCTAGCCGTCTCCCAACTCGCTTCATTGCCCGTAATTCAGGTGTATACCAAGGGGAAGAGCGGACTCTGCCCGGTGGGAGAGGACGCTTAGGAGCGATTGTGTCCACAGCCCTGGTCATCTCTCCATTCCACAGTTCGACCAGAGCCTCGACAGGAGCACCAGTCTTGTCAGCCGGAAATTCCCCCAGGGCCCCCAGGAATCCATCCGGATCCATCCGGCTCCGGGGGCGGGCCCATACAATCGGGTCCGCACTCTTACAGAGGGAGAGGCCGCTCTCGAGCACAAACCTCACCAGGAGGTGATCTGACCATGACAGGGGAGTCAAACATAAGTTCTTCACCCTCAGGTCATCCTCTACCTGCCCCGTCGTGAATACCAGGTCCAGAGTGTGTCCACGTTCATGGGTAGGGCCAGTGACGTGTTGAGACAGGCCCATGGCCGTCATAGAGGCCATGAAGTCCTGAGCCGCCCCGGTCAGTCCAGACTCGGCATGGAGATTGAAGTCCCCCAGAACCAACATCCTGGGGGTCCTCAACACCAGATCCGAGACGGTCTCTGTCAGCTCAGATAGGGAGACTGCTGGGCAGAAAGGTGCACGGTACACCAATAGAATCCCCAATCTGTCTCGTTCGCCCAACACCAAGTAGAGGCACTCCAGCCCTGGTCTCAAAGGGACCGGAAGACCCGTGAGAGAGATGGAGGCTCTGTAAACCAACGCGACTCCCCCTCCCCTCCCTTCTGGGCGTGAACAGTGTTGAACCAGATACCCGGGCGGGCACAACTGGGAGAGGGCAACATCCCCTCCCTCTCCCGCCCAGGTCTCCGTTATGCAAGCCAGGTCAGCCCCCTCATCCACAATCAAGTCATGGATGAGGGAAGATTTATTATTGATCGACCTGGCATTGAGCAGCAGCACCGTCAGACCCGAGGGGTGGTTGACAAGGCTACCTGGCGCCCTCTGGTTGGGGGCAGGATCAGAAGGAGGGACAGGTGTCAGCCATCTGTCCATCCTTCTTCTACGTGGACACGTTAAGCCCCTATTGTTGTAACGACCATTGCCCGTGACCACGCCAATAGCAGCCCCCGTGGGTTCCCCAGGATATATAAACGTCGACATGGCCAGGAATGACTCAAAGCACTAATTAAAGCAGGGTAAGATTATAAAGTAGGTCGGAGGAGGAGAAAAAGAACGATAAAAAGAAAAAAAAGAAAAAGGGGATCCTTCCTCTTCCCTGAGAATCAGCAGTAGGCAAGCCTATTTCAACAAGAGTCCATGGCCATGATACTTTATATTTGATTCAGTAGGAAAACAAGTGAGTGTTGAGTAAATATGACACTTGGGTTCAAACAGACTAATCAGCTGTTGAGATCTAGAGTGCCCCTTAGGAGACATGCATGCACTTTGGCACAAAGTAGAACTTCAGGTGGCAGCTCTTTGCACTAACAAAAACCAGAGGCAGGTTGCAGGGACCTGAAGGGTTGTCTTTAGTATGGGAAATGCTTTTGAGTTCCCATTGCCTATATGAAATTACCCATTGAGCGATGATTTTCTCTAGCCCAAATATTGAGAAAATATCATGAACTTTGAGGAGTTTTGAATGTTTTTCTCAAGCAGCTGTTTGCTACACTGGAGGGGAATGCACTTTTGAATCGTCAGGTACTTTAAAACCCTGTTTGCCATATAGCACAGGGCCTGCTACACAAAGGAGTGGTGGTGGAGCATTCCCAAACCATGGACCTCTTTGACTTATTCTTTAAGATAAAGAACAAATATTTATTTATTTGGGATATTTCTAACCCGTCCAATCACTATGTGTGTCTGGATAGTTTACAGCTACATAGGAAGAATTATATAAAAGTATGCCGTATGAATGTAAGGGCCATTTCACTCCTGACAATCCTATATACACAGTCATGTTTGGAAAACAAAATGATATAGTGGTTAGAATGGACTGGATACCTGAGAGATCTGGAGTCACTGAGTGACCTTGTGTCAGTCACAAAGCCTAAGGTACCTTACAGGGTGGTTATTGTGAGGATGAAATAGAGTGAAGGAGAACCTTGGGAGACATCTTGAATTCCTTCCAAGAGGAATAAAGGTGGGGCAAAAATTTAATGTGGTGGTGATGATGATGATGTTTGAAGATATCATGAGCATCTATATTAAAGCCTTGTCGTAGAGGCATTAGGGAGAAAATAAGAAAGTCCTACATTCCATGTCATAAAAATATAGAAAAAGTACTGGAGCAATGAAGTGAAGACGGTGAGGGATATCTAAAAGGTAGAGAACTGTAGCAAATCTTGATTTATTACAGTATCTTGTAACAGTATGTACTGATCAAACTACAGGCTGAGCATAAGTCTCCTGAGGTTTCTGTTAAAAGAAGATTAAGCCTGTATATATTTGATTCAATAGGATTCAGTTCCCACCTTGTGATTTAGTTCTTCAGTTACATTCTACTTTGCTTTTGAATTCAAGGAACTTAAAACTTTTTTGTGGCTTTAGCCAGCAGGCTTGCTTTTATTCCTGGACAGTGATGAACCTGTTCCTGAAAAGGATTCTGATCGGATGCATATTAGGGATAACTTAAAAATTGCAAATGTAAGTATGATATTTTTTCCACCTTTATCTGGTCATGAATTCTGTTGTTGTACATTGTTGCTACTTAGTTCATGGTGCATGATTTTAGGGAAACAAATTGTGGAATGTACTAATTTAAACATTGTTCATGATTGCTTTTTACATTTCCATGAAATGAATTTTGTTCTACAGGATCAATATGGCAAATTTAATAAAGTACCAGAGTGGCAAAGACTTGCAGGAAAAGCTGCAAAAGAAGTTGAAAAATTTGCGAAAGAGAAAGTGGATTTGGTTTTGATGCACTGGAGAGACAAAATGGGAATAGCACAGAAAGAGGTAAGATATTCTGCTTAGTCTTCTGTCTTTCTGCTTTATGTATGAGTACAATTTCTTCTAAGTACTTCCCTGTAATTCAAGCTGACCTCAGTACTTCCCACAATTGAAGCCTACTTCAGTCTCTTCTTGAATTTTATCTATGTCATTATGTGTTAACTGGGTTTTGCATGTGTCCTTATACAAGGAGAAATTGGATGTAGCTTGGAGCTTATTGGTCTTGCCTAATGCACATCAGTATTCTCTGTAGCATCTAAACAGGGCATGCAACTGTGTAAGTGATACGGAATTCCTGCCCTGTCTGCTAATTTCCCCCTGCAGTTTAGGCACCTGGCATGTTCCACTTACAGGAATTTTGAATTTGAATGTGTGAATTGGAACCTTTCCTTCTAATATTTTCCTTATTGTTGTATCAAGAGTATTGCAATGATCTGTTCACTTTTGCTCTTTCCTACCTTTAATTTTATAGCAGTTGCAGAGTGTACTAGTTTTCTGTACTTCTGCGTGATGGGAAAATTTGCTGCTCTTTGTATATGCTGGGAAATTGTTTTTTTAACTGTTGTTTGCAATGGTGGTTCTGGAACAGTTGGATCTGTCTGAAGCAGCAACTGTATTTATGACAATAAATTTGTGCATATGCATTTTACATTAGCACATTTTACCAAAGTACATTGGTACATTTTACATCACGTTATTTTCTTGTGATGTGGTTCCTTTCGCTCTCTTCCACTTGCCCATGCTCTAACCTTTCATGTGTATAGTTTGCTTATGGCTGTCTTCTGACATTCAGCAATTCAGGGTGTTAAAGGAACCAAGCCTAAACTGAAATGACCTATCTGAAAACTATGCTGTCCTTTAGTGTGTGAGGATCTATCACTTTATTTGCAGTTGACTTAATCTCTGCAGTTCAAAATATTCAGTGGATCAAACAAATGAATGCAAAAGACATTCAGCTTCATATTGAATTATACTTACTATATGAAGACTTTAGAATTTTTTATAGGACAGGTAAAATGAGAAATGTTTTCTGTTTTGTTTTATAGGTATAGGAGTTGTGTATAGGAGTTTAGTTACAATCAATCAATCCTTTATTCGGTCATTGACCAGCCAGAGTTTAGTTACATTTTCGTGAACTAAGTATTTTACATTAGGGTGAACCAGTAATGTACTCCTGAATTAGTCTCTGTTTAGCTACCAAGAGCATACTGGATTTGGAGCTGTGGTTTAGATTTTTGCCTTTTCCAGTAATGATTGTTATTTTGAAAGCCTTGCTGTATGAGATTATTTTGGGTATTCAAACATTTGGGAGGCACTTCTGTTAAATGTTCAATTTTGTTTTGTTTTGTTTTTCCCTACTTTCCAAACACTACCAGGACAGAAACAATATGGTGAGTCTGAGTCCTTATTCCTTTCTGTAGACTGTCTTGGATTATAACTAGTATGTAGTGACATCTGTCAGTATACAGTAGTTTAGAACTATTGCTTGGCCAAGTTTTGCTTGTTATTTAATGTTTCAGCTTTGCAGGAAAGTATCAGTCTTCACTCATTAACTTTTAAACCCCAGTTCTGTTAAAGTGTGTGTTCCATTCCCGATTAACAGGTGCGATTTTCTGATACATCATAGACAACTATGGTAACACCTTAAAGAGGTTTCTTTTCTGCCCATAAGTTTGTATATAACTCAATAGGAACTTATGGTATTGCTACCTCTGTGCCTGGTAAACACTCTGGTAGTGAACTGGCATCAGTTTGAATATCAGTTTAGTAAAAGAAATAACTAGGGCAAAGGCAAATGCATAACTTCTATACATTTGGTTCATATCAATACAGTAGCTTTTTCTGGCTCTTTAATGTCCCTTCCCTGCATTCTAGTCCTGTTGCTTTAGCAAGGGGAAAATGTACCCGAGGTTTGTTTTTTGTTTTGTTGTTGTTTTTTGGGAGTGCAAACAGCTTCATCTTTGAAAGAAGACTATATAATCAAATGTAATTTTCCTTTTCAAAGTATTCTAAACACTCTTTTCCAACCATAATTTAGACTAAAGGCAATTTTCCCCTCTGCCTAGAATGGGTGACTTATTAAAAATAGTCCACCTATGAAGGCTGATGGAGTGCCCTTGGAGTTTTTCAAGCTGATATGGCTGGTGGTCCTGTCAAACCTGTGGTCAATTTCTGAAGTACAGGGATGGCCGGGGTGGTTGACAAACTCACTCTTGAGCACCCTGTTTGTAGTAGAGCTTGTACAGTTCTCCTTCGTGATCTCTGTGCATCACACATGTGGGCTGTTTCCATAGTATACTCTGGAGTGGTCAAACAACACAGGATATAGCCTGAGAGCAGATGGACAAAAACTATTAGTTAGCACAGTTGAGCTGAAATATAAGCCTATAGTCAGGTTGAGGGTGGCAAAAAAACAACACTTCAAGACCTTTATTCAGTCTTTTTTGCCATCCAGCAGAGCTGTTTAGGATAGTTCTGGGCCTATTATATGCTCACATAGAAACAAAGACGTAGAAACAAAGTGAGTCAGAAGGTGCCTCCCAGGCCATCTAGTCCAATCCCCAGCTCCGCTCATGTTATCCCCAACATGCGGTTGTCCAATCTTTCCTTAAATGCCCTCACTGATGGGACCTCAACCACCTCCCATGGAAGCCCATTCCATATCCTAGGGGGTCCTAACTGTCAGGAAGTACTTCCTGACATCCAGCCTGAAGCCTGGTTCCTTGAGCTTTGCCCCACTGGAATGTGTCCTGCCCTCCACCGCTGGAAGAACAGGTCATGGTCCTCTTCCATATGACATCCCTTCACATACCTATAAGTCGCTAAAAGATCCCTTCAGAGTCTCCTATTCTCCATGCTGTGAAAAGACCTAGTTCTCTTAAATCTCTCTTCGTATGTCATCCCTGGTTACCATTCTTGTTAGATCTTACTGAGGCCTACTGCAATAGATTTGCTTGGCACTTCCAGGATAAAATCTCTGATATCTACTAGGACTTAGATGCCATTATTATAGCAGTTGAATCAATGAGGCATCCACAGCACAGCCTAACCAGGTTTTACCAGATGAATTTCAGTTGTTACAGCTCTAGGAAGCTGACAAAGTGCTCAGAGATGTTTGTGCAATCATGGCTACACAGGATCCTTGTTCCTTCCTGGCTTGTAAAAACCAGCATGGAGGGAACAGCAGGATGGGCTAGGGGAAAAACTGTGTCTCCTTGCCAGACGGAGTGTTCCCATGCTGCCTGAAATGGGTGGCAGTGAGTCTACTCCTGAGGAAACCCTCTTTGGATATGGAAATTCTCAACAACCTTAGGCTGCTGGCAAAGGTTCTTTTCCTGGGCAAGGTTCTTGAGAAGGTTGTGGCCAGCTTGTTCTAGACTCTCTTGAATGTGACTGATTGCATCGATTCATTTCAGTCAGAGTTGAGGCTGGGTTTTGGCATGAGAAATGCTCTGGTTGCCTTGTATGGTGAACTGTGCTGGGAGAAAGACAAGGGCTTGCGCCCCTGTTGATACTCCTGGGTCTCAGTAGATTTCATCCATGATACCCTGCTGGGGCTGCGGACTGAATTGAAAGTAAGGGAGTACTACATTGCTGTGATTGTACTCATACTGGCTGGCCAGTTCCAGTGATGCTTGGAGAAATACTGCTCAGTTCTGTGGACCTTTTCAGTATGGGGTTACTCAGGGGTCAGCTTTGACCCCCAAGCTATTCAGCATCTACATGAAACTGCTGCTGAGAGAGGTCATCTGGAGTTTTGGAGTGTGTTGTCATCAGTATGCTGATGACACACAGCTCCGTTTCTTATTTTCATCTCAGTCAGGTGGGGCCATGAATGTGCTAAACTGGTGCCTGACTACAAAACTGGACCGGATGAGGGTTAAAAAACTGAAGCTCAATCCAGACAAGACTGAGATGCTGTTGATGGGTGGCTCGTCTTTACAGTATGGAGGGCGCTCAATTTGTTCTAGATGGCTCTCCACTCTCTTTGAAGGTTAATAGCTTGAGGGGTCCCCCTTGAGTCATTTTTGTTCATTGAGGTACAGCTTTGCCTCACTGCCATGGAGTACCTTCTGACAGCTCTGTCTAGTGGCCCAGCTATCTTAGCAAGGATAATCTGGTTTTCAGTACTCTATGCCCTGCTAGATTACTGTAGTGAGAGGCTCCCCTTGAATTCTTTTCAGAAGAATTTGCAGTTTGTGCAAAACATGGCAGCCAAACTAACAATTCGGACCAGAAGGTCCAAACATATAACACCAGTTCTGGCCAGCTCACACTGGCTGCAGATATGCTTTTGAACACAGTTCAGTGTGGTTATTTTAGGGTTAAAGGCCTACATGGACTGGGACTATAATACGTGATGGAAAGCTTCTCTCTATCGCAATCTGTCCAAACACCACACTCAAAATCTGAGGCCTTCGCTTGACTGTCTCTTCTGATGGAGGCTCAGTTTATGGTAACAAGGAAGAGGGTCTTCTCAGTGGCAGCTCCCCCAGCTCTATTATCCTTTTCATCCCTGGCAAAGACTGTTCTCTGTCCCAAGGCATTTAATAGATTACATGTGTGGGTTATGTCAGATCTTTCAAGATATCTATCTTTGTACTAACCTGTCTTGAATTTGGTTGTATTCTATAAAACTTCTATTAAATTTTATAGTTATTAAATTGTTTGTATTTTATACTGTATTTTATAAATGGCTGTAAACCACCCAGACACCTTTGGTTATTGGGCAATATAGAAATAAATAAAATTAAATTCTATATAATCTCATTACACATGTTGTGTTACTGATCTGGACTCAAATTTTGCTAATCTGCCTTTGCAGAATATTAATCAAAAGCCAGTAATACTGAGGAAACGAAGGCAGAGAATAAAAATAAAAGCAAATTGGGATCTCTTCTATTACAGGTAAATATTTGGGAGTGGGGAAGTGTTTGTGATGCTTTATCATTTTTCTTGATTAGACTGTTTTATGAGAACTGCTTGTATAACAAAATTTGTAGTTTCTAAACTGTCAGCAGACTATTGTGTAAAATCTTCTTCTCATTTTTTGCATAGATTTCTTCAAGATCATGCTAGATCTAATTTGATTTGGAATTTCAAAACACGGGAAGAGTTAAGAGATACCTTGGAGTCTGAAATGCGAGCCTTTCAGATTGATAGAGAACTTGGCAGTGCAAATGTCATTTCCTGGAATCACCATGAATTTGAGGTTTGCCTTCACCAATGTTTGTGCTTTGTCCTAAATGCAAATGGTTCCATTGATTTTGAACATACCTATATTGATATATGAGAGAAATACACCATAGTAGAAAAAGCAAGCTTCTGAATTACCTTGTGCTGTTATAGATCGTGTCCTTTAAATGCCCTTTCTAACTCTGGATGTTCCTATTAGCATTATTGGTTACTGGAGGAATCTAATAATTAAATTAAAGAAATCTAGTAATTGCTTGGGTTACTATTCTTGTCTTAAAGAAGGCCCATTCAGTGCAGTGCAGCTTCAGTGATCATAGCACTGCAGTCCCGCTCAATTAATGGCAAATTAACGTAATAGTTCTAAAGGAGGGAAAAGCAGACTTTGCTTTTAAAGATGCATGTATGTAGCTGAGGAAGTATCATCCTAGAAGATCCCTCTTTAATCTTTCTCATCATAAAACAGACCATGGGTTATGCAGGGGTTGTTTGACTCTCACACAGCCCACCCTCACCAGGTTCAGGTTACACAACAAGCTGCAGTGATGGCTTGAATATTGAAAATGGCAGTGCATGGACAGTGCAGTCTGCTATGACTTAAATAAGGTACAGTGGGCTTTTTGCCTTTGCAAACAAATCCATCATAAGAGGTTCTTTATAATATCTTTTTTGATTCGAAAACCTCATTCAAATGTTATGTTTTCCATTATGTTTTCCACTTAGCAATTATATGAGAAACTTCTGTTTTTTCCTATTTTCTTATGCAAAAGGTGAAGTATGAGTGCCTGTCAGAGGAAATAAAAATAGGGGATTATTACTTGAGATTGCTGTTGGAAGAAGATGAAAATGAAGAAAGTGGAGCAATAAAAAAATCGTGAGTTGCTATTATCCTAATATTTATTTCAATTCAATATCTAATCTGCACCACAAACAGCTGTGCTACCTTATCTTCCCACAGGTATGAATTTTTCAATGAACTGTACCATCGTTTCTTGCTGACTCCTAAAATAAACATGAAATGCCTTTGCTTGCAAGCCCTGGCCATTGTTTATGGAAGATGCTATGAAGAGATAGGTCCCTTTGGTGACACTAGATATATTGTAGGGATGTTGGAAAGGGTAAGCGATATCTTTAGTTTCAACACTTAATGTGGAGAAATTAACTTCAAGAGTATCTCCTAAGTGTAAATGCATTACTGTATCAGTCTGCCATAGTATTTACATTACTAAGTAATCTGATAATCACAAACTGTAGAACAGTTTTCTCTGAGCTGGTCTTCAGATGTTTGGGAGTACAAGTCCCAGAATAAATATATAAATTCTTGGCCATTTTATGGGTTGGCTAGGGCTTATAAGAGTTGAAAGTCCTAGACATAGTGAAGATACCAGCTTGTAGAAGATGATACACATAGCTATCAGAATAGCTAATATGTTTAAGAGAATTGTTACTGTTGGTTGCTATGTATCAGTTATATTTTATTTATTAATTTTTGTTTACCATGTTATATTTTGCTGTTCTAGATGCTCCACAGAGATCAGATATGTACATTGTGCTTGGTTTTATATGGTTATTATCTTGTGCACCCATTCTGAAAGCTTTTGCTAATTGAACAGTTTATGAAAACCATGAATAAATAAATGGTATAGAAACTGGATCTTTTTGATCTTTCTGTATAAAAATGATAATAAACTTGCCCTGGCCATAGGAACAGCTCTATCAGTGGACTGTAACCTAAGGCCCATGTTGATCAGTTTTTGAGAGCGTTTATTACCCTTCTGGCTGATAGGAGACTTTCAGGTGGGCAAATAGGGAAGCTAATACAGTGATATATACTTAGGGGCAACCCTCATGACTGTTTCAGCAGTGAAATATGGTTTGAGCCCAACCCTGTCTTTGTTCTAGTGCAGCCACATTTTACTATGCCATTGTACAAGTTATTTTCCAACACTTGTTCAGTAGCTATAAATGAAAGCTTCAGTTTTTATTATAACACAGAATTTAAGGATATAGGATACTTGTGATTATACAAAAAACATGTCTGTAACTGTTAGGCTAACCTATAGAAAAGCATAACGTGCTTAATAATGCATAGCACATTTCTCAGTCATATTTCCTATTAAAATCAGTTCATTCCACTTTTCTGCAGTGTGCTGATAGAGTTGAGCGGGACCGACTGATTCTGTTCCTTAACAAACTGATTCTTAACAAGGTGAGTCACCTTTTGTTGCAAGGTCTGTGGTTTTATGTAGTTTCAGTCCATGTAGAGCAGCTGTTACAGCAGCTGGAATGATCAGAAAAAAACATATTTTCTCCAAACAGCTCTTTATTAGAGTCTCATTAAACTCATTTTCACTTTAGGGATAGAGGTAGAGATACTGCTGTTTGGATTAGCAGTGACATTATTAGGTACAGCACAGGGAGTATATTGCATGTTTTATGAGGTGACACAATCTGGCAGAGTTAGTAGCTGCTGAGACATTTTGTTGTGGGGAACCTCTAGAACAAAAATAGAGTTTTTGCCCTTTGTATTTTTTTATTGTTGAACACAAATTATAAGGTGTTTATCCCATGCATTTATTTGTTGACACTAAATGAACGGAAATGGATTTAGAGCCAGATTTGTGGACTATTCCGTAACAACCTAGGTGTAGTAAAATACATTTACACAGTGATCTGCGTTTTCTCCCTGTGTTAATAAAAAGATTTATTATAAAAGATTTTATTGATGCTGTATGTCTCATAAAGTTGAATTTATGTGAATGAGAAATTCCAATTCTATTCATGATTCTGTGCATATTTGGAAGTGTTCAATTATCATTCTGAGAGGAACAAAATAAATTCTGTAAATTCCATACAGATTACTCAGTGCAATTTAGCTGTAGATCCACACGTCTGTCTAAATTAGGGTCTGTTGACAAGCAAGAAGACTCAAAGAAAAGATACTGTAGATTTGGAAAAAGTGCAGGAAAGGGCATTTGATATGATGAAGAAGCTAGAGTAACTCCCCTATGAAGAAAGGTTACAATATTTTTAGTAGAGTAATAGTAAGAGGAGACATCATAGTTCTATAGAATTATGCAGAGGGTAGAGAAAGTAGATAGCCATTTTAATCCCTTTCTCATAATATTAGAACCTGATGTAATCCCATGTAGCTGGCTAGTAGGAGATTCAGGATGAGTTAAAGGAAGTACATGATACAGTGCAGAATTAAGCTATGGAATTCACTTCCACAAGATATATATATACAGACAGACAGACAGAGACAGAAGCAGAGAGACACTGTGGTGTAGTAGTTAAGAGTGCTGGGCTGGGACTTAGGAGATCTGGGTTCTTAGTCTCCACTTAGCAGTGGAGTTCAGTGGATGACTTTGGGCCAGTCATACCAGTTACAGGATTGTTGTTGTGAGGATAAGATGGAGAGGAAGAAGAGAATTATATAAGCCACCTTAAGTTCCTTGGAAGGAAAAAGGGTGAGATACAAATATAATGAATACATTTATAAGTAAGCTATAGTGTTGGCCTCCCTACCAATTTGAAGGGAGATTTTTCAGAGGTTCCAGGTGCTGGAACATGGGTGGGAGGGTACTGCTGTGCACATATCTTACTTGTGGATTTCCCATGGCAGCTGTTTGGCTACTCTGTGAATAGCATGCTGGACCAAATGAAGCTTGGTCTGATTCAGCCCATCTTTTCTTATGGTCTAATAATCTTAAGAGAAAACTCAAATAAAATTATTTTTATTAATAGCAGCAAAACATACAGTAAAGACAATCTGGAATTAAGACGCTACCTAGTAATAGCTGTTATTCTATTAGATGGAAAACATTGAAAGCAAGCAAAAGCGTCAAAGTTTAAGTGAATGAATCATTAAAATCTGTTATATAGTAAGAACAAAATTGTTAAATCATATATGTGCAATTTATTTTACTACTAAATGAAAACAATGCATACAAATCTGTAATTAAAAATCTTTATTTCCTGGTCTGCCTTGCTATTTTAAACTATCATGTTTATGTTAGTTTGTGATATACTATACAGTATATACTGTACAGAATGTTAATTTGTGATATACTATACAGTATATACTGTACAGAATGTTAATTTGTGATATACTATACAATTAAGCCAGAAAGAAAGGAAGAAAGATTCTCCAGCAAAAATAGATTCTCTGACATGAATTGTTTCATGCCTTATGAATTACAAATGGTGTATTTTCTTTCATTAAGTGGTTAAGACATAAATGGTGCAGTGTGTTTATAATCATAAGTATTTTAAGTTATTTTAAAACTGCCTTTAAGTATAAAACTCTTGCTGTAAAAGTAGTTGTATGGTTCTTACAGAAAAATGTCAAGGAGCTCATGGATTCAAATGGCATCAAAATCCTTGTGGACCTTCTCACTCTGGCCCATCTGCACATGAGCAGGGCAACTGTACCACTGCAAGTATGAGTCCTTTTGTTTCTTACCACTTTTGAGCTGTATACAATAAAAAGGGTCTGTTAGGATATTGGTCCCTCATATTTAAAAGCTGCTTAGCCACTTTGGAGTTGTATGAAATAAACTTCATATTGAGCCAGCTCATATTTAGAGGTATTGGCACAGTTTGTACATAATGGTGACAAATCATGGATTAACTAATTCAAGCTCCAATCTTAGGTTGCTGTGTGCGTTCAGAACACTTTCAGTGGCTATTTGACCTTTGATTATGCTGATCAAGAATTACTACCTGACATCCAAACCCAGACTTGTGAATTCTGGATTAAACAGCTCATAGTTAACCTACAATTAGTAAATAGCTAAATGTGAGTTGTTTAACCCATGCTTTAATTTAACTAAGATGAAAAGTAGATAGCTACCTTCCATTGAGGTTGAATTTTCAAAAAGGCTAGGGAATGCACCTGGTATGCACTGTGGCAAATCGTGTTTTTTAACTCAGTTTACCTCCCTTGCATGTGAATGGGCCCATTGTGCAACTCCACACCTGTAGTCAAGGCATCTGCTCTTTCCTGTGTGGCCAAATGACACTCTTTGTGTCAAATTCTGGAAAAGGTTTCCAAGCCTTAGACACATGCAACTGTGTTTGCAAGGAATTGTACTTTACATTTAAGAGATACCTGCTTAACACTATTTTGAAAAGTCTGTTTTTCTTTACTGATTAATGTAATGATTAAGTTTGCTTTGATGTTCTTTTAAAGAGCAATGTCATTGAAGCAGCGCCTGATATGAAGAGGGAGAGTGAAAAAGAGTGGTATTTTGGCAATGCAGACAAAGAGAGGAGTGGTCCTTACAGTTTTAATGAGGTAACATTCAAGAAATTTTATCTGAGATTTAAGAGTAGTTCAGATTAAACTACAGTGCATTCGAGTATGTTCATGTAACACAGGCAAGGATGTGCATGTGGTGTGTTTGCTTCCCCCATGTTTGTGACCAGAAGCTTGAACATACGCAATTCATAGGCATGATTGTGGATTTCTCATGGCTGGATTTCTAATGTTTTGATTTTGGCATCCCTGCATACATGACTATGGGAATGTAAAAAGCCACCTTGAGTCAGACCCGTAGTCCGCCTACCACAGTATTACTGATTACTAGCAGCTCTCCAAGGTTTCAGCCACTTTTTCCATCCCTACTTGGAGATGCTGGGAATCAAACCTGGACCTTCTACATGCAAAGTATGTGCTCTGCTATTGAACTGTGGCCCTTGTTTGTTTGCTTAGGCATGAGAAACTGATAGAACCAGACACACAGTGACTGGCCAGGAGTTATACCCAGTTTTTCCACTGAGTAAGTGGGTGTGGGAAATGTAATTTTCCTTAGATCAGATTCAATAGTGACTTTGGGATGATGGTTTAATTCGTTTGATTTGTCCCTCTAGACCAGGGGTCGGCAACCTTAAACACTCAAAGAGCCATTTGGACCCGCTTCCTACAGAAAAGAAAACACTGGAAGCCACAAAACTCTTTTGACATCTAAAATGAAGATAACACTGCATATATCATTTTTTACCTTTATGTTATATATAAAAAACTATAATGTGTTGCATTTATGAAATCAATGAATGATACTTTTATATAATCTCCATCTGTGAATGGCTTCCTGTGCCTGACTATTTCATGAGCGGCCACAAAACTAGCATATGTAGTTGAATTTGCAGGCTTAATCCATTTCTTGCATGTGTTTTGCTCAGGTCACCCTGCCGCATCAGTTCCGAAATGGCTTTTTTTCTCTCATCTCCATCCAGATATTTTTCCGCAAAGGCTGTGTGTTTATTCTGGAAATGTCTTGCAACATTTGACTTTTTGTTGTTTGCCAATTTCTCACCACATATTAAGCATACTGGTAAACCGGTCTCATCAGCAGTGAAAGCAAATGAATCTGCCCACGTACCATTAAACGTTCTGTTTTCTTCTGAAACTTTCTTTTCTTGGATTCATGCATGGTTGGCCTACTGGGGGTCAAAAAGCTCAATAAATCCCATGCCGATGGGTGTCGCACATTGGCGGTTGTGATGCATATTTTGAGCAACAGAGCCACAGCAGAGGTATGAAAGAACCACATGCAGCTCCGGAGCCACGGGTTGCTGACCCCTGTTCTAGACCAATTGCTGGAATTATCAGGTGCTATTTGCATTGCAGGGATCTTCCCCTTGAGACACATTGGTCATGGATCTTTGGGCTGCTTGATGGGTTGTTTTTGCTTGAATATGAGGCTGTTAGGTTTTCTGGTTGTTTTAAAATCATTATTGCTAGAATGATTATTTTTAAGTGTGAGGTCGCCTCGTCTAGCACAACTGGTCAAAAACTCCATATTCCTCATGATGATTTTCTTCTTCTTTTCTTTCTTTTCCACTATGATAATCAATTTTTAATCTAGATGCAAGAATTGTGGACTGAAGGGAAGCTGACTTCAAAAACGCGCTGCTGGGCACAGGGCATGGATGGGTGGCGCCCTTTGCAGGCTATTCCCCAGCTAAAGTGGTGTCTGCTGGCCACTGGACAGGCAGTGCTTAATGAGACTGATCTTGCTACCCTTATTCTCAACATGCTGGTCACAATGTGTAGCTACTTCCCCAGCAGGTAAGGAATCAAGATCCCTTAGCCATTTATTTCTTCTGGTCGAATGATTTTACACACAAATCTTTATCTGGATACCTACATTGGCCCTGTCTTGATATGAGCACAGCAGAAACCTGTTCTTAAAACTACTTTGGGAAAATACAGTCTATCCCTCAAGGTCAAAGGTAGCAAAAGGTCCCAAAATCAGAAGCCAGAGGGCAATACTTTTCTTAATGACCTGATGTAGCAATTTAAACAGACAAATGGATACTAGACTGAAACTGCAAATGGTACATTAAACCAAACTGATAATTACGACTATAGAATAAGAAATGCTTGGGGTGAAAGTAGGTATGCATATGCTGTTCACACTGATTAGGAAAATATATTTCATTTTAGAGATCAGGATAATGCCATCATTAGGCCTTTACCCAGAGTAAAGAGGCTTCTTTCTGACAGCACCTGCCTTCCTCATATAATCCAGGTAAGGAGATCTGCTACATGATCTTTGAGAACCAGACTTACAACTTCCCCTGCAATGTATTTTATGCTCCTTTTGTTAACCTGGAAAGCTTGAGTTTAACTGGGTGGCAGGGAAGCACTGTAACTTTGAAATGCACAGTTTAACCAATGTTAGTTTTTTAATTCTTTTGCAGCTGTTGCTGACTTTTGACCCCATTCTTGTTGAGAAAGTTGCCATATTGCTTTTCTACATCATGCAAGACAACCCTCAGCTACCTCGTCTTTATCTCAGTGGAGTATTTTTCTTCATTATGATGTACACTGGTTCCAATGTACTCCCTGTTGCAAGGTGAAAACAAAAAGAATGTGTAGCATCTGTTCTGTATTTATAAAAAAAAAAAAAACAGCAGGGTAACTGGGAAGAGGTGCCGAGTCTTGGGGACTTGAAGGAATGGAATTGATTCTGGTGCTGCGATCACTGTTGGCTGAGAAAACAAGCTAGGAAGGCTTTCTGCTTAAGGTTTTTCCTGGTACTGAGACAAAACTTTGCTGAAAAAATGGTGCAATAAGTAGCCAAAAGCCACCAGCCATTTTAGGAATCTTAGACTAGCTGTTCATTCTGTAAATTCTTCTCCCTTTCCATTCTTGTGCTGTTGGTCTTATCTAGAGAGCTGAAATTGTTACAGTGTATAGAAAAAGACCACTCATGTGCTTTCAGTCCACTTGACAGAGAAAGAGTCTGCCTTGTGGTAGAAGTTCTGAGTGTTTCTGTGCATGTACTGATACGTGTGTGGGAAGATTGTGCACATTCATGTACAGCTCCTACCCACCAATGCCAGATGAGACCTTGGAGCTGAAATGGTTGTGCATCCCTAACTTGTATAGTGTATTAATGCTAGCTAACCTATTTGCATTATTTCTGAGATACCTGGGTTTAAATCCCGTTGCTATGGAGCCAGCTAATGGCAGTATTGTGGGATAGTACTAGTCAGGAAATCCATAAAAGATGCGACACTAGACTGCTGGTGAGACCCTTGAGATGTAACAGAGAACCCTTGAATTATTCTAGTATATTAATTTCTATGCCAAATGCATGCCACTGAATTGAAAACATTTCTTAACGGAATACATTGACCTTATCTTTTAGATTTCTGAAGTATACACATTCGAAACAGGCTTTCAAGGCTGAGGAGGTAAGGAGTACTTAATAATACAAAACAAATTTGTGTATTTTTGAATGTGGGCCAGTTCTCATTATTACCTCTAAGCATGTTATCTTTTTTTCCTTGCTGGTCTTGTTTGCTTAAGGTAGCCTATAAAACAACCTCTCTAAGTAATCTTTCCTTTTTTTCTTTTTTCTTTTTTTGTTAAATGACATTAGATAAAACAATATTTAGAGAGAACATTATTCTAGAGTCTAACATAACTGGAAATAAGTAGCTAATTTTAGTTTTGATGGGTAAGAGTTTGAAGATGCTCTTAAACATAAAATGCCTTATTGTGTGTTGTACATTGGTAATGGAGGAAGTCTCTAGCATGAGCTCAAGTATACGCCGCAATCCTATCCCCACTTATTTAGGAGTAAGTCCCATTCATCATATATACTAACCTAGGAGTAAGTTCAGTTGAACTTACTTCTGATCAGACTTGTGCAAGAGTGTACTGTATTACTGGCAAACATTCATAATCCAGCTTTCAGAAACTAAAAAACACTATCATTTACATGAAACACAATATATACAAACATGCTTATGTAGTATACACATATGTATGACTTGAATGGTTCCTTTTTTCTCATTTTAGACAAAAGGACAAGATATAGTTCAAAGAAGTATTCTTGGACACATCTTACCAGAAGCTATGGTGTGCTATTTAGAAAACTATGAATCAGAAAAATTTTCTGAAATATTTTTGGGTGAATTTGATACTCCAGAAGCTATTTGGAGCAATGAAATGAGGTGATTACTGTATATACTTTATGTAAAACAAATGGTTTGTATTACTCTATTGGCATGCATTTCTTTCTGTACATTTCTGTCTGATGAATCAGATGTCATCAGATGTCTTTGTGCCTTGCTGCAAATAACTGGATTTAACAATCTGGTGTCTTGGAAGAACTTTAGTATTTGTTTGAAGAACCCTTTTGCAATTCACAGGCGCCTTATGATAGAGAAGATAGCTGCTCATCTTGCTGACTTCACTCCTCGTCTTCAGAGTAATACAAGGGCACTTTACCAGTACTGCCCCATACCAATTATAAACTACCCTCAACTGGAAAATGAGCTGTTTTGTAACATTTATTACCTCAGACATCTTTGTGACAAGCTTCGGTTTCCTGACTGGCCAATTAAAGATCCTGTAAGTTAAGCTTCTTGTATTCTTCTCAATTTCTAATGCAATACAATTGAGAAATAAATGGGAAATGTCAAGAATCATTAGAGATGTGATTGCTTGGCTTCCATGCTGAGTATTGCCAAGGTAACAAGCTTAATTTAAATTTACACAATTTAAACTACTTAAACTATTGCTTGTTTAAAATTTGCTTAAAATAAGAAATGGGGAGGGGTTAGTCCAGATGAGGAGGTAGATGTCTCAGTAATAGCAGCTCCCATATTTTTTCCCCTAAGAGCCAAAAGTGACTCTGGAAGAACTCATTAGAAATTTTCTGTATTCAGGTTAAGCTCCTTAAAGACACTCTAGAAGCTTGGAAGAAGGAAGTGGAGAAGAAAGCACCTACCATGTCAATAGATGATGCATATGAAGTCCTCCATCTTCCAAAGGGACAAGGACAGTAAGTGATCTGTACCTTATTACAATGGAAGCTGACATCTAAAATGAAGACGCCTTTTTCATTCATGTTGTCTCAGACTGGATTGACTTCTGATTAATTCCAAAATCTAGAAGAGGAGCTAACATGGTACAGCCAGATTGTGGATTAACATAATTCATCTTAAATAGCTTACACTGGACTTCTTGCAGTGCTGAAGGACTTAGGGGTCTATTGTGAGTAGTTTCTAGTACATATATTGGAAATAGCCTGCTCAATCCCATTGGAATTGTGCCATTGCTGCTGCCGCCTGTATTCAGCATTTCATAAGAAACAGACAGATGCTATGCATCATATCTTTAGCAATTCAATACACTTATCCAAGTCCCCAGTGCTGCCTCTAAAATCTGCAATTCAAAATTTCTGTTGTTGGAGTGCAAAATATTTATTATTGTATAAACAGCTAAATTATATTGAATCCTAGATAAGCAAATGCTTTCTCTACCTGACAGGCATGATGAAAGCAAGATCAGAAAAGCTTATTTCAGACTGGCTCAAAAGTATCACCCTGACAAGAATCCAGAAGGTCGAGTAAGTACTATATATTAAATCCGTGTTATGCCCATAGGATGTGTCCTGCTGTCATCCAGTTGATGGATTATGAATAGAATTCTCAGTGTATACAGGGAGTTGCCTGAGCTGATCCATTGATGTGACCAGTCAGGAACTCCTGCATAATAAAAATATAATTTTCTATGGTGTTAACTTCCTCTATGGATCTATTAAACTAAATAGTTATTGGTCAGGTACTTGAAGTAGTGCTGTTTAGACTTTAGCTAAGATTGTACTTAGCTTTGATGTTAATGGTATAGACTTGCATGTGGATTTGTTGCAGGGATTTCCAAGAAAGATACATTGTAAAATGTAGTGGGGAAAGACCATGATCTCAAAAATAGAAAAGTGCCTCTGAAGATTATATAACAGAAAACAGCCGTTCTTTTAGCCAGACTTCCCCAACCTAGTACTTCCAGTTGTTCCAGACTACAGCTCCTAAGATTCCTGACTACCAGCAGTGCTGGCTGGGTTGGTGGACATTGTAGCCCTATGCATCTGGAGGGCACCAGGTTAGGGAAGACTTTCTATTATAGCCTGTTCCTTTGGCAACATTAACTAATTGAATTTGAGAGGAGATTCATATATACTCCTTCATATATATTTTATCTGCAGGATATGTTTGAAAAAGTGAATAAAGCATATGAATTTCTGTGTACAAAGTCAGCTAAAATAGTGGATGGCCCAGATCCTGAGAATATAATTTTGATTTTGAAAGCTCAAAGCATCCTTTTCAACAGACACAAAGAAGGTAATTACACTTAACATATATCTGAACGTATATTTTATTGCTTACTGCTTTACAAAAGAAACCTCTGTCATACTGAACACTGGTACAGTTCTGTAAAAATGTCCAAGACTGTCACTACTTTCTCTAACTCCATGTGACAAGGGAGCAATGGGTATGGAGGAACATAGCTCCTTCCATATGTTGCAAGAGGTTTCCAGATTGCACTTTGTTGAACAACTGTTGCTTAGCAGCTGTTGCTGGTGGCAGTATTTTTAATTCTGTTCTGAGAGAGAAGTTGGACTATCCTGAAAGTGGTGCTGGTTGCCTCATTTATGTTACGAAATAGAATATACTAAATGAACTAGTTACCTGTTTGTTTGTTTTTTAAAAGGCTTCCTTTATGGCTAGAACCTTCTAGGTTTCTTTTCTTAGACATTTGCTTGCTTGCTTCTCATATTCTATTGACCTTAGAAATAGCATATCTATTATGATTTAGCATTGAAGCATCTGTAAGTTTCTCATGATCAAGGTGATTCCTGTGTTGATTTCTGCCATTCTTTTTTTCCCAAGATTTGAAGCCTTATAAATATGCAGGTTATCCTATGTTGATTAAGACAATCACAATAGAAACCTCAGATGACCTTTTGTTCTCCAAAGAGTCTCCTCTGTTGCCGGCTGCTACTGAATTAGCTTTCCACACTGTCAACTGTTCAGCTCTTAATGCAGAAGAACTAAGAAGAGAAAATGGAATAGAGGTAGACTTTGAACCTTAAGAAGTACTTGGATTGTATTTTGCAAAGACTGAGCGTGCACACTCTATTTGCATCCTGCTGAATTCTTAATTTGCAAGATGCATCGGGCTTATTAGCTTTATAACTGACATCTCAACTACCGTTGTTGGCTGTTGTATAAACTACATCTGCATTTATCATGTATTCTACTTACTTTCCAAAAGAATAAACTAGAAACTTATTGGAAAGGAAAACCATGAATGTGTTTTTAAACATAAAATTATCACTGAATTTGTTCCAAGCTGAAAAGCTGATAAGTATGCTTATAAGAAAGCCAATGTGTTTTAGTCGTTAGCATTGGACTGGGACTTGAGAGATCAGGATTATAGTCCCTTACTGGGTAGCTTGGGCCCAATCTTTCGCTCTCAGCCTAATCTATGTCACAGGGTTGTTGCTGCTAGGATAAAATGAAGAGAACTTTAAGTCATCTACCTTGGGTTGCTTGCAAGTGGCAGAAAAGTGGGATATAAATGTAATAGTAATAGTGAAAAGAAATGCTAGTTTATATTGCTCTAACTTCCACATCATTGGTAGTCTAAGAATATTTGAACATCTGTTTACACAGCAAAGAAGCATTTTGAATATTACATTTTGGCTTGAAAATAGTTTTAATGGTTATAGAGAGAAACTTTTGCTGTGTGATACAGGTTTTGAGAACTTACCTGTTGACACTCTACAGAAAAAATATTTTATCCACCTCCACAGATTTTGCAAGAGGCTTTCAATCGATGTGTTGCAGTCCTGACACGTTCTAGTAAGCCAGATGACATGTCAGTCCAGGTAAGTATTTAGTGACACAAAGGACTGACCTCTGTGTTCTTCAGCTCAAATGTGAACTTTTGTTATACACTGAAGAAGCTGCCATGAATGGAATCAGTTCAGTGCTCTTATCTGGTCAGGTGCTGTCTTTATTGACCAGCTGTAGCATTCTGGAGTTTTAGGCAGGAGTCTTTCGCAGCTCTCCCTGAAGATCTTTACGATTGAATCAGCTGACTTCCTCATGCAAAGCATGTGCTCAACCACTGAGCAACACGGTCGCCTGCTCGGCCAGAAACCTGCAAGGTGACATTCAGCTTATTGCGTTGTGGGCCTCAGTCATACATCTGTGGGAACATACTAGCTGCTTTCCTGATGCAACATGAAATAATAAATAGTAATTGCATTTCACCATGTGGAGGACGGATGGATGGACGGCTTAAATACTTAGCAAGTGGCAGTGCTGTCTGTGCCTTCATGTAGCCATTTGCCATTCTCTTTAACTTCTTAAGAAAGCAAATTTGTTCTTTCAAGATAGCTTCTGTTATACACTGTCCCAGCTGCTTGTGGTTTATAGGAATTTGTTTTTCCCTATTTATAGGTGTGTGGACATATAAGTAAATGTTATAGCGTGGCTGCTCAGTTTGAGGATTGCAGAGAGAAAATAACTGAAATGCCAAATATCATCAAGGACCTCTGTAGAGTGCTGTACCATGGCAAGGTAAGTCCTTCTTTGGCTGTTGTATTATGCTTTGTTCCAGCTTCCTACATTCCAGAACTGAAAAACAATGCACTTACCTTGAGAAATATGTTTAGTTTGCATTCTTTGGTGTGTTACATCAGTACTTCCCTGCTGGAACCCATCATTCCTCTGTTGTCAACCAAAGCAAATAACTGTTCATTCCTCCTTAGAACCTTCCACGTGTGGCTTCCCTGGGAGTAGAATGTGTCAGCTCATTTGCCGTGGATTTCTGGCTACAGACACATCTGTTCCAAGCTGGAGTTCTGTGGCATTTACTAGGCTACCTCTTCAATTATGATTACACACTGGAAGAGAGTGGTATTCAGAAGAGTGAAGATTCCAATCAGCAGGTAATCATTAGGGACTGTTAATCGACGGCTATATTTTAAATGTATTCTGAACAGCATGTCTAAGATGAAGTTAGGAACACATACTTGCTATTTTAAAATCAAACACAGTACTTTAGGTAAAGCCTTGTAGCCTCAGAAGAAGCAACCGCTTATTCACTCGAGTCGCAGTGTTGCTGCAGAGGAGCCCTGGTGTAGCCTACCTCTGTGTTACTGCTCTCCATGCCAAGGCACAAGCCTACCCAGCCACACTGCCATCTCCTGTGCCTCCCTTGCTCCAGTTGTGTCCATGCTTCCCTGTGCGCAGGACTCACGCACACTGGAAGGGGCACTCCCCCCCTGCAGCCATGCACACGAAGGACATCAGACTGTGCCTCCCCCACCTCAGTCTCTGTCATCATGGGCAGAGGCAGCTGGCCCTGATCCCTCTCTCCCATGCCATGCCACGCCATGCCACACCACATTGTGGACAGGCTCATCTGGCACTGCCCGACGTCTATCTCCACCCACTCCTCAGTGAGCCCGTTCCGCCCAGTTGCAAAACATGCCTTTACTTCTACAACATCATGGGGCCTTGGGAACAGTGAGTGCAAGAGGGGAAAGCATTAGATGTTAACATATCTATTTTTTTTCCTTTGGTGCACAAACTCTGCTTTGCTACAGCTATGTCCATATATTTTGCCCCATGGCACCCCACTCACACTAATGTGCACCCACCTGCTTAGGTACCTACCAGGCTCTTCACTACACCTGGTACTGCCAAGTCACTGACTGCATGGCCATATGCCTACATGTCAACACTCATAGATAGCTTTCAGAAATGCAGTAGGGGCTCCAACAGCTGCTCACACAGCTTTGTTGTGGGAGGACAGCTACACTGTGACCTCATCCACCACCCCCACGTGTCTCTTTGGAGTAGGCAGGAGTATTCTCGTGCTTGTTTTCTTCCTGATTAACCTAAATGTACAACTGATTTACTATTTTATATTAATAGGAAGTAGCCAATACCCTTGCCAAACTCAGCCTCCTGGCTTTGAGCCGCCTGGGTGGATACCGTCTTGGAGAACAAGCTACACCTGAAAACCCAACCATCAGAAAAAGCCTTGCAGGCATGCTGACCCCTTATATTGCAAGGAAACTTGCTGTGATTAATCCTACTGAGGTATGAGAACGTTATAATATTCATATTAATGTTTCTTCTTCACTTCATGAATATCATTTAACAAATTACTACAGAGCATTTAAGGTTGGTATAGGATGCAATAGTGGAAAGGAAGAAAGTGGTTCGCACTGGAAAATTTTGAAGGAGGCACTTGAAAGTGGCTTACTTCTCCATGTTGTGGAGTGTTGTGAATCTCTTCTGTAGCCATCCTGCCATTTCCAACTTAGCACATACTTCTTCTGGCCATGGGCTAATAGATGTATAATAGGCCATTAGAGGCCCTTTATGCATATCACTTCCATGTGAAGCTGCTTGAAGGAACTCTGCATGTTGAATGGTGCATGTGGTAGACCATTGCATGTACCACAGATTAGCTCTCTCTTGTGTGTACATGTGATGCCTTCACACCTGTTTCTCTCTCTCTCTCTCACTTACTCTCCTAGTTGTGGCTTGAAGCACAGGATATAAAGAATTAGTCTGTGCAGCAAGACAGTAAGAACGTGTGTTTACTCACTCACTCTTACTTGCTATGAGCTACTGAATAGAGGCAGTTCTCGGGGGCTTCTGTTGTAGCCATATCACAAATATACCAGGCAAACCTGGTTAACTGGAGCTTGCCTTCTACAAGCAGAAAGACTCCAAATAGACATCTTTACTGAAGAGGAAAGTAACTTAGATGAGGAGGACTAGAAACCTCTCAGTGGTGTTAAGAACATCTTAAACTTATCAGAAGTAGAAGGAAGCAGTGCTGCAATAATTTTTTTTTGTTGTAACCATTTCTGATCTAGATTCTGAAAATGCTCAACAGCAACACTGAGAACCCTTATCTGATTTGGAACAATCGGACGAGAGCTGAACTCCTTGAATTCTTGGAATCTCAGCAGGAAAGCATGATTAAAAGAGTAAGGCATTTCTTCATATTGTTACCTTGGCTGTTTTGAGTGCGGGAAGCAGATGCTGAAAGAAGCAGCATGCAAACACAGTTGCTGCATTTTTTGCAATCTTAAGTAGATGTGTACAAAGGCTGTGTGGTTAACTTGGAGAGTTGTTTTCTCCAAACTGGGCCTTCAAGATACGTTGTACCATTGGCCATGTAGTCTTGGGGGTGCTACGAATTACAGTCTGGCACATCTGTTTGGTGCCACATTGGAGAACAGCTTACAAACTTTAATCCATTGAAAGTATATATTGACTCATGTTTCTTTTATTATCAAGTGTCTCTTCATGTTTGCATGTATTGTAATTCTTACTATACCAAACTAATTCTTCTGTTGGAACTCTTTGAGCTTGACTATTCTTAGTTAATTTGTTTTTCTCAAATATTTCTAATCAAATGATAGAGACTTATACAGTCCAGGATTTGGATCACTTTTCAGATATTTTTGTTGTTTCCCCCCACCCCCACCCAGCATTTTGTATGATACAAATTCAAATTCTTTACTTGCAATTTTAAAATTATTCAAAATGGCCTGCCTTTAGTGCAACACCATCTGTATCACAAGAACAAGGAAAGTGAAACTGTGGCTTGGAAGAAATAGCAACTAACAGTTCTAGGAAAAGAGAAATGTAACATTAAGTAACAGCCAGATCTTCTTCTGATGTCATTTGTTGGTACCTTGAGCCTTCTGTTGTGCCTAAAGTAAATGAGAGCTGAAATTCTTAAAAGTCCAATGACAGTGTCAACTTCATGGCTCCAAATTGTAAAAGTTTTAAAAAATATAAAACTTGCATTGGGGGTTGTACTTGTTTCATGTTTAGTCAGTAAATGTTGTTTCTTAGCATTGCAAGCTGCAGATGATTGTTTCAATCTGTGATTCATTGAAGGCAGATTATCAACTTAAATTTTACTTTCTAAAGGGCGACTGTGATAAAAGCTATGGATCAGAATTTGTCTTCAGTGATCATGCAAAAGAACTTATTGTAGGAGAAATTTTTGTTAGAGTTTACAATGAAGTCCCCACATTCCAGCTAGAGGTGAGATTCTGCTTTTGCTATGAGTGAATCTGTCTTGTTCATGTGGATGTGATATACGCATGTTTTTTTTAGCTGAAAAAGGAAGTGTACCAATTTGACCTCAGTAAATCATTAGCATAGCATTTTCTGGAGGTTTGCCTTAATCTCCTCTTACCTTTGCAGAATGTTTATCTCTTTGTTAAAGATTCAAAAGTTGGCAAAAGAATATTCAGACTGGAGTAATCACATTCTATAGAATTCCTTATGCTGTTTATGGAATATGGCCCTTATTATAATCTCCTACGGAATGTCTATCTAGTGAAGTTCAAAAACTATTGGTCGCCTATCCTGATCCGGGTTTTGATAGTAAATAATTATAATTCATTATGATTATAAACAGTAATGTGCTGATAGATTGTATTCTGTACAAATAGCTTTCTTCATATGGATCTCTTCTTATGGAGTATATTTGTTTTATGCAGCTTCCAAAAGCATTTGCTGCAAGTCTTTTGGATTATATCGGCTCACAGGCACAGTACCTTCATACACTGATGGCCATGACTCAGACAGGAAAAGTTGAGTCTAACCAACATGGAGAAAGACTCAGAAGAGTTGAAATGGCTTTGGAGGCTCTGAGGAATGTAATAAAACACAATCCAGGTAAGTGAGGCCTATCATGCAACTTAAAATATGCCTGCTGAAGTTCAGCATTAGATTCTGGATGTCTAGATGAAAATTCGGTTGTACAGCTTACCAAGGTACCTCAAGGAATATATAATTTTAATAGTGGGGGTAATATTCTACCCTAATAATAGTTCTAGAAAAATAAGGTGCTGTTTTCTTCAGCTTGCTCTGCTATTGTCTGCTTTAATGCTTTAGTAACTATAGTAGTTTTACTTCCTTGTGTAGGTTCAGAATGCGAATGCATAGGTCACTTTAAGTTAATATTCTCCCTTCTGCGCGTCCATGGGGCTGGTCAGGTGCAACAACTGGCTTTGGAGGTAAATAAATACATTAAGTAAATTGAATCAATTTGTTAAATGTTGCTTGATATAACAGCTAGCTTTGGGGGTAAATAAATGTGTTAAATATTGATGGATGTCATGTTGCCTGATGGAACAAAAAGTCCTTGACTTTGTGATTTCCTTGTTCTAGCTCTTTATGATTGATGTAAGTACATTATTTTACACTAAGACAGTAATGCTTGTTTTTGGTTTTGTGGTGGATATGGAGGATGTGGTGCGAGACAGCAAATAATGAATGCAGATTATTTTAATTTCCAATTGCTGGTTCATAGGGTTTATAAATAGGAGCTGTTAGGTATATACTTACAGAAGAATATGTGTCCACCAGGGGCTTGCTTTGCGCATGGCCTCTTTCTCACATGCACATCCTCCCCTTCCTCCATCCCATATTGAATGAATTGAATTGACAGCTAACTGCTCTTGTAGCGTTTAGCTAGTAATGTTGCTTTTTTTTCTTTAACAGGTGGTGAACATAGTGACTAGCAACCAGGAATGTGTAAATAATATTGCAGAAGCAATGGTTCTTTCCAACTTATTAGCTCTCCTGCATTCTCTACCTTCAAGTACGTAGAACACATGTCAGCTTATTCAGTGACTCAAGAATCAAAAGGAAACCTATAGTCCTTTTTATTCCCCATAGTTGCCATTGCCAAAATTGCCACTGCATATTGGCAATGCAATGGCAAAATAGTCACATTTTCACTTTGAAACAAGGGGCATGAGGCATGTGCCCTTTGGTTTAATACAAATTTGACTATTCCAGAAGTGCAATTTTACATTAAACAAGACATGTGCTCCCTGAGTGCCATGCTTTAAAGTGCAAAGGCATCTTCTTTGCTGCCACCATATTGCTGTTGAGAATTGGACCTTTCTGAAGTTGTCTGTTCTGACCTAGAAAATTTTACACATCCTATGTACACATGCACTGTTGTGTTTTATGTAGTATTTGTCAAATATCTTGTTATGAAAGCTGTGTTTTACTAACATTTAATAATCTTGGCAGGTCGGCAGCTTGTGCTTGAAACATTATATGCTTTGACATCCAGTACCAAGATAGTTAAGGAGGCCATGGCAAAAGGTACAGTTACCTGCATTGCTTTTGGCTGTCTTTGAATTGTAAGATTCTTGATGGGCCCAAAAGAAATGGCTTCAGATTGGCTGTGATTAGAGGCACCAACAGTTCTGTCCTTTCTTAGGTGCTTTAATCTACTTACTGGATATGTTCTGCAACTCAACACATCCACAAGTTCGATCTCAGACAGCAGAGCTTTTTGCTAAAATGACAGCGGACAAGCTGGTTGGTCCAAAGGTAAACAAAAACAGCTTCAAGGATTGTATAGGCATTTAACAGACACTAGAAAAGCGCCAAAGCATGGGAGGCTGCATTATTTTCTGTAGCATGCACTAAAATGGCAGAGCCTCAGGCCTTGCTTGACTAAGGCAATACGCTTCTTAAAAATGCTCTCCCTCCCTGTGCAAGGAGGTGGTACAGCCTCACTGTGGCTGCAAATAAAAAGCCCTCACATGGTGTCAGCTTTAAGTTATACATTATGGAAGCCATCACTTACCTGGAAAAACTTGCTGCTTGGAGAAACCTACTTTCACAAGCACCCACTCACCTCCCACCTATAAACTCCAATGTAGGTCTGAGGTCCTTTTCACAAGATTGGACAGTTCTGAAATAATGGCTAGCCACATGGGCACAGCCTGCACACAGTGGATTTAAAAACATTTCTGTGGAGACATGAAATTGCTTTCCAGAAATGTTTCTTAGTGCTTTGCTTGAATCATGATACAAGCTGTTTGTTTAATTCACTGGGACATGATCTGATAGCTCAACTGTGATGAAATGTTGTAACCTGTGTGTTGCTTTCCAGGTTAGAATTATCCTAATGAAGTTTCTACCTGGTGTCTTTATGGATGCCATGAGAGATAATCCTGAAGCTGCTGTTCACATTTTTGAAGGAACACATGAAAATCCAGAGTTAATATGGAATGACAGTTCCAGAGAGAAAGTGTCAACAACTGTTCGTGAAATGATGCTAGAGTAAGTCAAAATAATAAAATACTTGCTTACTTATATAATCATAGTCATGGTAAAATTATGCAGAATTTAAAAGCCAGGATGGGATTCAGTGTGGAATTCTGTGGAATTGCAGCATCGGGTCAGTTTCAGAGCATAACTAATACTGTTGTTGTATTAGCAGAAGAATTTGATGATGCTTTTCTTTCTTTTTTCTTTTCTTTTTTTAAAGGCACTTTAAACTACAGAGGGACAATCCTGACATTAACTGGAAGGTAAATAAACTATAATGATTTTATAAATTAGAGGAAATACTTGGTTTGCTTTAGTGTTTCTAATTGATTTATTTTTGCATTTTTTCTAATGCAGATTTTTTCAAATGTATAGTCTCCCTTCATTGCTTTCCATTACTGTAATGCCCAGAACTACAGTGTAGAATATTTTGAATTGACATGCTCAGAATACATGTTACTCATAGATGTAAAAAATGTAACTTTTTGATGAATGAACAATGATACATTTTCCCCTTTCTGATTGATCCAGTTGCCTGAGGACTTTGCTGTGGTATATGGTGAAGCTGAGGGTGAACTTTCTGTAGGAGGCGTTTTCCTAAGAATCTTTATTGCCCAGCCGGCCTGGGTCCTACGGAAACCTAGAGAATTTCTTATTGCACTATTAGAAAAATTCACTGAACTACTGGAAAAGAACAACCCCCGTGTAAGTGAAGCTCACTGATTTTATGTTAGGCTTGTGTTACTGTCAGTCTGAACTTTTGAAAGTGGGCACAGGGTCATTGAAAGCTGTATAAAAGTCTTAAAGAGGATATGAATTCTGGTTCTTTTTCAGTGTGTATTTGTTGAAGTAAAGGTGGCAATCACTCACTGTTACAGATGTTCACTGAAGCCAACATGATGCAAACTTGCATAGGATTAAGTTCTATTTATAGTCAAACTTACTTTGGAGTAACCTTGCATGAAGTTGTGCTGTTACGCTGTTCAGTGAAATTTCTTTGAGTACAGTGAAATGTTTTGTGTGTAATAGAAGTAAATTTCTCCCATACAAGATTCTTGTCCTGGAAAACCAGTATGGCAATGAGGTTCTTGGGGTTGTGGTCCTTATACTTTCAAAGGAATAGGGTAGGCCTGTACTGACACTAAATGAGTTTAAGACGTTCCATATACTCAACTTGTGTATCAGTAAATATTGTCTTGTAAACTGACTTCAAATGGTGACCTGTTTTAGATCTGGAAAGTTCACCGACTCCTCTGTGTGTTGTGTTTGAAACAGGGAGAAACATTAGAAACGGTAACGACAGCAACCGTGTGCCTCTTTAGTGCTCAGCCTCAGCTAGCAGACCAAGTCCCCCCACTTGGCCACCTTCCCAAGATTCTCCAGGCCATGAATCACAGAAATAATGCCATCCCTAAAAGTGCCATTCGTGTCATACACATACTTTCTGATAATGAGGTAAGCAGACTTAAGTTTCTCTAAACAACTGTATCTTTGCTAAGTAAACAGGTCTTGCTTACTGTTTGGCTGAAAATGCCAAGAGTTTCCTGGAACGCTTTGCATCTGATTTATAGGCTGCCTTGTCAGAGACAGGGTTAAGCTCTTTGGACTAGTAATCCTGGTTGGATTCAGCATAAATCAGTTTTCAGTTTAAGCACATGCACCCCCAGATTAACTTGCCTCCTGTTGTCCACTTAATGGCAGTTGAGGACAGATCTGTACATGCTTCTGCCCTTGTTCATTCCACATAGACTTTTTCTTCTTGTCTCACACTGTGATGCAAGCAAACCTGCTCTGGCTGTTAATAAGAAACTTTCCTCCACACTGGGCAAGCCAAGAACCACAAACATAATGTACTAAAACAAACCCTCTAATGAGACCTGAAGCACATTGCATAGCTGATAGTCTGAATTAATCCTGAGTATGGGTGATAAGTAGCCATTAACATTAAGGGATGCTATCTACTGTGTCTTTGTTTGTAGCATGCATAGCAATAAAGTTCTTGGTATCTTACGTAGAAATCCCTGTGACGTTAACAGTTAGACATGAATCTTCAACAGAACTGCCTTTTCCTTTACACAGCTTTGTGTACGTTCAATGGCTGCACTAGAGACTATCTGTCCTCTGATGAACGGAATGAAGAAACGACCAGATACTATTGGAATAGCTTGTGAAGCACTTAATCGGATGTTTCAGAAAGAACAGAATGATCTAGTGGTCCAAGTAAGCAAATTTTACAAGTGTTTCACAGCATGGTTTTTCAGGAAAGCTAGTATACAGTTACATTCCAATATAGTTGTGCTTGTTTCTTACTGTTAGGGAGTAAACAGTTTCCTACTGTTGCCAGAGTAATTTTCCCTCTGGCATATTAGGCCAAAAGGCAGCTTGGCAGAGCTATGTATAGGGAGATCATCCCTGTGTGATAGAATATAGCCCTATTTTCATTATAATATGGCTCTTTTAGTTTTTATGGATCCATTCTAATTTAACTAAAATTTTATTTTTAACCTGCATCTTGTTAGACGTTTGGGTGCCATTTTTTGTTGAAAGGTAGGCTATAAATACATACAGAATAGCTTGTGCAAATACTGTCTTGTTGAATAAATGATGAATTTATCCTTCAGCATTTGTGCTGCATCTCCAGATTGCCAATCATAAGCAATAACTTTTAAGGACAAGCTGTATCTCTGCATGTATGTTACTGAAATATTATCATTTTAAATTTGAATTGAAAGGTAATATATTCTTTCAGTGCTCCTGTAAGTCAAAAGTAACAGTGGAGTAAGATGTAATGGCCCACAATAGAATCTCCGGTTGCCTTTTAAGCATTTTACAAACTTGTCTTGTAGGCTTTGAAAGCAGATTTGGTCCCATATCTCCTAAAGTTGCTTGAAGGTGTTGGCCTTGAGAATCTGGAAAGCCCTTCAGCCACAAAAGCTCAGATTGTTAAAGCCTTGAAATCAATGACTCGTAGTCTTCAGCATGGAGAACAGGTAAGCATCCTATAATTGTCGCAAATTCCTTTATAAAGCATTTAAAGTAAGGTCTTGAAAAACCAGTGCTTCAGGATTATGCCATTTTAAAAACTGCAGCTAAAGGGAGCCATTCTTTAAAAAATGAAAATAGCTCTGGGCTGACCTTTACAACGACAATGTTTCTGTCACAACTGAGATAGATACAGCAAGTGAAAAGGACCATACAGTCCTTGGGCTTCCTTACTTTTTCAGGTGAATGAAATCTTGTCTCGTTCCTCTGTGTGGAGTGCCTTCAAAGATCAGAAACATGACTTGTTCATTTCTGAGACCCAAACAGCAGGATACCTCACAGGTCAGTGAACATCCTCAATTAAGCCATTTCAGTCATTATTTCCTTGTTTTGTGCATCAATTGGCTTGTTTTTCTTGGGGTAGCATCTTAATTCACTGCTATGTTTGGTTTGTTGATGTGTTCATAGTTGTTAACTAAAGGGTTAACAGGCTGCAATGACTCCTGGTAAATGAGAACTGTCTGTTCTGCTTCACTTCTGAAGAAATGGTGGCCAAAAGTAACAATTAGTTGTGAATTCAATTGAAAATCAATTGAAATGAATTCCCCTTTAAAAAAAACACCTAGCTTTAATTCTGAATTTGTAAGGTACATCCAGTCCTTCAGAACGGTAGCATAAGCTCATGGTTGTAAGTGATCCACTTCTCACCTCAAGCCTTCTCAAGAATTTGTGGAGTTGTGCTTCACTCTTGCTTTGAAGTGCTTTGCTCTGTACTTCCCTTGCTTCTGGTTTCTTTCTCCCTCAGGTATCTCCTCTCCTTCCCTTCTCTCTGGTAGCAGTCCCCTTCATCTCAGAAGTGGGCTTTAGATCTACTTTGGCAGGCAGCTTGCTAAACTTCTCTCTAGCACTCTCTAAAGCAGGTAGATACTATTTTGCTAAGTGCATGTTGCATCTGCGCTGTTCTTAGACTAGTTGCTTACTCCGTGCATGGCATACACTTGTAACAAACCATGTGGCTGTTGTAGAACATTGTGCAATGCTCTTTTCTGGCATTCAGCACATTTTTCAACAGGGACTTCAGGGTTCTAAATGATAGCAATGTAAATAAGTATGTAATTGTCTTTGTGGTTGACTTAAAACTTGTATCCTAGACAGCATGTTGGTACAGTGACTGATGATGGTGGAATAGAAACCTGATCCCCAGTAGTTTATAATCTGCCTAACTAGAAAGATGTATAAATGCGCACACGTGTCTGGCCATAGATAAGGCAAATCATCTTGGCCTGAGCTGAATTAACAAGCATTCATGAAGCTTAAAAGAAAAAAACAAACAAACAAACCCAAATCACCCCTCCCATTTTCTTCCTTGAAACAGGTCCTGGAGTTGCTGGCTACCTTACTGCAGGGCAGTCTTCGTCTGTTCTGCCCAGTGTCCCACCGCCAGTAGACCACGAAGCTGGTGATACTGGCTAAAAGATATGAAACGCCTGTGCAAGAGACTCCAAGGCAGATTGGCCAGTGATGAAGGAGCCCATTCCTTGGCTTCAAACCATTGGAACGAGATCTGCCTGCCTTTCCAATTTCATGACAGTGTTATTCCTTTTTCTATGAATATATTTTTTTTAGAAAAAAGTTCACAATTCTATCACATTGTAACATATGAAGAAAGTACTTTGTGGATCAGCCTAAAGGGTACACAAGAGTTTTTTCTTGCTGTACGTAAGCACATTTTGTTCCTTTATATTTTTGTTTACAAGACTGTGAATCAAAACTCTTTTCCTAGTTTTTATATTTTATGAACTAGCATGACTGAAGTTGAACTGCAGTCTCGAAGAATTGGGCTAAATCACTTGATCCTCTCAACTTTCGCTAGAAGATTCCCCCTTCTATTCTCCAAGTTGGACATGATCATTCTCCTTGAACTTGACAGACTTGGTGTTTGCCTATGTCCTCAATCATTAATGTTACCTTCACGAGACCTAACAAGATATTTGTATGTATAACTGGCTTTACCAAATTGAAAAATTAAAATGCAGCAAAAAACTATTTAAAAATGATGTTAACATGTTATATAAAAACATAGTGTAATTGTGATATGTTCTATACATTATCCAGTATATAAAACTTTCTATATTGAATGTACATTACACAGATCATTCATATGTACATAAAATTTTAAAAAATAAAGGGAACTGAAAGCCTTGTTGATGAGAAAGACGTGAACTTGTGCTGTGCTGTTCCTTTGTGAACCTGGAAAGAAAATTAGGATATTGTACTGCCTCATTTATTCTATTATGTCTTCTGCTGAAAAAGAACAGCTTGCTTTCTTTTGGGAGGAAACAGCTGAAATCTATTTCAGCAAGAAGGTCCTGCATAACACAACAACATTCCAGGGGTCTGATTAGTGTGTGACCTGCCTGCATCTCTCCAAGTCAGAGCTACTGGGAAAACATGCCACGTGTGTTTTAGCAGAGATTTTTGGGAATGATATCAAGTAAGATTATACATTTCTCAGAATAAGGAATGTATCAATTCGGCTTCCATCCTCATAATGGCAGGAAGCCTTACTTTTTACCACTAAATACTTAGAGCAGGACTCCAGATAGCAAAATAAAAAAAAAAGACACAGGAAAAGAGAAGGTACTCAGACTAACAAAAAGTTTAATGAGAGACTTTGCATTTTTAAAGCTTCGTTCGTTTTTAGGCAACAGAGTGGCCAAGAATTGGCACTGGCAAGAGAAAAATAAATCAAGTTAAAAATGGAATTTATTAAACAAAGTCCATTGGAAATACTTTAAAATGAACAGCTTTGATATTTATACATGAGCATACTTTGCATTCCTGTTCAATTAGCTATCCCCCACTGCTAGTAGGTTAAGAAAACTCTTCGTTTTAAACAGAATTTTCTTTAAAAAATAACATTTTAAATGCTAATAATGATGTCACTTCTGCCTAGATTATACTTGGTTTTTTGTCAATTAACTTCTGTAGTGGGGTATTCCAGTTAGTGTACTGAGCAAGATGTGAGCCTTCTGAAAGCTTGCAGCTGCATCTAACACTTTTAATTGCATGTCCCACCCACAGTAATTAAAACATTGCACTGGGACACAGTGAGATCTGGGTTTTACCCCATAATCCTATTCAGCCATGAAGTTTACTGGTGACTCTAACCCACTCATTTCTCTCAGCCTGAGCCACCTCACAGGGTTGTTGTAAGAATAAAATGGAAAGGAGGTGAAGCTTATTAGCCACTTGGTTCCTTGCAGGAGGAAAAAATGGTGAAATATCAATGTGATGTTGTCTTAATAGTGATCGTGCCAGTCTGGTTGGCATTAAAAGGGAATTAGACAAATTCATAGATTATAACTAGTCATTATACCTATACATCATTTCCAGCATCAGCAGCAGTATCCATGTTCAGAAACACAGGCAGGAGTGCTATTGCATTTATATCCTGCTTGTGGGTTTCCAGCCAACATCTGATTGGCTATCATATAAACACAATATTAAACTAGACAGACTCTGAGGCTGATCCAGTCTAGCTCTTAGGTTAACTTGAAATCAAGCCATCCAAATAGGTTTGGCACTGTAGCTTTTTGGGTAGTAATAAAATGGAATGTTCCTGTTAATGGAATCCTTTAATACATTTCAAATGAGATCAGCATTGTGATACAGTGGAAGCACACCTGTGCCTTTATCTTACTGAAAGCTGGTTAAACAAGTTACTTCACATTTACTGAAGCTTTAAACAGGCTTCAGTAAATAAACAGCTTTAAACAGCTTCTTTCATGTCAGACAAGATTTTTTTGAGTGTTGCAAATGGTCCACAAACCCCCAACTGGAGTATCTCATTCCTATAGGGTGAGTTACATAATATGCCCTCTCTTAGGTCAATTTTGGGATTATGATAATCAAGCTACATGGTTGTATTTTCTCTGTTCTTGGCCAAGCCATTTGGATAAATCAACACACTTAAGAGAACTAGCTGAGATGGTGGCTGAGTATTTAGTCAAATGAAAGCTCAGCAAAAGAATCAGTGCTTAGGTACTAGGATTAGTCAAGTTTATTCAAGCTATGGAGAAACAGAGAATAGTATTGGAACTTGAGCAATTTCCATTCTATTAGTTTTGTCATCTTCCGCTCTTTAGGCCTGAGCATGTGATGCCCTCATGAGTAAGCAGAAAAATAATATTAAAGATGTGCATTCAGTGCCTTTGCTTGGTCAAGCAATTCTAATTTTGCAATATTTGAGAGGTGTACTTCATCAGGTCCATCTGCTACCCGCAAGGTCCGAATATAGGCAAACCTGTGCAAGAGTTGGAAGATCAGTTATGGATGAGCGTGCCATTGCCGCACCACCAAAGAAATGCTCTTTAAGTTTGTTCCTTAATTCTGTTCTTAATAAGATTTCCTAACAAGATTTCCTAATTATTTCACTTTCCATTTCACTGAACATTTCAACAGAATGGCCAAAGTTCAGTTCGTTTAAGCTTCTTGGTTTTAACAGCACGTTTACTCCTTTACAGCAGTTGATAGTTTTAACAAATGTGTAACTTTGGCAAAATCACACTGCACATGCTTGTATGCAAGCACAAGTAGTTGGGTGCTATTATATGAAATTCTGACTGAGACAAGGTTTTCACACTAGAAATGTTCGCAAAGACTTCAGCATTGTGAAAAATAAAAATGGCAGTTCTGGGAGCTACCATTAGGGTTTCTCAAAATTCACTGGAGCAATAGCACACGGGTAGTAGCATCAAAATGAAGATAGCTACTGCCATTGCCAGCAGTCAGTAATCCTGCTGGGGTGAACAAATGTTAAGAATGGCTCAGAGGGGCTGTCAAATTAAGGACCAGCACAGATACTGTTAGCATTCAAGGAATTTGAATGTGATTCGCCAACAGAATGTGGTTCCATATTGTGGTCTTTTGCCTACTGGTGGTCTTGAGGTTCCAGGGAAGCAACAACAAACCAGAAGCTTAAAACGCAATCGCAGGAGTAAGCAATTGTAACCCTCTGGGTATTGTAGCTTACAACCCCCAGCAGCCCTGGCCCACATAACCAATGGCCAGGGATGATGAGCACTGAAAGTAAAACCATCTGGGCAGCCTCATGGGACGTGCTTGACCTGGTGCATCCTGTACCAATATCTTTTACTCACATTTCAGCCAATGGAAAGTCTTCAGAGAATCCAGCACCTCCACACACTTGAATGGCACAATCAATCACTTTAAGGACTGCTCGGGGTGCCACCACTTTGATCATAGCAACCTGTATAGAGAAGTGAGCATTTTTAAAGATTTGTATGGGAACAAAAGATGCTTCCCAAAAATCAAAATTCTGAATGCCCAATAAATAGGAAGATTGCCACAGCTGCACATGAATTTGCTGCTTGTAAGTGCCTCTCCCAGAGCTATTCTGGGTAAAAAGCAAAATGTGTAGCAACACTCAGCTGACTTCTTGGCGCAGCTGGCTAATGATATGTCTACTGTGTTTACAAAAGCTGACTTCTAAAAACATGAAAGAAAAATCCCAGTCATGAACCAAATCATAATGAGTCATGAGAAGCCAACTCAAACAAGAAGGTTTAAATAACGATTTCTAAAACACGCAACCTTTCTATTTGTAACTCTTCAGGAGTTCCACCGTAGAGGCAGCCACAAAGAACCTCTATAAAATTATATAGAGTGACTGGCTAGAGTGTTTAGCCCAGGACCAGAACGATTTGGGTTCAAATCCCCACTCTGCCATGAAGTTCACCTTTGGCCAGTCATTATCTTTCTTGGACTAGCCTACTTCACGGGGTTGTTGTAAGGGCAGGATGCATAGGTGTGAGCCATGTATGTTTCCTTGGGCATTGTGGAAGAAAGAAATTGCTAGATAGATCTTACTGCTCGAGTTTTCTTTGTTTCTTTAACCATTTCTTTGCAGGTGCAGCACTGTACCAATCTGCCAAGTGTATAAACTTACCGTGAAAATCACAGAGAGTTACTTTGTTTGATCCAGACTGTCCTACTTGCAATAGATGATCCAGACTTGGTTATAGTTAGAGTACACCCACTGAAATTTATGGGACTTGAGTTTCTTATGACTACAGTTACCAAAATACACCAAGATGGTTATAAAAATGTGCCTTTTTATTATCCGAAGGAGCAAGGAGTTTCTGATAAGTATATATCTTGGCAAGCTGTTCTCTTTCCCCATCTTTTGTACTAGTTCGTCCCATTACCTCTTTCCTGGCCTCCTTGTTGCCCAGTGTGTCTATTCTGCTGGCTGCTTTCAGTGTAAGCAGTCTTGCCTGCTCAATAGCAATGCGGCTTTCAGCAATCCAGTGAGCAACAACTTCCTGTAGAACCATAAGGTGCAAAGACAAAACAAAACAAAGGCAATGAAAACAGCCAATTACTGCAACTCTACTAGTGGTCTCACTGAAAGCTAGTAGGTTCCCTAAATCACTGATCTAAATAGCTACAAAATCCCCCACTACATTTGGAGATGCTTTGAATGACTGAAATAAGCCAACATATCAAAACAAAACAAAACCAAGCACCTTAGCTACAAGCAGCAAAACCAAGAAGGCTTGTTCAAAGGGCTCTTCTATGTTTACAGTTTCTTCTGCTATCAAATAGTTATGTTCATAAGGGTTACAGATCCTTAGAAAGGCAAACCACATTACACATGGGAACCCGGGACTCCCCTCATTGCAGGCACAGCTATAGCTTAATGGGGTGGCAACACCTTCATGAATGGAACTCTGCCCTGCAGGTCAACCCAATTCCAATCTGGTACTCAGAAAATATCCTCCCACTACCCAGGGCAGGCAAGGAACATGTAAGCAGGCTTTTGCCCTGTTCCTGCCTCCATGGCAACTCCAAACTAGTCTCCAACTTTATAGTCTCCTTGTACGAGGGTTTCAGGTACTCCATTGCTCAGAAGCCATCCAGCTTCCTCTTGTGGTACTGAAGTCCACCATCCAGGATCTGATGCACCCTTGAGCCAGAAAAAAGGGGATTATGCATTCGGAGGGCAATATAATGTGAGAAAGAGAGAAATCACATGATGGTACAGCTTCTTCCCAAATGCCACTCGCTGAGCTGAACGCTCACACAGGATCTGTAGAGCAGTTTCCGCTGCCCCTATTGATCTCATGCAGTGATGAATGCGGCCTGGTCCAAGTCTTCCTTGAGCAATTTCAAATCCTCTTCCTTCTCCTGTATTATGAAATGAGAGCACTCAGATCTTCCATATTTATTGTTTACCTTTCTGGAAAGAGGTTTTGCTTGAGTGCTGATAATTCTAGTATGTAACAGTCAGCACTGTTCCATGGGCAAGCACATTGGAATTTTACTGGGAACACCAAAAGCTGCTGTATACCCAGCCTTTCCCATTTCTTGCTACCTTTCCCCTTTAGAAGCCAATCCTATGCATATTTAGATAGACAAGAGATCCTACACTGTTCCCAGCATTCCTCAGCCAGCATAGTTGGCTAGGGAATGCTGGGAATTGTAGGATTTTTTCTGTCTAAATATGCATAGGATTATATTGAAAGATCAGCTATGCAACTTATGGCACTCCAGTTGTTTTGGGCATATTGCACAAATGGCTAGAACTGCCAAAACATCTGAAGGATGGTAAGTGCTCACTTTGGCTTTAGATGGAGATGCTTGGAGCTCAACCGACAATATTCTGCATGCAAACTTTTACACTGCGATAATGGGGTCTATTCAGACGTAGGCCTAATTGTGTTCAAGTGGGTCTTGCACCTCTGTCCTGATAAATTTGCTCCAAGCTTCACTGACCTCACAAACCTGGGTAGACAAATATAGGAATGCACTATCAGTCTATATCTTATACATTAGGCCAAATGACGGGACTGCTGAGCTCCCTCCGACTGCACTGCTAGAGTGAGCATTCCCACATCTTCCAAAAAGGGCTTAGTGTAACGGAGATGAGCTAGAATGGCAATGGATGCAAAATAAGGCAAAAAGGAGATCATGCCCACATTAGGATTACAACTCTTGCTGTTGCCTTTACAGATGAACTTCTCTCTTCCGTATTCAGAAAGGAATTTACAGCTTTATATGTTTGAAATTCCAGTTCACTTCATCCATTTCTAACATCTATAAGCATCATGCATCAGGACTTCTACTTAGTGTGCAAATCCACAGTGAAGGAAGTAGTTAAGTGATTGAGAAACAAAGAAGCCGATAACCAAGCCAAGAAGCCTGTTTGAAGGAATGTGGAGGAGAAAAAAAGATAATTGGCTTGAAAGAAAGTTTGCTACTTCCTGTCTCATCCTCCCAGTAGTTTTATGAGACATGGGGTCACAGGGCAAGGTGAAGTTAGAGAGGAGTGAACTTGTAGTTATAAGCACACAGACATAATAAGTTGATGAATAATAACTCACACAACCTGAATAGACAATGGGCTAATTATAATGCACATGTGATGTATGTACATAGATGTATATAGTGGGATGAGCTGGGAGATATGTAGTATTTGATGGAAAGACTGTAACCTCCTACTACCTTACCCAATGAGGGAAAAGGGAAGGACTTTGGCAGACGGCTTGAGGGGTAAAGGAGCTGTTTTGTGTGTTTGTACTTTGGAGAGATTCCGATACAGCAGGCTCTCCCTGTCTATTGCAATAAATGAAGGAATCGCCTCACTCTGTTGGCCATCTTGGTTGTTTAACTCGAGAAGTATTTTCGCAGCTTTTTGCATAACAGCAGCCAGAACGGCCCTTCATTGCCTTTAAACTGTTCCATGCCACCAGGATAGCAAATTGAGCCCCGCCTCCCCATTGAGAGGGTCAACCTGCCGAAGCTCTTCTGCCATGGCTGTGGTAGAGGGCTGGCCTAAGATGCTTTGCTGTCTGAGGCAAAGGACAGGATGGTGCCCTCCATCCAGAACGGGGCTGAACAGTGGCCACTGCTTTCCATTTGGCAGTCATAACTGTGTCATCAGCAGGAAGGAATTGCTGGCGGCCTCCAGGGGAATGACTGGGGGAGGGGGGGCTACAGTTTGCTCCCCACCACTGGGGGTGGTTTGTTCATTCTACCTAATGGTTGGCACTGTGAGCTAAGCTAGGCAATCGCACCAGCGAATGTTTGCAGGGCTCCTGGGGGTTGCCAGAGAACCCAAAGTTGTGACTCACCAAGTATTAGATTGGAGGCAGGCACTTGAACATTGTAAAAATGCACTTCAAAATGTCCACCATGAAAATAATCTGTAGAGCAATGAAAACAAGAGGGGGGCTTGTTAATGAGAGGCACAGTCAGCAACAATCATGAGAAAAAATACAGGATCTTTGCCAGCAGCAGCCTATTCTCTCCGTATAGGGTTAGAGCCAGACTTAGTCATGCTTGGAGTAGACCCAGTGGAATCAATGGGAATCTATCATGCCTAACTTAAGCTCCATTCCTTTCAGTGGGTCTCCTGTAAGCATCAGACAGATTGGGTCCAGCCCATGATGCACAGCAAGCAAACATCACAAAAGTAGGTATCTAATGTTAATCCTATTTAGAGGAGTCCTATTGAAATGAATGGTGTTTAAATTAGCCCAGTACTAGATACAGCCCCAAGTTGGGTGGTGGTGGTGGTGGGGAAATCTATGCTGATTGCCATCCTATGGGCAAACAGACAAAATGCAGTAAACAAAAAAACCACTACAGAGCACTGATGACTTTATTACAGTTTTTGACCTTAGGATGGCAATGAGCATTGATTTCTCTCCTCCTCCTCCTCTACCTCCTCCTTCCTCTGCTCTACCAGCCATGTTGCCAACAGAAGGCTAAGTTCCTCTTGCTAGAGGTCTGATCACTTGTAGAGGACTTTTGAAATTGGGCCAAGCGAAACCTAAAATTACACTGAAGGCTGTAGGCAGCCTACCCCTGTATTCGGCATCCGCAGGAAGCTACCCCTACAGTGAAGTGACGCGGTCTCACATTGCTAGAACCAGAAGTGCTGCCTTGCCTTTATAACCACCAAGGGGCTTAGGGGAGATTACCCATCCCAGGTGTTTTGCAGAACATTCTTTGTGGTTGTCTGTTTTTGTTGTTTTAACAAAACAACAAAATGCTTTTAATGCTTTTGCTGTTGTTTTTATATTTTATTGCATTTCAGTGGCTTGTTTAACTGCCCAGAGAGCTTCAGCTGTGGGGCTGCACAGAAATGAAATAATAATACCACCAATGGAGTTGCCCATTTTAAACTTTTGTTTTCTTTCTCTCTTTAAATATACAACACAGGGTTGGGATGGAACCTGGCAGCTCAAGGTGCAGGCCCAGTAACAGAAATGCTGCTTGGTCCAGCTCTAGGGAAGATGCCAGGCTCCCCTTTCAACAAGTCTGGCCAGTCAAAGGAGGCGTGTTCAGCACCCCAACTTACGAAAGTATCCAAAGACTGAAAGAGGCCTTATCAGTTGGACTCCTGGTGTATCCATCGGCACTATGATCATACTGTGCTGTTTGTACCTAATCCAAACAAAACAACAAAAAGGTGATGCTGAATGTCAAGTTTTCTTTTAAAACAGCACCTGAAAATAGAACAGCTATTGTCAAAAGGGACTTCCAGCAAGAGGAAGCCTTGTACTCCCCCCACACTACTGTATACCACATTCAGCAAGGTCTTCCAACTCTTTCTATAAAGGGGACTGAAGGGGCTCCTGTGGGGAGGAAGGCAAGGGAAAATCCAGTTCTATGCATTCATTTGACCCAGAGTAAATCTGGATCCAAACCCCTTCCATCTAGTCTGTTCTTGTTGCCCCACAGAGGCTGCCCAACTGCTTTAGGGCCGTTGAACCGAAGCAGTAGGATCCCACTCAACCCAGAATGCCGGTGGTGTAGGAGCAGGGTGGAGCATTCTACAAGATCTTGCCCTGCAGGCTGCCCTGATGCCATGGATGAAAGAGCACAGGTTGTAAAAGGCCATTTTAGGTGAAATAACATCGTGTAAGATTTCTCTGTTACTCTGTGCACTTTGTGCCACAGATTCCAAATACCACAGTTTGCTTTTTACCTGGATGCAGAGGCATTTTTATGTCTGGCCATCACAATAGCAAATTTGCAATCTGGACTACCGGCTCCTAAAAGATGAACACAAATGAGACATTTTGGTAAAAGGTTATAGCACTGGGGAAGATGGCTGACTTGGCAATCAGTATCAATCAGTAGAACTTGCTTCCAAGTCAGTGAGAATATTCTGTTTAAAAAAGCAGGTAGCAAAGTGATGTAAAAGATAATGGGTTGAATCCAAAATTATCCATAGTAGGAAATGATCCAATTAAATCATAGTTGGCTTAAATCCTATCCATTTCAATGGGTCTACAAGCCTCTAAGAACATAAGAACAGCCCTGCTATGTAAATCAAATGGATCAGACAAAAGGTCCATCTAATCCAGCACACTGCACGCATGGTGACAAACCAGCTGCCCATAGGATCCCTCAAGCAGGATGGGTGCAAGACCTCTTCCTGTCCAAGCTCCTCAGCAACTGGTGCATGCAGCCAGGCCACCTCTGGTGAAGTTGGTGGCACACAGCCAGCAAGTCAGCTGCTCTTCCTGAAACCTAGAAAACAGCTACTAATCAGGATAGATGATCCTGGGGGAGACCCTAACCTTGTGTATGGAAACTTCTTGTGAAGCCAGAAATCCACCAGATTTTCCTGCCTGGCACTGATACAGAGGGCCAAACTACTTGAATTGGCTTGAGTGAGTAGCCACTGGATTTGACAACTGGCACATGTGAACCTGGTGCTAATTTGAGACACACTTGTAAATACTGATAGCAGCTGGTTCAGCAAGGCTGGCATTGCAGCAATGGCAAGATGGGGTGCCCAATCATCGGGGAGCACATGTCAGGAAGAAAGACAGGTAGCATGGAGCAGCACCTCACTGCCAACAGCTCAGCAGTTGCTAGGCAGAAAGGGTCAGCACAAAATGGTGTCAGCGGCTGCTCCTGACTCACCATTGGAAACGGAAACTTTCATTTGTAAATGAAATCACTTATAATGACAAACCATGTTGAAGTGAGGAAACCTTACAGCAGACTGTTGGTTCTCCATGGGGATTCACAGTAACCAAATATGCTGCCCTTATCCATGCTGGCTGAATTCAAATGTAACAACAAACCACCCCAGCATGGCTTGTCATTATGTGTGAACAAACTCACTGTGATGCCTGAAGGCAGCCAAGTTAACAGACCATGGTGGACAACTCATAGTTCACAACCCAGCAACGATCAATAACTAGGCTCAGACAATACAGCTGCCCACGCTGAAAGGCTGAGTGTGGCTTGACATGGAACCATGGGTTATCAGGCTGTCCAAACCCAGTCATGCTAATAAACCATGGCTGGTTAAATACAAACTGTCCTGCACCACCTAGATAGTTTCAATTGTTTGGCAGTACAGAACTATAATAAATAAATAAATACTCATGGTTTACTAGCATGGCTGTAGTCAGATAACGTAAGCCGTACTTCAGAACAACCCACAGTTCAATGACACCCCTTGCTCCATACATACTCAACCATGAGTTTGGGTTATCCTGTATGAACCTGGGAGGGACATTTCATAATTTGCTTAAATTAAAAATTAGTGATACAGCACGGGAATGATCTGGGTTCGAGTCCCCGCTCGGCCATGGAGCCAACTGGGTGACTTTGGGCCAGTCACAGACTCTCAGCCCAACCCACCTCACAGGGTTGTTGTTGTGGGGATAAGATGGAGGAGGAGAACCATGTAAGCTGCCTTGAGCCCTTTGTAGGAAAAAGGCAGGATATAAATCGCAATATAAATAAATATAAATAAATAAATAAGGCAGTTGGACTTGCACTGCAGACTTCACTGATGTAAATGGTCATGCAGGGGACACGTCGAGGGGAGGCTTATGTGTGCAGCCACTCCACCTGAGAGCCAAACCAGTCCACACAGAGCAGCAGCACCTTGTTTTTTCCTGTAATTTTTACTCTAGAGAAGCAGGGAGGCCATCCAGTTTGGGATCCTAATATGGGGGTAGGAATCAGGATCAGGCCTGCTGTGCCTGCTCTGGAAAGAAAAAGACACAGGTAGCTCCTGGAGTGCTTTTAAGAAACGCCTTAATGGTCATTATGGGATTTCACAGGAGCTCCAGATGACAGTGCCTTCAGTTTGTAGAAATCTGTTTTCCCAGTGCTTTGTGCATCAATTTTAATGAAAAAAATTGCCATGGATGAAAAGATGGAATAGAGACACAATGCCTTTTGATTGCAAGAACAGTTAGAAAGCAGATCTCCCAAAGTTTTGAACTAGCTAAATTGCCAATTTTAATTATAAGGTTTCACTGTACTGTATTAATTGAAGTAAAACTGAACGTGTTAATCATGTCCTAGCACGTGATAAGCGAATTGTCACTTTCCACCTCTAATTTTAGCTCACAGATTTTAATTTATTTAGAAATGTGTAAAAACAACAATAAAAACCCATTCCAAATCAAATGTTCCAAAACTGCTTACACAAGTTACACTAGTAAAATAAACCAGAAGCCTAAAAGACACAAACATACAATGTAGCTATAAATTTTTTAAAAAGAGACTGAATTTCAGGGCTGAAACTCAAGGGTTTTCATGAACATCTGGGATGTGATTAAGAAAGTCAGTTTTAGTTTTGCCTAACTCCAAAAAGAGTCCTGTGTGCATGCTAGGTGAGCTTTCTGGGGAAGGCATTTCACTAATGGTGTCCCACCACTGAGAAAGCTGCTCCCAGTGGGCAGAAGCACCCAGAAAGATGTCCTCAGTCAGTGGGCAAGGCTGATGCTTTTTCATTAACAGAAAAACATCGCTATGTAAATCAAATGGAGTAGGAAGAAGGGAAACAACCAAGTGCTGCAATTCCATGCATGTTCAAACAGATAAAAAGTCATGCAATTCCAAGCACTCCCTAACCAGGGAGATTGTACAAGATTGCAGCTTAAGTGGATTATCTTCACCATTAAAGAAAAGAGTATTAAGCTCAATCCAACCAATTTATGCCTTTGTCTTCTCTACAGCAATCAGTGAGAGGTAGAGGGGCTATCATCTGGTGGGACTGTACTTACTATTTGTAATGTTACTCAGTGTATAAGAGAACTATTTTCTAGCGGAAGCCACATCTGGATTAAACTAGGTTTACAGCACCAACTGAATTCTTTCCTCAGTCCTGTGCCCACCACATCTGGGGATTCTACGCCAATATCTGGCTTTCCAAAAACAATTTTGCTCAGAGCTGGGGCAGAGAAACAGAGGTTTCCTGTGGCTCAGATGCAACTGCTGATTTCCAAGAAATCAACAGCATTGCTAATAAACAAGAGTTTAAAGGAAAATATAGCTGTGCACTGGAAATGAAAGGCGTGGTGGTGCTGGAAGGAAGACAAAAATCTTGAGTCAACCCAAAAGGCAGCATTCCACAAGGAGAGATCAAAACTGCAGCTCCTGCTACTTGAAAGAAGACACAGGTCAGTTATTAATTCTTCTTAGTAAGTCAGTACTTAATTTTGAAACTTACCAAACTTGCCAGCATTTGGAAAGAGGACAGGCTTTAACAGTGTGCATTTTGTGACCGATTAGTACAATGTCCACCTTAATGGTCACAGGGAGGGACAGATTATCAAGAACCCCTGTGAGCATCAAGGTGGGCATTTAACTAGCCAGTCACAAAATCAAAGATGGGTTGATCAAGTTCCATATTGTCTACACTAGATTATCCAAGCTGGTGCCCTGCAGACTTGTTGGTCGTGACTCTCAGCATCCCCAGCCAAATTTGGAGGGCACCAGGTTAGGAAAGCTCAGTTGGCAGCACCTTTCCAGGGTTTTTAGATACTCCCAGACCAATGTATTTTGCTGCCTAGAGCAAGGGAGCCTTACTGCTGCTCGCCCAGTGCCCATCTGCTCAGTTTCAAATGTTCAAAGCAGACAGCCACTGGCACTTAACTGGAATTAGTGGCATTTCTGCAAGGTATCCATTGCTTTATTTTTATTTTTATTATTCTTATTCTTATTATGATTATGATTATTACACTGCATTTATATCCCACCCTTTTTCCTTTTGCAAGGAACTCAAGGAGGTTTTGCGGAGACCTTCTTCATTCCATTTTATCCTCACAACAACAACTCTTACTAATCTTTTAAATGGTATGCTATCTCTTCTGCCCTAGATAGCAAAAAGGTAGCTTCACCCCAGTTCACATCACCATCATAATAAAAACTTAAGGAAAATATAGATCACAGCACACCGTTGTTAAAAATCTAAAAACCTTTAAGGACTGCCTTTTGTAGAGAGGGCTGGAGGGAGGCTGGAAATTCCCAGTGCATATACACACACTAAATCAGACGCAACCCTTTCGGTTCCTGACATTCGGATGTTGAAAAAAAGGGAACTGTTGATCAAGGGAAGAAATCCCATGGTCTACAATTAGATGGATGCTGGAGGCTGAACAGTGCTGGACAGTGGGACTGCTGCCTCTCCTAGTGGACAATTGGGAGTCAATCACAGGGCTTTGCAATGTTGGTTAAGGGGAGATTGCTATAAGGGGTAGCTCAAAGAAGTTGGTGGGGAATGGAAAGGAAGCTGAGGAGGAATACACTAGAGGCTGGAGAGAACCAACCTCATAGAAGAACTCTCCGCCTGGATCAGAGATACAGTAATTTTTGCGAGCACAGCGAGTTCCTGAATTCAGATTTTGTTTCAAGCAGCAAGAAGTACATTCCTTTGATTCACTGGTGCAAAACTGGGGAAGGAGCACTGTCATGCAATGACAGCCTTACAGGTGACCTGGGTAGCAGCTGGTGTGCTGAGGGAGTCCAAATATTGTGAGGTCAAGAGAGGGAGGCAAGTAGCATGCTGAGGCAATGCAAAGGTCTCCAGGTGGAACACAGGAAGGGATGCATGTGACAGGAACTCCTAACTGTAACAGCGTAGTAGCTGCTGATTCCTGAGAAAAGGATGGTTCGCACTGATCTTCCCATCTGCAGGCTCAGGAAAAGTAAAAAGAGCGGTCAGGAAGCAGAGCTGGGTTTCAGCCAAGCAGGCTCAAATTAGCTCCTTGGAGCAGGAGCCACTCTGAACAGCTTCAAGGACAAAACGTTGCTGGTCAGCAGCCACTGAGGACTTCCTGCTTCAGCCGATTCTGCACTCAGAGCTAAGGTTGGGACAACTCTGCGGCTGGTAATGCTGCCGCCTGAATCGTAACTGCTTCGTGTAACAAGCTCTCCTCTTTGGAAGTGAGGCTTCTTCTTTCAATACAGACCTCCTTAGCATCAGAGCACCAAAAACAACAGCCATGAGTCTAATGTCCACTCACTCCATTTAGCATAACTGGGTGCTAATGGTGCGGGGCAGGACAACCTGGACTGTCAGCAAGAGGACAGGGAGTGGCGGACATGCAAGAAGAACTACCCAGAGGGTCACAAGGCCAATGCAATGCCAGGGACCCCGCTGCTCCCCACTACACAGATGGAGTCCTGGGAGCAACGTCGCAGGGCCAGGACAGGCACCAACAGTATGCACGGGAGGGGAGGCAGGGCAAACCGCTCCTCCCCTGGACAGCTGTGCATCAAGCTGCTGCTCTTGTAGGTTGTCATACTGTCTAGTTTCTGCCCATGTGCAGATTACTTCCCATGAGGTCCAGAGTATAGACACAAGTTTTGGTGCTTGAGCTACTTCTCATTTATTTAGCTTCACTGTGGTTTTTATAAGGATTTACCAGAATGCATGATGTTCTCCATATGTGAGGCAAAAGGCTCTTGAGTATTTTTTTTTTAAATGAATGCTGGGGAAACCAGAACTGATTTGTCCTTCCAAGCCCAGAGCTTGGGGGGCTTTGCTCTTCAAAGTCTGGGTTCAAATCCATGTGTATTGAATCACACTGATGTGCATTAGTGTCATCACATCTTTTTTCTAGCAGGCTTATTTTCCATGGCTAGTGAAGAGATTTCCTTTTGTTTCATTCTGGGTCAGAATTTCTCCAAAAAGGACAATTTACTTCATATTGAGGACAGAAAGATTCAGGAGATTAAATCATCCAAATATGGAGCTAAGCTAAACTGGGAGATTCATCTGTTCATCAGTGTCGGGGACTCGAGGGGGGCAACTCGCTCCCAGGTCTGACTCAAATGGTGTCAGTGACTCGACTCAGACTTGACTCGGGAGCAACGAGCAACTGACTTGAGAGTTCTGCTGTTTTGTCTCCAAGTCACTCCAGGGCTTACCACCAACATCCAATGTATGGCAGGATATCCTGGGGCAGCCTTGGCAGAAGGCATCTGCTGGCAGGCAGGCATGAACCCTTTGGAGGCAGTGTGATATGGAGAAGCCAAGGCTTCAGCTCTTTTTATTTTGGAACAAGGAAGACAGTGAAAGAGTGGGACAAGGGGAGGGGGGGTGATACAGGAAAGGAAGGCAAGGTTCCAGCTCTTTTGGGGGGGGGGCGGGGTACAGCTTTCCCATCCCACCCACACACACAGCCCACCACCATCTCCCTTTTTTATGTTAAAGTTGACTCTTGAGACTCAAGACTCAACTTGAAATTTTCTTGCAATGAGCTAAGATTCGACTTGGACTTGAAAATAGAGATTTGACTCAAGACTTGGAATAAAGGACTTGAACACATCACTTTCATAGTTTAAAGCACAATACCAAACATGTGTAGACAAAAAGAAAAAGGATTATAGCTCTTAGAATTCCCCAGCCAGCCATGGCAAGGCATGCTGGGAGCTGTAGTCTAAACTTGCTTTGGAGCATCCCTTTAAAGTCTTTGATTCAAGTATTTAAATAAGAAAATTACCTTGTATTTCAAAACTTGGTGACATATGTTTCAAGAGGCAAATAACTTTTTGGTATTTTCTGCCAGCTTATTCCATGGAACCCTATCCTAATACTTCTGAATACTCCTACTACTACTATGATGAGTTTAATGGAACTATAGACTATACTTTGTTTGAACTGTTGTGTACCAAAGAAGAGGTGAGAAAATTCAGTAAGTCATTCCTCCCAGTGTTTTACTCTATTGTCTTCCTTGTTGGGCTTGCTGGGAATTCCCTGGTGGTGGCAATCTATGCCTACTTCAAAAAACTAAAGACCAAGACGGATGCATACATCATGAACTTGGCCATTGCTGATTTGTTGCTTCTTTCCACCCTTCCATTTTGGGCTGCAAATGCTGTAAAAGGATGGGTACTGGGCATTCCCTCGTGCAAAATCACTTTTGGAATATACACCATGACCTTCAGTGCCAGCATGGCGTTCCTGGCCTGCATCAGTGTGGATAGGTATCACGCCATCGTTAAATCCCAACGCCAGCAAAGGCCTGTGAGGCACTGCAGCTACACATGTTCATTCGTCTGGGCAACTGCCATGTTACTCAGCATTCCAGATCTAATTTTTAGCACAGTTAAGGAGCACCACAACAGAATTGCATGTCTTCAGATGTTTCCTGAGAGCTTAGGGAAAATAATTAGAGTCATCATTGAAATCCTGGAAATAACACTGAGTTTTGTGCTGCCTTTACTCATCATGTTAATTTGCTACTTTGCTGTGGCCAGAGCTCTCTTCAAGAGTTCCAGTGTTAAAAAATACAAGTCCCTAAAAGTTCTTGCCATGGTTGTTGCTGCCTTTATCATCACCCAACTGCCTTACAATGTCATCAAGCTTTGGAGAGCCCTCGAGATTATCCACCCCCTAATTACAAACTGCAGTGTAAGCAAAGCTGTCGATGTAGCATTGCAGGTGACTAATAGCATTGCCTTGTTTCACTGCTGCCTCAATCCCATCCTGTATTTTTTTATGGGGGCCTCTTTCAAAATGCATATGGTTAAAATAATGAAACGTTGTGCCTCGTGGAGAAGACAGCAGAGCATGGCGCCGGAAGAAATCTGTATGGACCCTGAAGATTCGACTGGACAAACAAGCAGTTTTACTATCTAGAGAAGAGGAGATCACTGTTCCCCAGTCCACCCTAACGTAATGTTTAGTTGTTCTGGACTGATTCTGTGATATCTGAAAGGCCTTGATCAGTGAGAAAGAATGGCATCTTGGTCCGTTGGGCTTCAACCAGCAGGTCTAAGTTCATAGCTGGAGCAATCTGTTCTCAAGTCCTCTTGGGTGTTTCCATTATTGCTTTATAATACAATGTAATCAAATCATATGATTCAGTAATATATGAATAGAGGAAATAGTTCAGCTTGTTTCTTGCAATATTCATCTTGAATAATTCATTTGAGGTACAAACATGTGGCTGTGAGCCAGTTCCGATCTTGGAAAAGCACTCTGACTTTGGAAAGCCCTCCTTTTGCCCTCATGGTCAATGTAGTACTTTTTGCAGCTGGCAGTAAGCCCCATTCAATTATGAGGGTAGCATTCAATGTAGCCCTAGCACTGGCAGTAATGACTTTGCACTAGTATAAAGCAATGCCTGTGCAATGTCACTAGCATTTGTTCAAGAAAAGGGAAAAGCGACTATTTGCTGCCTACTTCTGGTAGCAAAATTCTGGCAAATTAACCACGCATTAACACTAGTACTCAGTCACAATTGGCTACTACCCATTAGGACTTACTTCTGGGAAGACCTGTAGAGGCCTCTGCTGTTAAAGAAAGGTGCAAATGGGGTGGAGAAATGAGAGAGGCACTTAAAGTTTAAAGAAAGACTTGATTAAGGTGCAGTGATGAAAAACCCACAGAAGCTCTCATTCTCCAGGCTGACAGTTTTATTGGGAGGGTCTATGGATCTGACTGGGGCAGGGGATCTGGTGCACTGGAAAAAGGAAAGTCTACTGAAGCATGGATTTCCCCGCCACCCACTTCTTTTTCTGTCTCAGCTTGGGATATAGGAGAAAGTCCCTGGAATGCAATAGGAGATTAATAAGCCAGCAGGACAGGCCTTGTCTGGTCCTTAAAACAAAGGAAACAGTGAAATACTAACAAGACCAGATGACTTTCTACTGTTTTTAAAGGCATAGGACTGTATTTCTTCCCTCCAAGTAAAGGTGCCTGGTAGTGTTACTCCTCCACTAAAAACAAAGAGAGAAAATTGTGAGAGGGCCTTTCTTTGGCAAAATTGTTCCTGTTTTCTAATACTCAGGAACTTTTCCAGGGGGGAGAGAGAGAGGGAGAGAGAGAGAGAAGAGCTAGACTGTATACTACATTAATTGCATAGTGTGTAGGTGAGTCTGGCTTTTTACTTTCGAATAAGTAGCGTGATAACTTGTGAATCCGCAAAAAATATGGCATGCATCACCAAATGTGCAGATAGCAGAGATATTTGCATAAAATTTTCACATGCTGATGTAAATATTTCTATGCAAATATGGGAATATTTATTGCAATTTAAATAAAAGTATAGTGCATCTGGCCATAGTGTGGAAGGCTGTGACCAGGTGTCCTGGCGGGCCTTGCTCAGTGCAGGTGTTGCAAATGGGTAATTGCAAGACCCGGCATTCCTTTTGATGCTCTCCATCCTTAAACCAGACTTGGACGGGACTTTTCTCTGCCAGCCCCGTCAATGGAGGACTGCCCTCTGTAGAAGAGGACACATGACCATCTTGATCTAATTGGACCAATACATGCAGGTAGAGTTGATTTAAACCTTCTCAACCACCTGCTTTCCCCCACTAAATCTCCCCTTCCTGCACAACATCTACGAAAAGAGAGACAATCTCTATTGGCATGGAGCGGGCTTTTTCTTCTTTAGTCCCTGTAGGGGGGGTGGGTGGAGGTAAATTTCTACTCTGTCCAAAGGTTTTGCTCTGACTCAGCTTGGCTCTAGAGAGATGGAGAAATCTGTCTTTGATTTCTGAGCTTTCCAAACTCTCTTCTGCTTCATATTCATTTTTCAGTTTTCTTTTTGCTATAAGCCCTACCTTATTATAGCAATACCTTTTCGCATTTGCCCCTTGATATGCAACTCTTTACTTTACATTCTGACAGTAAAATGCCAGCTGCTAATCATTTGAGAGGAGGATTCAATCTCTTTTATTTTCAGTGATTTTTTTTTCAAATCTGAACATGTTTTAGCCATGCGTAGGTATGTTTTTGACTTAATTATATTCTCAGTTATATTCTTTTGATTTTTTGCTTCAAAAATATATGTAGTTAAAAGAGGTGGACTTTAGAATGTCTCAATGCAAAGTGCAAAAGGGAATCAGTGGGCAATTTTGGTATTACCAAGAATTTTTCAACTGCTGGTATAATGATTTTGAACTTGCTATTTTTGAATTCTCTGTATACTGGGTATTATACATACAATACAATATATAAAATATAGACAAAAGTCACTGTAGATATCGATCATCTTACCTTTTTCTTTGTTTCCTTTTTATATTGTTCTGTCTTATATTTCCTTTATATATTGTTCTGTTTTTGTTATTTTCATGAAAAACATGCATACACATTTACATAAATTCATATATATCATTGTTTTCTGTGATTTTCAACTCAATTTAGTTCACTTTCAATCTAACTCTGATCATTTGCCCACTGGGTCAAATAGATAGTGAGACAGATTTAATTTAAGAACTTGCTTTTAAAATGGCAAGCATGTTCTATTGCAGAAAATTTCTCCTAGCACCCTAGTCCTGCATCTTCTCTCACTCATCATATGGAACAGGGATCCTGAGAATACACAGAGCAAAGGCATCAGACTATGGGGCATTCTCCACTTTATGTTCTCGGGGGTGGGGGGAATGACACACCATTTTCAGTTGTTCCTTGAGATTGCTCCTTGCAGCAATGCAGATAATTAGCTAGAACCTCAGCATTAGTTCAGTCACAATTTATTAACCAGAATCTGATAGCATTAGGAAAGCGGTATGGTATTTAAGTAGTTGAATGATGGACAAAAAGACCAGAGATGTGTGAGGAATTTGGGGGTGGGAATCCATCAAATTTGCTAGACTGCAACTTGCTTTCTCTCTCTCCTGTGTTTGTTTTGCACAGAGCATTTGTGTGAGTGCCCAACAGGAAGTGAGTTCAAGTGGAGTTCTGTTTCCGCACACTTGGCTTTGTGAACTTTGCTCAAAAAATGACATACGTTGGGTATTTTGGGCAATTAAGTATGTACTTTGTGTATTTTGCACAAAGAAGCCGCTAACACTCCTGTGTGTTTGTGGACTTGATCTTAGCTTAGCTCCCTTCCTACCCAGCATGGGAAAGAATGGCAAGCACAAGAGGGCCAGATTCCAGCCTGGTTTTTGCATCCCCAAAAAAGACACCAACACAATTTGTTGCATCCCCAAAAAAGACAACATCAAAGTCTATTCCTTCATTTTAGAGTGGTAACACATCCTGATTCACTCGAAACAGTTTTGTATTTGTAGGGCTGCTCAATCCAAGCCCACTTTAAAAATAAAGATCCGCCAAAAGGGAGAGAAAGGAGAAAGGTCTTGAAACTGCCGATCAGCAGTGAGCACCCGGATAGCTGTGTGAGCGGGCACACAGCTCTCCTGATCATAGCCCTCCCCCAGTGGAGAGCTGTATTGTGTTTCCATTTAAATGGCAGGAATTACTTATACATTTGTACTCACATATATAGCAGGTATGCACTGTATGCAAATCTGTATCCTCTTTGCTACTCCATTCTGGTAAGGCATTGCCTCTCTTTTGGTGATGGATCAGTGGCATAAGTCCTACCACTGGAAGGATTCTGAAGCCTAGCACTTGGCGGATTTGTTTCGTGAACATGAGTGTCCACTGGTGTCACTGGGAGGGTTTTTCTTAGCTAAATCGCACTGCAAGGGTTGATTGTCAAGGGGAATTGCACCTGGGGAAGGAATGGCCAACTCTGCTTTCCCCACAGGCCATGACACCCTCCACCACACACAAAAGATCTCCCCCTGCAAGACAGTGAAGCTTAGGAAACACTTTTTCCATTGGCTTAGAATGGATGCAACTTAATTAAAGAATGTATCTTATTTGAGATTATTGAGATAAGGGAGCAATTGGCTAGGTTTGCCTCTTGCAAAATGTACATGAATATTTTAATAATTTCTGCATGTGCATATAAAGATATAAATCAACATATTTAAATGTTATATGGATTTACTGGGCCCTGAATCTTTTAAGAGCCTAGCAGCACCCACTCCATAGGTGAAGTAAGTGCTTATACTACAATCTGTAGCATAAAAGTGCAAAGGCTTGTCAGTCATGACACTAAAACAAACCTATGTTTCTTGTACTCATGTAGCAATTGCAAGAAACATGGGAGGCAGAGAGCGAGAGGCAGAAACAACCTGTGCTTCGGTCATTCTACACATTTCTACTCACCGCTGCTCCACCATTTCTTGCCATTGATTACGTAGCATTCTCCATCTCTCTGAAGGCTGCACTCCATATTGGCAGCATCACTGGAAGCAACATCAGGTTCTGTATCACATAGAAAGAAGAAAACAAACATTGGAACTGAGGTTAACCCAAGAGAAACTGATGGCATTTTCCTCTTGTATGAGCAGTGGTGGTAGAAGAAGCATCAGAAGCTCATCCCCATCCTTCTGCATCATCCTGACAGCAGGCAAGGATGCAAAGACTGGGCCACTCCAGTAGGTCTCCTCACATCCTTGCAGGCTACATGCCCCAAGGCCCTGCTACTCAAAATATCAGGCTGATGGAGAAAGAGGGAAGGCTTTCTCCTTTTCCCACTGCCACTTGGATAGGAAGGGGAGTGTGTGTTTGGGAGATGAGGGTGAATGGGGAAGATGTTTAGGATCCATGAGGGATGGAGGGCATCCGTTTCTGAGCCCTCAGACTAAATTGGGGTAAAATAATAATTAAAAGTTTTACAAAGGTTTATTTTCTTCCGGGAGACCTCCTCAGGTAATTTCCAAATTTACCTAAGGTGAACTTAGAAAGCATTGCCTTGGCTGGAAATTAAGACAGGGAGATATGCATGTATTTGTTATGTTTCATTATTGGCTTTGAAATGCTGCTTATGTTATTAATAGTTATGTGGTACAGAAAGATGCATGATGGTGAAGAAGGAAGAGATTATTGGAGACCGGGCTGAATTATTATCAATATTTTATAAGTATGGAATTTCTTAGGGATTCTTCTCTCTTAAATAGATTGAAGGCAATTCACATTATTAAATGATAATAAAGAAAAAAATCCATTTAAAATACTCAAATCTAATGAAACATCAGTACAGACCATAGGAAAGCAACTCCATTCATAAATAGTTCACTCTATGCCTTCAAACATTTGGAAGTAGAGGAAATTCTCGACCTGGTACCAAAAAGATGACAACATTGGCGCCAGGTAGGCTAGCCCAGGTTATCAGAACTCAATTTGTATTTTTAAAAAATGCGATTTGTTTCTCTCCTTGCTATATGTGAATAGCTGTAGTTCTAAACAAAGAAACAATTACCTGTCATGCAGAAGCAAGAACTGATTTTCCCTTCTAGGAGAGGTTCCAGCCATTGTTTCTTTTGTTCTTCTGTTCCATACAAGTGCAGAACTTCCATGTTTCCTGTGTCTGGGGGGCAGAAGAAAGGTCACTATTGCCATTCCTATTCCACCCAGTAGAAATGGATTGAAACTAGACTGTGTCATTCTTACTGCAGACCGACTGAAATCAATGGAACCCAAGTTACTTGTAAGAATGACTTACTTGTCCCATGGATTTCATTAGGCCTCTTCTAAGCACAACTATGCCTGGATCCAACCCAACATAATTGTTTTAAAATTTTGGCAGGGCAAGACAATAGAAATTTCACCAACCTGGTGCATGGCAGTTGAACACTTCTGGAGCGAAGTAGCACTTTCCCATCTCTTCTGCTATTAATGCATAGTCCAGCTGGTTGAGCCCGCTAACAGCTGGCAGGAAAAGGTTCCAGAGACCCTCTGCTCTGGCCCTTTCCTGAGGAAAGGAGGGAGAGGTGTGACTGCAGTTCTCAGTGGTTATTCAAACACAGCCATTGTCCAACCTGGTGAGCTCCAGATATCCTGGACTTCAACTCCCATGACTCCCAAATAAACAGCCCATTGGCTGTACGGAATCTTTTGTGATCCCAAAACTCTGGAGGCCAACAGATGGGGAAGGGTGCTTTAACATTTCAACCAGAATTCCAAACATATTTAAGCTGTACTGAAATCAGTTCAATTTCACATAACACTTCCCAGGAAGAGCAGCCAAAGGACATCAAGCTTATTTACTATCAGATAATGACCCAAAAGTCACTATAAAAGTGGCAGACTTTTGTGCAGCTGCAATGAATCTGTGTAAATTGAGACCGATGGGTATTAATAAATTGTAATAATTTAATCTAGTTCTGTGCTGAGATTCTTTTAATTCACTGATTGATTTTACTGCATGTTTAGTACTTATTTTTAATTACTGGTTTTGTGCTTTTATAGATTTTCTTGTATTAACATTTTACCACTAATATACTGCATGCTGCTGGCCTGTGACCAAAATAAAATAAACAACCATCTCTTTGTCCTGAGACTTTTTTCCTACTTCCTCCTTATATCCTAAACAGTAACTTCCGCCATTATCCCTACATGGAACCCGGTGTCTCATTATCTCATCCATATACACGGCTACCCAGGAATGAACAAATCGGTCACAGTCACTTTCTATAACATTTGCATTTTTTTCAATGACATTTATTCTGTTTCATTTCTGTAACAATTTGCAATATATAAATACATTTGCGCAACTTTAAGGAAGAGCCACAAACTATTCCACAAGTGATATTTGCAGGACCACCATCACATGAGTCTTTCCTGTTATTATGCTATGAATGAGTACCTTCAGTCTTTCAATCACGGCAGGTTTTTTCCATACATCTGGTGAATTTTTATTTCTGGTATAATACTCCAACATTGCCTAATAAAAGAAAAATACCAATAGAGAACACACACATGATAATATATCTGTACAAATGTATTTATCTACATAAAACCTCACTAGTTTACTATAATGCTCTTATTTCATTTATTTGTCTCATGTATTGAGACACTATGAGTAACTAGAAGGGCCATAAATATTGTGAACATATTCATTATTTTTATTGCATTTATATCACAGCTTTATTCTCTTGAAAGGAAACAGGAGCAGCTCACATGGTTCTCTCCTCTCCATTTTAACCTCACAACAACCCTGTGAGGTAGGTTAGTGTGATCAACACTGAGTGTGAATGTCATTCAGAGCTTCTTAGCACACTGGGGACTCACACCCAAATCTTCTGAGTCCAATGCTATCACTTGCTCTCAACTGAGGCACCTGATGTCCTACAGACTGGCTGACTTGCAAAAAGAGCACCATTATTTTGCTTCACAGCAAAAAGCTGATGAAAGCAGTTAGGAACTGATTGAATTACATATTGTACTAGTGGATGTTGTTCAAAGACATTACATATTCTACATAAATGTTAAATAGGGCCTAGTTTCACCCGAAGTGGCTTCACCCCTGCTGGCGGGAGAATGGTCTGGGGGAGAGGTGACATTATGCAAAGAAGGGCAGAAACCACTGCCCTGGGTGCATCCAACAGGAGGCTGTAGGAGCGAGTCACCATTTTAATTTCTCATTGAGGACTAATGCAACCCTGTGGGCATTGCACTGTGGGAAATCTATGGAATGCGCTCCCCAGAGAGGTCCGCCTGGCGCCATCGTTATTTGTTTTTTGGCGCCAGGTGAAGACCTTTTTATTTAAACGTCATTTTAATTGTTAACAATATTTGCTTATGTATCTGGCCAGGGCGACTTCTTTTATATTTTTTATTTATTTTATATTGTTAATTTTAATTTTATATTGTTATTTTTGTATGTTATTGTATTTTATTGTGTTGTAAGCCGCCCCGAGGCTTTGGCAAAGGGCAGCATAGAAGTGTTTCAATAAATGAATAAATAAATTAAAATAAATTAATTAAAATGGCCAGCAGCTGCCCAGTGAAGATCACTGTATTGCTGATTATTCCTCACTGGAGGGGGAGGCTTGTGTGAGGCAGCCCACCAAAGAGTGCTTTGCTAAGCGCCCAGGCCAGGGATGAGGCATTCACTTCTCTGTTTACACAACTAATTCCGATGTGCTTTTCCTGCAATCACCCCTCCTGCTGACACCACTTGCCAGGAATGGTGCAAGCAATGTCGGACAAGTTAGGCCAAGGGCAACTAAGGGTTAATATCAGTGTCTTCTAATCACAAACACAATTCAGTACCATGTTGGATTGACTGTTCTAAAAATTTGTGGCCTGCTTTGACCTTCTCTCTGAGCCTTTCTTAGCTTTCATCTTAATAAAACCAAACAAAAACAAGCCACATTCCTGTTCATGAAGTCATATCAGGATCTTTACTCATGTCTGCTTGCAGCAATGTTATTCGTATGTCTCACCTTTTCAGCTGGAAAAACATGCTTTTTCATAAAATTCTTCACCTTCTGGAGGACTTCCCTACCATAGTTAGATTGCCGGAACAATTCGCCTTTATTGCAAGGAGCAATGCCAGTGATAAAAGATGTTCTATGAGGAAAATCCAGAAGAGACTTTGCAGGCAGGTAACTTTAAAGAAAGAGCAAACCCATACACATATGTGTAATCCCCTTGAATGTGTTGATTCAGCCCTTATAGGGAGGGAGCCTCCATCACAGGAGAGCTAAAGGAGGTGAAAGACAACTAGTTTTGCTGGGAAGCTGAGTAATATTTCTCATTGTTTATTCTCTCTGCATAAGGCAGGGGTGGGCAAACTGTATGCCAAAATGTCCTGAGGACCACAGCTCCCATGATCCCGTACTGCTGCTAGGCTGCCATGGTCTGATGGGAAGTGCAGGCCACTTCATCTGGAGGACCACAAGTCCTCTCTCTCTGTTACATGTGTTACGCCCTCCAAGCTGTAATATATTTGCTATTATTGTTGTCCTATTGCTTTAGGACCAATATTGTCTGCAGAAGGGTAATTTTGAAGCATCCATCAGGTTGGTGAATCAGTATAATTGAGACGTTTTGCAAGACGTAATGAGACATTCCCCTTTGGGTAAAGAGTGTTTTCAGGCCGAGGGCACTTAGCACAACCAACAGGATGGCCATCTTTTTCTCTGTAACAAATTTCTTTGGGGAAAAAACAAAAGACAGGAGAAGCAGTGGGCAGGCAAGGGAGGATTATGAGCAGAAGCTGTGATGTTCTTTGAATGAATACAAGTGGGCAATTTTTGTCACTTGGTGGGCTGTGCCATTTTATATAACTGTAGTTCTAAGTGGAGTTTGTGAACCTTTGGGGCATGTGGGCACATCTGGAAATTTGAGAAATGGTCCATGGCTTAACTATGAAAAGGCCACCACAAAGAACAAGCAACCTGCTGAGATGCATTCAAGGGAACTTAATGCAGCCTTGAACTTAGCTAATTGAATAGCTAATATTTAAAAATACAAGAATATGTTTAAAATAAACATTGGGATGGGTGGGATGGCTCATTTGGCAGCAAATTAGGTTTCTGGGGGCACACTGGTGCTCTTCAGTAGCATGTTACTGATCCCTGTTCTAACTAAAAGAAATTCTGTTCGGTTCAAATGCTGGCCAGTTTTACTCCAACTAAGTCAGTAGGTTGCAGTTCTACGCATGCACAAACACACACAGATACTTCAAGCTCTGTTGGGGTGCTTTAAGAGGGCTGCTAGCATTACCAGTCAGAAGACATTGTGTAGCTACTCCATCTTTTTCTGCTCAGCAGATTTTCCATGGCAAGCAAACAAGAGGACAGAAGAAATGATAGGAACACACAGGTGGATTACAGGATATTGTCTGCCCCCCACCCCCATCAACATTATGGGAAAGAGGAAGTGCAAACTACACACTAAGAGCTTTGCCCAGAAGCACCTTCACTTAGAACAAACAAGTGATGTCTTTTACATTTTCCGAATAAACGGTTCTTACTGTTTTGCTAAGTGCAATCCAGTTTCTGCCAATGGTTTCACTAAATTGCCAAATTCAACACTGTTTTCCGCAGCGGAATTTCCCAGGAGGTATCTGGCATATACACCCTGAAGAACGAAAGAAAAATAGGTATCTGTAATTTAACTGGCAATTCAAAACAGTTGCCAGTTTCCACATGTTCAGTTGATTTGTTTGTGAAGATGTTACTAAAAGATGTTATTAAAAATGCAAAAGAAGGCTATAAACCCTTTTACTGGTTCTCTCCACCAAGATCTGAAGCAGTGACTGAGATTCATCTGTTGGATAATCTAGAAAAGATATTATATGTTGTGATTCCCTAAGGGCACAACAGTTAATGCATCCCAAACAAACAATTATTCCACTGAAATAACTGATAAAATATAAAATCCAGTGAACTGTCCTTAGCTAAAGGAATATACAATTATCTCAACTGCACATACAAAAGAAATTTCCATGACTTTACTGAAGATTAAGATGTACAGTACCTCTTCCTGAAAAAAACATTAAAAATGTCAATATATTTAAAGCTTAGAGATATTACCTGGCTTATTGAAGCTATTTTAAAAAATGAAAGAGCAAGAAAGAAATTCAGATTGGGCAAAGCAGAGCTTGTAGCCCTGCAGCGAGAATAAATGTTGACCATTTCTTCAAGTGAAGGAATTCCTAGGAAAAGCATACAGAATGATATGAACACATTGAATATACCACTTATGCAAGATTTTGCTTGTAAAAAATTAAGCCTGTGTTTTATTTTACATTTTGTATTGTTAAACCATCCCGAGACTTCAGTAATGGGATGGTCTAGAAAAGTTTTAAACAAACAAACAAACCCAGATAGCATGAATAACAGATATATCAGTACCTCTGGCAAGGGGCGGCATAGAAATGTTCTAATAAATAAATAAAGAAATACCTCCTTTCTCATGTTGCTGCATAGGTCTCAGACAACATGTTGCACACAATGCAGCATTTGTGCATGCACAAATTCCCCACCCCACATCCGAGGCCTTTCCTGGGGTGTCCGGTGGCCTTCTGGAGGAGGTTTTTGAAAGTTGCAAGGTTGTAGGACTGAACAGTTGACAGAAATTTCCCCTTGTGCCAGTGCTCTTATGCAAGCATATGGAGTACAATCCAATACAATTGGGATTTTTTAATTGTAAGTTAAACTGTGACACAATACATGGAAATAGAATAGGTTTTAACTGTGTAAACAGCATGATCCTTGTTATGAATATGTTTACTTTTAGAAGTAAGCTCCAGAGTGTTCAATGGCCAGTAAATGTATTTAAGAGAGCAGCTTAAAACACATTACTGTTCTGTTCCAGTTCTGCTTTATATGTTCTCTTTAACATTGGTATGTGCGAAATGCTTATCTCCTGGAAAACATTTCTAATGAAACACTTTCCTGGAACAAAATATACCAAATTATTCTCTGCAATCCACAAAGCACTGCTGCTACACCAGAGATTTCTTTGGAGCCTGGTAAAAGAACTAACTTTAAAAAATTCCAATTGCATAGGGTTTGGTTGTTCCAGTAAGAACTGTTAGTCACTTTTTTTGCATAAGTTTTGTTTCTTCATAAAAAGAAAGTAACCTGAACAGAAAGATGGATGCTTACCTGCATAATCTCTTAAATTCTCAAAATCCCCAAATGTTAAACACATGGCTTTGGGCCAGAAGTAGAAAGTAAGCATATAAGATAAGTCTGCCAGAGGATGACCTATAGTCGAAAGTTCCCAGTCCAGCACTGCCAAAACACAGGCCTTGAAACAGAGAAGTACAAAAACAAAACCTTGGACAGGTGGCAATAGTGAAGGGAAAAAAGCTTAGATTAACTATCTCCAACTAGTGATCCCAGCATATAATTTGTAAACAGTCACAGGAAACAGCAAGCCAGGACTCTGGAAAATCCTAGCTTACTTGGAATAAGCTGTTTGCTAATGTATCGGGGCCATTTGGTTAAGAACATAAGAAAAGTCCTGCTGGATCAGACCAAAGGTCCATCTAATCCAGCAAGCTGCACACACAGTGGCAAACCAGCTGTCCACAGGATCCCTCAGGCAGGATGGGTGCAAGATTTCCTCCCCCACGACTCCTCAGCAACTGGTGTATGCAGCTTGCTTTGGGTTCCTCCAGCTAGCTCAACTGGCTATAGAATGGGTGTGGAAAATTTTCCAGTGCAAGCACAAGGCAAATCCTGTTTAGGAGAAGCTCTTAGGGACACATTCCAGGAATGGGTGAGACTGAAGGCAAAAGGGATGTAGCTGAACAAACCAGCAGAGATTAGCCTAAAGTTTTTTCTGCTACTGACTGAGCCCTGAGACATGCATTTCAGTCTTCAAATACAGAAATCATCAAATGATCACTGGTCAAGGGAAAGGGCTAAAGCTAGAAGAATGTGGTATGGCCATCTGGGGTCCCCTGAAGGGTCAGGCTGGCCTCCAAGAAGGCCAGATGTGGCCACCATGCCTGAGGTTCTGCATCCCTGAGCTAAACAAAGCAGGATTTCCACACCAAGATCAAAACCTCATTTGTGATTCTGGCTTGTAAAGGGAACAACATGCCAGGATCCTGGGCTCAGAAGAAAGGTAAGCAGACAATTTCTGGGATGTTTCGCCAGTGATCCCACTGTGAGGGGCCAATGAATGTTAGTTCCTGCTGTTTTGTTCAAATTGGTAAGTTATCTTTGTATACCATATATACCATAACAGATGGTTAGTTCAGTGGTAATACTAAACTACAGGTTGTGCAACCCAAATTTTGTTGTTGTTGTCGTTTAGCAAAGTCATGTTTGACCCATCGCTACCCCATGGATAACATTCCTCCATGCTCTCCTGTCCTCCACTATCCTCTGGAGTCCACCTAAGCTCACACCAGCTGCTTCAGTGACTCCATCTAGCCACCTCATCCTCTGCCGTCCCCTTCTTCTTTTGCCATCTATTGTTCCCAGCATTAGACTCTTCTCCAGGGAGTCCTTCCTTCTCATTAGGTGGCCAAAGTATTTGAGTTTCATCTTTAGTATCTGGCCTTCTAGAGAGCAGTCAGGGTTGATCACTTCTAAGACTCACTGGTTTGATCGCCTTGCAGTCCAAGGGACTCGCAGGAGTCTCCTCCAGCACCACAATTCAAAGGCCTCAATTCTTTGGCACTCAGCCTTCCTTATGGTCCAACTTTCACAGCCATACATTGCAACTGGGAAAACCATAGTCTTGACCATATGAACTTTTGTTGGCAGTGTGATGTCTCTGCTTTTTCGTATGCTGCCTAGATTTGCCATAGCTTTTATCTTTTTGGATATCCTCCTTTCAGTTCCCCCACTTTAATGGTAAACCATAGCTTGCCAACAAACTAGGAATATAAACCTAGTTCAAACTCCTGTTAGCAATCCTGGTTTGCAGGTAGGCTATGGTTTACATATGTCATAGTTTGCCCAGTTCAAATGTAATGACCAAAAGTAGTTTGCTGCTAAATTGGAAATGAGGAAAATCTAGGCATGAAAATATAAGGTTCATTTTCATGGCATGAAACATTGGTTTGGTTTGTTTAAATCAACCTAGTATATTGTTGAATTACTTTGGAATGTGTTACATTGCACTGAAGAATGACATAATTATTTTGTAATGATAGCATAAAGAAAACCTGTTACCACTGCTAGTGCAACCTCTGGGCATTTGCCATGTATCAAACCCACTGAAATGAATAAAATACATACAAGACACAAATTTACTCTTCAGTAGAAGATTATTAGTGTCCTATTTCATATGCTGGTACTCCATTATCGAAGGGCTAATAATTTTCAGGAAAAATATACTTCTGTTTTGTAATCCACAGTTAAAATTTTGAAGCAGAGCCTAGATTTGCTATCATTATCCTTCTGCAGTGTATAAACAGTCTTTGACCTTATTCTGCAGGTATGCACAATCTGTTAATTATTCAAGAAAGGTTTACCTTTCACTCACAGGTGTATGCTGAGAGGATTGAAAGAACCTCTCACACAGTGATTATATTACTATGCGTATTACATTATAAGCAGGAACTAATATCTAACCAGGGTTTTTCATCCAGTTCAAGTGACAAGGGAGATACTCCTAGAAGCCCCAAAGAATATGTTTAGAAAATGTGTTTAGCTTCTTCCTTATTTTGTAAACATTCTATCTCACATCAATCTATTTTCTCCAGCATTGCAACACATAATTCAGGACAGGACAGGAAGATAGTCATTTATTAACTTGTTCGAAGACCCCATTCAATTTTGCAGTGTCCGTAATTGTGTATTGACATGCCTTGCCAGAGCTGTCCCCTGCAAGTCCATTAAGACAGGAGAAAGCCTTGTGGCTGTGTGTTTTGTGTGTGTGTGGAGGGGGGGGGTGTATGTTTGTGGGAGGGAGAGGGCACTGGATTTTGACCTAGATTGGGGGTGGGGGTCAGGCCGGATGAGGCACACAAAATAGAAACTGCCTTAATCTCAACGCTTCCTCCACACAGCACTGAAGATTGCCAGAGAAGGACCTGGTGTGCTGATGAGACTGTTGAATGGGGGCTCAGCAGACCTAGGTTTTAGTCACCAATTGGCCGTGAAGATCACTGGGTGACTTTGGGCCATTTGCTGATTCTCAGCCTAGCCTACCTCACAGGGTTGTTGTGAGGGCAAAATGGAGTGGAAGACTATGTAAGCTGCCTTGGGTTCCTTGCAAGAGAAAAAGGGTGGGATATAAATGGAATGTAAGAATAACAATAACAGGTGACACGCATACTTGATGCCATGTGCCATACCTTTCTTGGATGAAAGATGACATTATCTATTCTAAAGTCTCCATGAATCAATTTTTCTTCATTATCATCAGCTGGTAAGTTGTTCATTAACCACTCAGTTAATTCATTCATGGCTGGAATAAGAGTATGTGCAGCAGCTTGATACTGTCTGCTCCAAGTGGATACCTGAAAACAAACCCAAGGTAAAGTCAAGTATGACATGTTAAGGAGGTGCTTAAGATGCATTTTTACTGGAGTTTTTTTAAATCCACTTTGTCTTTTGATGTTTTAATCTGTGTACTGCTCTTGCAACATTTTACGATTCAACCACTATCCTATTATTTTTTAATAATTTCCACTTGACTTAATTTGTTCCAATGCTTAGCAGGGATAGTTTTATATCATGAACATGTTTCTAATTGTTACATTTACAGCTTCTGCACTTAACTGCCTGACATTTCTAAGCAGAAAGGCAGGATACACAGAAAAGCGGAGAAAGGATACACCTGGGGGATAAAACGAGTAAACAATGAATCCAGAAGAAGAAGCCTTGGTAACATGGAGGGTTAAAAGCTTCACAGTCAGGTTAGAAAAAGATGCCTGTCTCCCACAAGGAATCAGTTTGCTTGGCCAGTGGAATCTACAAGTTTCTTTTCCTTGAACATTGAACCCTCATGCCAAGAGAAAGTTTCACCATGAAGAAAAGGGAACGTTATTTTTTAAAGAATAACAAGTTCAGTCTCAACTGAGTGCATGGAAATGGTTGCAAATTTCTCTGAATCCTGGGCTACAGCCTGGTTTTAAAATGGATTTCTGTGGGAGTAAGTCCTGATTAATGAGCACTCACATGGCTGCTTTCCTCCCATACCTGTAAGTGCATTTGCACATGACCAGACCTGAAATAAAAGGAGCAGAGCAGGTGCTTACCTCTTGCCTGCACTGACTGTCAGAAGTGTGCCATGCTGGTCCCACAAGTACCCTGTCTACAGCACATGTGTAGATCTAACACAGGTGCGGGCAACTTGTGGCCCTTCAGATATTTTTGCCTACAACTCCCATCAGCCCTTGATATTGCAGGCCAAAGCATGTAGAGAATCACAAGTTGCCCACTCTGATCGAACAACTCAGATGGGTCCAAGATTCACATGGAACCATCTTTGTAACTGCTATGTAGGCAGATGTGTTTAGGAGGGTCACAGATGAAAATGTGTCCTTGGCATTTTGAACAACTGCGATCAGAGACGGATCTCAATTCTTCCACAGTGATGAATCAGTTTGTATGCTCTGTGTCTCTATTTGGAATGCTCAGTTGTTGTGACTAACTGATAACAGTTAGTGAAGAAAAGGATTATTATCAAAGGACTAGAGATCATCCCAGCATTTCCAATGTAATTAAATAAGTATCCAGCTAGTAAGAACACAAAGTGAAGGAGAATGTGTCAGTTATATATGGTAAAAACTTATTTGCCCATCATGCTAAATTGTGGGATGGGCAACTGGCTTCACGCTTGCTGGATCTATTCTGTTGCTTACTGGAGCCATAAGGTCTACACAGATCTTGTGCCAAGATCTTTCAATGCAGAAAGAATTCTGAGCCCAGGATGTTGTTTAGAGGACCAAAACAACATGGGATTCATGGTCCTTCTACAAACAAAAAATCTTCCTCTGGTTAGCCCAAGGCTCTTCATTTCAACACATGATTTAGAGCAGAGGGGAGAGGAATCAGAGGGGGACAAGGGGGCATTCTGGGGTCAGAGGGAGAGGAGGGTCAGGCTGCCGGGATACAAGAAATTCTGGTAGTACTCCAGCCTCCCTCCCTCTCTCTCCAAAGTACCTCATTCTGAAATGCAGCATGGGATGTGCTGGGAGGTAGAGACTATTCCTCAGCACTGGCTGCTCATAAACCTCTCCACTGTGCCTTCAGCCAATCAGTTTTCTCTGCCATCCAAACCAGGAACTGGAGTTAACATGAATTGAAGCGTGCAGCTTTGGAAATCATGGTTTGAAACTGGTTTATTTTAAACTAACTGTACTTCATCTCAACTACATTTTGTCACTCCGTGCTGTCACACAACGATACAGTTAGGGCTGGACTTGGGGGCCAAAGTCCATCGATTGTCACCCAGTGGAGGCCCAAGTGACCAGCAGGGAACAACAAGAGATGGGACAAGGGGCAAACAGGTCCAGCATGAGGACCATGGACAGCATGCTGCCCTGAGTGCCATGTTTGGTAGAAAGATGAGGTACCAATCCAGTAAGTCTTTTCTTTGTCATAAATAGTCAGTGGGTGCGTGGCCAGCCTCCACTTTATTCCTGAATTCATGTTTGTGCTATATATAAAACAGGCTTCAAATATAAAACTTCACATGTCAAGGGTGCTTCTTCCCTAACAAGGCTTGAAAAATTCTTTTCTCTTTCCTTGCTTGCCCTCCAGATTGCTGACCTGTGTCTCCCACAATCTCTCACCACTGGCTATACTGACAAGGGCTGATGGGAGTTATAGGTGAAAACATCTGGAGGGCTACATGTTACTATTGGTAATCTATCAGGAATGTCCTAGCAATTCTAGAGCACAGAACTGCAGGAGCAGGAAGAAAATAAATTGTAATGGTGTGTTTTACAATTGAATCAATATGCATGCCCATCTGGGGGATCCAGTACACTCATTAAGGCTAGGGCCTAAAATTACCTAGCTGTATCCATAACAATAAGAAAAGTTTTTGAACTCATCTTCCAATCCATAAAGGATGAGAAGAGTGCACACACCAAGGTGTTTCATGTACTTGATTCCTGCATATCATACTAAGACATGGTTTAAAGTAACAGCAGAACGCAGTCATTATTTTAACTGTGGCACCTCTCACACCCATATGCACACAGACACATGGACCTGGCTCCCACAAACATGATAAGCCAGAGTACAGGTTGAGTATGGGGTTTTGAACAATCATAGGTTGCATTGTATGAACCCAGCTGCACTAACAAATCATGGTTTGTTAACTACAAACAGCCCACAATTTATAACCCACCAAAAAAACCATAGGTTCTCTTTATGGGTTATGTAAGTCCAGTCACAGAGTAGGTTCAGACAACATAACAAACCAGGGTGTTTTTTACAATTTTAACCAGTGTTGGTCTGTCATGTTGTCTGAACTCAGTTTTTGTATTTCACCATGGTAAACTTGGTCTTCAGATGCCATGATAAGAAACAATGGTTTGTTCTATGATTTCCCTGAGCCACCAAAACATCTTGCTTTATCTAAACCCAGCATCATGGTTTCCACAGTTCTGGTATGCAACTACCACACAGTCTCTTAGAAAGAGTGGCAACTTGTAGGATCTACTCCAGCTGTCCAGCCTCTACGTGTGGACCAATGAGGTAGCAGCAGGCAATAGAAGCAGGGAGCAAGGCACCTTGGGATTGAATTTCAGGCACAATGGCTGATTAGATGCAGACCAACAGTGGGAGGACTGAGCAGGGAGGATAGAAACCATGATAACATAGAAAATTCTTGATAATCTTTTGGGTAGATCATGGTATAAAACCATGTAGGGTTGCTTGTCATATAAACCAAGCCACAGAAAAAGCCTAGAAAAATCTGAAAGGAAAAGGATGTGCCTGAGGGGAAATTGCAACTGCTGAACAAGGAAATAGAGATTTCTCTGGAAATCCACCCCACCTTAGTTTATAGAAATCCACCCCATGGGAACTCCCTTTGGTCTGCTTTTGCTCTTCCTCCTATTATTTTCTTTCCAAGTTCCACTAAGAGCACATCTGTCCTGGACAATCAGTAGTTTGGACAGTGACTAATCATTCTTTTTAGTAAAATAAAACAGACTAACTTTAATTCATAAGTCCACTGACACAGTAGGTAAAGCAAACATTACAACAACTTAACCACCAAAACCAATTTGTGCAAAATGAAATTAAGAGAGCAAGGAAACCTAGAAAACAGCAAAACCAGTCATCAGGCAAAATATTGACTAGGACTGAAATGTCTTTACTATCTGTCAGAAGCTTAGCAATCAAGAAGCTTCAACACTTTCCAGTAAGTCTTGTTGTCTAAAGAAATCACTTGCCTAAGAACATTGGGGTTTGTGGGAAAAAAGACATTCTTTTCTCAAGTTACAAGGAAGTTGTAAGTCATAAGAAAGAGTAGACTTTTTATTTATTTATTTAAAACATTTGTATGCCACCCAATTGTGCCACAGCACCTCTGGGCAGCTCACAACACAAAAGTTGCTTACCTGCCTCTTACAGTAACCTGGTCCTTTCCCATAGTTTTGGAGCCCCAGTGAACTCATGCTGAACGAATGCAGCTGGGCCAGGGTTTCTGCTAGGGCTACGTACAAAGCAGATCTTTCTGCTGGATCCACCCCAGGTAATGCAGGATTTCGGAAGATGCGGCCCTAAAGACATCATGAGTGAAGTATCAGGCAATAGAGAAGCAAATGGGGAAAATACAGCTATACTGCATGAGATGAAACAATGAATTCAGCAATCTATTTCTCTATATTGGAATACAGAACCTCAGAACTGGGGACTAAATTGGGTCCCCCAAAGTTCTACAGATGTTTGTGCCCCATTCCTTTGGATCTACCCTTTCTCTCTCAACCAAATCAAAATGCTGGTATTTTTAGTCCTGTCCCTTTGGCATTTGGCCCAATCCACCACAGCAATGCAGCTCCAGAGAGCTCTATTTTCCCCAATGGAATCAGGCCCTCAGGCTAGAAGAGGTTCTGCACCCCTGCTCTGTATTATTGGGATAAGACCCAGACCTGCACTTGCATGAACAGAAGAGCCTGCACTCTAGAAGGGGCTGAGGCAACTCACTGGAGGAAAGTTGGGTGAGATGATAGTTATGGATCCCTCTTTTTCCTTTGCAGATCCTAGAGAGCACCTGAACCCTCCAGAGCTGCTTTTACATGGGGCTGCAAAGGGGAGGCGGAATCAATAACAATTATCCACTTCAACCTCCTTTAGAAACATCCCAGGAGCGCAGATCCTCTCGCAGAAAGTTGGGATCTAACCAACCTTTGGTGTCCAGAAACATTTGAAACCTAGACATGCTATATTTCCCAAACTGAGCAATAAAGAATTATTACCATGTTGATAGGTACTCCAATCAGGAATAATCTGACAGTCACTATGCTTTGCAAGAAAAAAGAACAGAACAGAACAGAACAATTTCTAGAGAGAGTTTTAATGGTGTCCTGGAGAAATTCCATGTAGACTAACAATGAATGGAATCTTGAACAACATTTTAATAAGAGAAAAGTGGCTAAAACCCTAGACCTAATTACTTGGGAGTAAGTTCCATTTATTGGTACTTACTACTGAATAGTCATGCATACAATTTCACTATTAATGGAAACAGGCAAGGCAACTTATTTCAATAAAAATCTATTTAAACATATTTTTCATGTTCAGCTACAGAAACTCTCCCAAGCTGTTGCAACCAAGGCAGGGATCCACAGAGCTACTTTAAGCAAACCCAACAGTTTGCCATGCCAAGGGGCACTTCCATTTTTTCTCTTTTAACTGGAAATGTTCTTATTGGTTTCAAAAGCATCATGTTAGCTTCAAACCATAAAACATGGGCACCTGCTGCTTGGGAAAGCCCCTTAAAACATTATTTTATTTTATTTATTTCATTTTTATACTACCCCATAGCCAGAAGGTTCTCTGGGTGGTTTACAAACATGCAAAACTATTTTGGTCTTCCTAAAATGGATATCCTGCCTTTCAATGGCACATCAACCGCATATACAAAAATTGTCACTGCATCCCAAGTACTAACCTGCACATGTTTCATCACATAAAATTCTGTTCCAATTACAGAAACATCACTGCAGTACAACAGGGGCTCAGAAACTGGAAATCCAGCTTCAAATAAGGCTTTCTGAACCCGATATTCTCTGTCAATCTGAAAGGGATATGGTAGAATATACAGGGATGTGAACAAGAGATGATCAATGAGAAGGTAATCTCAACAGAAATGCAGGACTTATTTTATGTACTGCCTGCCTTCCTCCCCAAAAATGGTGCTAAAAACAACTAATAACAACACAAGGACTAAAAACCCTGGCTGGGTTCAGATGACATGACAAGACATCATGTTTTTTTACTATTGTTGGTTTGTCATGTTGTCCAAACCCAGTCATGATATGTCACCATGGTAATGTAAGTTTGGTCTTTAGAAACCATGATAGAAAATGGTTTAGTATCCACCATGGTTTGTCATGTTGTCTCAGCACAGGATCATGGTTTGCTCAGTCCTGGTATGTTATTACCACAGAAAAAGCAGCAACTGTAGGAGCCTCTATGGCCACCCAGCCTATATGTGCACAAGCAAGGAAGAGGCAGGTGACATAGACAAGGAGCAATGCACCCTGGGATTGAATTTCAGGCACAGTGGGAGGACTGAGTAGGGAGCATGGAAACCATGATACTGTAGAAACCATTTGATTGTCATGGTAAAAAAAAACCAGTAACCACGGTAACCACACATGGTTGCTTGTCATGTTGTATGAACACAGATACTTACTCGGTATCAAGTTTTATTGAGTTCAGCAGAGATTATTCCCAGGCAAGTGTAGCCAAGACTGCAGTTTTAAGGCTGCAATCCTATGCCCCATTTCCTGGTGGTAAGACCCACTGTACAAGTCAACAGCAACCCTGCAGGTGAATGACCTCCAGATAATCTACCTGGCTATAGTGTTCAAAATCCTTTAAATAAGTTCTAGGATTGGTTGGGGGATGCTGGGAGTTGTAGGACTTTTTCTGTCTAAATATGCATAGGAATCTGCCCTTAATCACAGTCTTTGGCTCTTTGATAATGCTGGTGGTGCTAAGTTTCCCAATGAAACCTAAGCAGAAACATATTTTATTAAAGGATTGGTTGCAACTAACTTTGACTGACCTTGTGTGCCTGAGGTAAAAGAGGGCCATGAGGTTTCTTTCGAAGTACATAGGTCTGAAGGCCTTTCTTCAGGTAAAAAGTTGGGTTAGATTGTCCTGAACTATGTAAGCAAAGATACATATTATTGATAATGGAGACTGGCCAGAGAAAGCTAAGTACATTTTTAAGTTTCTTTAGAAGTTTTTCCACCTGAACTTTATTTAGGTGGCAGAGACCCAGTAAAAACCACTTTCTGTACATGAGCAATTCCGGTTTCTAAACAATGTAGCAGCAGGTATGTTAGCCTCATGACTGGGTTGCATAGAGATTACTTGAACTTGGGCATAGACTAGGACAGAAAGCCCTGGCCATTGGGTGGTATAAAAATGAAACAAACAAGCAGGCAACACATAAATGTTCCAGGCCACAGGATATGTTGAAAGAACTGCGGATCCTGGGACATTCCCAAGGCTTGGAATGCTCTAATAGGCAGAAAGAATGAGCCGTGCAGAAAAACTCCAAAACATTTTGGGAGTTTTGGAAAACTGTCTTCAGGTATTGGAATTTCAGCCCTAAATTAGGGTTAGACTAAGCTCCAGCATAGGGTTAAGGATAGAAAAATGACAGTCCCCATAATGTTAAGGAGGCTTGGAAGGCCTGAGAATGGGCAGAAATTATGAGCTGCGCAGAAAAAAATGCAGAAACTCCACATTTTGGAAATTTACCCTCTGGAATAGGCTTTTCAGTCCTAAAATATATTTGGACTAAGGTCCACGTCTGGGTTAGGGGTAGCAAAACCACAGATCCCCATAACCTTGCCCAAGCTTGGAAGCAGCTTAGAATGGGCAGGAAGGGGGAGCTGCCAGGAAAAAAATGGAGAAACCCTGCAGTAAGGAAATCTACCTTCAGGTATAGTCATTCCAACCCTAAGGTTTGGCTAAGGTCTAGCTTAAAGTTAGGATTACCAAAACCATGGTCCCCAGAACCTTCGTCTGCCGTGGAATGGGTGCAGAATGGGCAAACTGCGCAGAAAAAATACAGAAACCCTACATTTTGGAAATCTATCTTCTGTTATAGGCTTTTCAGCTCTAAATTAAAGTTGGGCTAAGGTTCAGCTGAGGGTTAGAGATAGAAAAACCAGGATCCCCATAAACTTCCTGATGCTTGGAATGGGCTTAGAATAAGCAGAAAGGGTACAAAAACACACATTTTGCAAATCAGCCCTCAGCTATATACATTTCAGCCCTAAATCAGGATTGGACTAAACTCCAGTTTAGGATTAGGGTTAGAAAAACCATAGTCCCTAACCTTATAGAGGCTTAGAACAGGTGCAGAATGGGTAGAAAGGATCAGCTGTGCCAAAAAAAAAACAAAGAAACCCCACATTATGGAAATCCACCTTCAGGCATACACATCTCAGCCCTAATTAGGGTATAGGGTTAAGGTCCAGGTTAGGTTTAGTCTTGGGAGGACCATGGCCCATGGGATATTCCCAAGACTTGACATGTCCCTTGAACGGAAAGAAACAACGAGCTGTGCATAATAACATCAAGCCAGCTGGTATTTTGAGAATCATATTCCATGTACAGGCATTTCGGTGCTAATTCTGGGTTAAGCTTCTTGTGCAACCTACTATTAGATTTCAAAAAATTAAAATTCCTATGATCCTGTTGATGCTTGAAATGAGGGTTAACATCCAGCTTAGTGTAAGAAAAATCATTTTTTCTAAGTGTAACCCTAACCTCATTTTTTTCTGCACTGTTCATTTCCTCTGCCCATTCTCAGCACATTCGGAGCTTCCAGAATGCCACTAGGACCAGAGTTGTTCTAACCCTAAACCCAAACCGGACATTAATTTTAACCCTAATTGAAGACTGAAATGCCTGCACCTGATAGCAGAAAACCTGTGCTTTCCAAAATCTGTGTTTTCTGGATATTTTCTGCACAGCTCATTCTGTCTGCCCATTCTAACCACGTTTCAAGCATCAACCATAACATGAACCCTAATTTACAGCTGAAATGCCTATACCTGAAGGCAGGTTTCCAAAATGTGGCTCTTCTGGAATTTTGTAGCACAGCTCATTCCTTCTGTCCATTCTAAGAACATTATAAGCCTCGGGAAGGTCCCAGGGATCATAATCCAACCCTAATTTAGGGCTGAGGTGCCCATACCTGAAGGCAGATTTCCAAAATTTGACTTGATTTATTACATTGGTATGCCACCCCATAGTCCATATTGCTCTTTGGCCAGCTTACAAGAAGACAAGATCCAAAATCAGTACAAATACAATAATATGATAAAAAAATTGCAATAGGCAAAAATACAGAATTGGTAAAAATGTAATTGCATAATCAAAGCAAATACAAGTTCAAATACAATATTAATAATAGAGCAATACAAAATCAAAACAAATTTACTTAATACAATAATATGGGTTTCTCTATTTTTTTTTTCTGAGTAGCTCATTCTTTCCGCCTATTCTAAACATGTTTCAAGCATCAGTAGCTACATATGGACCTTAGATTTTCTATCCTCAACCCTAAGTTGGACCTTAACTCCCATTTACGGCTCAAATGCCATACCTAAAGAAAGTTTTCCAAAATGCTAGCTTTCTGTATTTTTGCTCCACAGCTCATTTTGTCTGTCCATTCTAATCTCGTTTCAAGCCTCAGAAGTTCCATAGGAACCTTGGTTTTTCAAACCCTAACCAAACCAAACTCAGGTAAGCACTGAACTCTTGGAAATTCTCCTCAGAGATTTGTTGTAACAGTATATAATATCCTCCTTCAACCTGATACCCACCAGATACCTTGGAATATAGCTCCCAGCATGGCTGGGGGATGTTAGGAGTTGTAGTCTGACAGACATCTAGAGGGTGCCAGGTTGGGAAAAGCTGGCATCTAAATTTAATGCTACATCTTGATGAACAAGGAGAGGGGAGATGAGAAACCAGAGAAAATGGTGCATTACTGAGATGCTCTGTACCACCAGTTGTGCCATTTCTTATTTTAATATTATTTTAAAAGTTTTTTAAATACTGTAAATCTTGATAAATAACCAACGATTAAGATATTCTTGGAACCAAGCAAGTCTCTCAAAGTTTGAAACGACGGATTTCAGAGGTTAAGAAAGGGTGCACAGCAGAGCCATGTGACAAAGTCCAAAAGGTTCAGCAGCTGCAGTCGTAGTTCTGGTCACTATCCAATTTGAGTGAGACTTTTGCGACATAATCTTTGCCTCGGGCAAACCCAGCTCCTGCTGCCGCAGCCTTCAGTCCTCTCCACCATTTCTCTGATTTCGGGAGTATTAAAAGCTGCGATCTACGCACCCGCTACCTAAGAGCAGAAAACCCCATTGAATTCAATGGGCACTGACTTCGGCCGAGCGGGGGTGTGCAGGGGGCTGGTACCTGTACTGCCTGACTGTTAGAGCTTGAGTGGGTTGCAGGGCAAACCCGGGCAGGTGGCGGTCCAGGTATTTATCCAAGGCGTCCTGGTTGAATCTGTGCCGCTCCCTCACTTCAATCGTGTCCGGCTCGCTCGCCATGGTCGGTTCCCCCTTTCCTGCCCACAAACAGTCCAGCAGGGCAAAGGCGACAGCAGCAGCACCCGCCCTCCTTTGGGGAATGGGAGAAAGAGGGAGGTTCTTTCCCACGCCGCGTCATCTCCGCACCCAGAACGGGCTCCCAACGCAAAGTGCGTACGCCCTTTGGAACCTCCGAGCCGTAACCGCGGGTACCTCGCGCGCACCTGCCGAAGCCAGAGGCGGAAAGGGCAACCTGAGTACTCGCGGCTCCAAAGGAAGCGCCGATAAGTTCAGCTGGGTTTTGTCCCAAGTAAAAGATGCGATCCTGTGCATCTTTAGACAGGAAAAAGTCCTATAATTCCCTGCATGTTCTATCCAGTTGGCTGGGGGATATTGACAGTTGTAAGGGGTTTTGATCGTCTAAACAAGCATAGGATGGAGCCCTGATCTGCTCTTTTCTATGGACAACGCTAGATACTCTGGCTTCGGATCTCCTGTTCTCTTTTCAATTCATTTTCAAGATTGCACATTTTTCATCACAGGTTGCCTTCCCCGCAACCTGGTGCTCTGTTGGACTTACAGTACAACAAATTTAGAAGCCGCCAGGTTGCCTTAAGGAGAAAGCCCACGGATGGGGACTTACTCTCCAGTAGAACTGTACCGGATCGGGGCTCCTTCTGTTTGGGTGTGTTGCGCCAACCTACGACTAGCTTCCTGAGACGTGCAGTACCTTGGCAGGTGCGGTGGAAGACGCTGCCTGCTGGCAAAGGAGCACTTGCCGCGCTGGTAAGTGCTCCTTTGCCAGAGTTCCGGCCGCACAACTGATCTTAGGAACAGTTTGTGGCCGGAACTCTGCTTGGCGGCGAGGGATTGTACCGGGAGGGGGCGACTTTCGCCGTGACTCCAGGAAGCGCCGGGAGTGGAGACGTGTCTTTGGCGCTGGGGCGACGGTGGTTCGGTGCTCGTCCGTCTTCTCAGCTGCCTTTCTAAGAACCCGCCATGGCCGCCTCGGCGACGCTGGTGGCGCAGCTGCAGCGCCGCGTCCGAGAGCTGGAGGAAGAGCTGGCCAAGGAGAGGGGAGGCGGCACGGGCCATCAGCGGGCTCGGATCGTGCAGATGAGCTCCGAGGTTACGGACTCCAATCCGTACAGGTGAGCGGGGCCCCTGCAGGGACCTGGGCGGAGGGTTCCGCAGGAGGGGCGTGGCTCGGTTGCTTTACTTGCTAGGTATTTCTTTGCTCGTTAGGTGTATGTTGTGCCTTTCCTCTAAGACGCTTAAGACAGCATACATAATTCTCCTCCGCTCCAGTTTATCTCCTCTACCCTGTTATTCTACCACTGGTTCCCTCCATATGTGTTGGATTCCAATCTCCATTGGCAACGTATCTAGAGAATGCCAAGATGAGGGAGACTGCTCTGTAGGCAGTCTCTTGCCAACTCTGTTGTACCTTTCCAGCTGCCCCCGAATCCTTGTCCTTTTTTCTTTTCCTCTGCTATCAGTATGCCACCTTTTATTGCAGCTTGTATGCTGGATCCTCAGTCCTCAGGATGATGTTCATGTGTGGCCACTGACTTTCTGCCTGACCCACCTCACAGGGCTGTTGTGAGGATGAGAGGAAATGAAATGCTTTATGGAAGCCATCTTCAGTTCCTTGCAGCAAAAAGGCAGGATATAAAATAAATATAAAGAAAACATGAGGTAGATTATTATTCAGTGGCTGCTTCTGACTGTAGCACAGACATCTGGCATTAACAGGCTTTGCAGTTTTTAAAAACGTTTAAAGCAGCTGTCAGGTGGCCTTAGGCAAATGGATGTTGTTAGACTTCAACTCCCAGGCAGCATGGTCAGGGATGACAAGTTTTGTAGTCCAAAACATCCCAAGGACCACATTTCCTGATCTTGAATATTATTATGGAAATCACCAATGAACCCACATGTGGTAAAGGTCATCACTGGTGATGTGGTGGTAAGAAACTGCAGGTTTGCTGACAAGGGCCTAAAGCGCCTAGGAATTTTAACACTGAATTTAGAGATTAACTGTAGAACTGTTAATTTCTCTTGGATTTCAAGTAGCAGTGCCATGTGAATGACGTGGGAAATCCTTCATGAACAGCCTGTTTTTCTTTTCTCCCCTACCCATCCCTCTCTCTCTAGTCGCCTGATGGCACTGAAACGAATGGGAATTGTGGACAATTATGAGGTGGGCTCCTGTTTTTTGTAGACCTTTGCCTTCACATTGATACTCGGAAAACAAAGTACTCATTAGCATTGGTTTCTTGTCCCAGAAAATCCGCTCCTTTGCAGTAGCAGTCGTGGGTGTTGGAGGAATTGGTAGCGTGACTGCTGAAATGCTGACAAGATGTGGCATTGGTAAGGTAATATACATTTTTTCCTAGAACATCCTGTTGCTTTGTAAACTCATCCATGCTTTGGAGAAAGGTGGATTTCCATTTGGCAGCTGAATGATCCCTGTATTGTGCAAAAGATGGTGCTCATAAGTGGTTTGGGAGCTATAATTTATGTAAGGCTCCTGAATACATGCTTAGCATGTGTTTTAGGACCCATGTTTCTTTTCATCTGTATTGTTACAGTACTATTCTCTCCTTCCAAAGTAGTATTTACTATTTTTAACAACCCTGGAATATTAAGATGAGAAGTGACTTGCCAAAAGCCTCAGTTTATTTCTCAGTGAGTTGTACGGCATAGGTGAGAACTGAAGCTGGGTTTCCTATATTTACTTCAGCAGTATCTCTCACTAACTTAAGTATGTCTGTTAGAGAAACCTTATCTTTCTCATTTCATGTCAAGGGACCTTGAGAAAACATGTTAATAGTCTCGCAAACTATGTTAATTGATATTTTAGATGAATGACAACTCCGGTTTGCTTTACAGAACCACAGACGTTATGGCGTTGGGGGTCTAATGGGTCAGCATAGAAGAAGGAGGGACAGATGGTTAACACCTGTCCCTCTTTCCGGTTATTCCCCCAGCTGGCGGGTTCCAGGTAGACTTGTCAACTGCCCTCCGGGCCTGTCGGTGCTGCTGCTTAATGCCAGGTCGGTCCAGAATAAGGCAACACTCATCCATGATTTGATCATGGATGAGAGGACTGACCTGGTGTGCATCACAGAGACCTGGGCGGGTGAGGGGGGGAATGTTTCCCTCTCACAATTGTGCCCGCCCGGGTACCTGGTCCAGCACTGACCTCACCTGGAGGGGAGGGGAGGGGGGTCGCTCTGGTCTATCGAGCTTCTATTTCCCTTGTGGGGCTCCCTGTCCTCTCGAGGCCGGGGCTGGAGTGCCTCCACTTGGTGTTGGGCGACCAAGACAGATTGGGGATTCTGTTGGTGTACCATGCACCCTTCTGCCCAACAGATTCCCTGCCTGAGCTGACAGAGATTGTCTTGGACCTGGTGTTGAAGACTCCCAGGATGTTGGTCCTGGGGGACTTCAATCTCCATGTCGAGATGGTTCTAACCGGGGCGGCTCAGGACTTCATGGCCTCCATGGTGGCCATGGGGCTGTCTCAACACGTCATTGGCCCGACCCATGAACGTGGACACACTCTGGACCTGGTTTTCTCAACGGGGCAGGAAGAGGGTGATCTGAGGGTGAGGAATTTAACCTTGACGCCCTTGTCATGATCAGATCACTTCCTCATGAGGTTTGAGCTCGAGAACGGCCTTTCCCTCTGCAAGGGTGCAGACCCGATTGTATTGGTCCACCCCTGGAGCCGGATGGATCCTGATGGATTCCTGGAAGCTCTGGGGGATTTTCCGGTTGACAAGACTGGTGATCCTTTCGATGCCCTGGTTGAACTGTGGAATGAGGAGATGACCAGGGCTATTGACACAATCGCTCCCAAGCGTCCTCTCCCACCTGGCAGAGCCTGTTCATCTCCTTGGTATACACCTGAATTACGGGCGATGAAGCAGGTTAGGAGACGTCTAGAGCGTAGGTGGAGATCACGGGGTGATTCTGACCGAACACACTTAAGAGCCCATTATCAGGCCTATGCTGTGGCGGTGAGGATGGCAAAGAAGAAATTCTTCTCCGTTTCCATTGCCTCCTCACAATGCCGTCCGGCGGAGCTTTTTCGGGTGGTGCAGGGGCTGATACATCCGGGCCCGAAGAAAGATCGTGTGCCACCCTCGAAGGCCCGCTGTGATGACTTTGCCAAGCATTTCAGGGAGAAAATCGCTCAGATTCGTCACGAGCTTGACTCTACTATTGAACCAGATTCTACTGAGGAGATGCCAACGACACCGTCGAGTCCACAATTAATGGATGAATTTCAGTTGTTGCGGCCTGATGATGTGGACAAGGTGCTTGGACAAGTACGTCCTACCACTTGCTTACTAGACCATGCCTATCTTGGCTACTTAAGAAAGACAAGGACGGGATTGGGACCTGGATCCTGGAGGTGGTCAATGGCTCTTTAAGAGACGGCCGGGTACCTGCCCCTTTAAAGGAGGTGGTAGTCCAGCCATTCCTAAAGAAGGCATCCCTGGATCCAGAGGTGGCCGCCAATTATAGACCAGTGGCCAACATCCCATTCCTGGACAAGGTGCTAGAGCAGGTGGTGGCGGGACAACTCGAAGCACTCTTGGATGAAACTGATTATCTGGACCCATTTCAGTCCGGCTTCAGACCCGGGTATGGCACTGAATCTGCCTTGGTCACCCTGTACAATGACCTGTGCAGGGAGAGAGACAAGGGAGTGCGTCCCTGTTAGTTCTGGACCTCTCAGCAGCTTTCGATACCATCGACCATGGTATCCTTCTGAATAGGCTAGTGGGATTGGGAGTTGGAGGCACTGTGTGGTGGTGGTTCTGCTCCTATCTCAATGGCCTATTTCAGAAGGTGGTGCTGGGAGACTATGGCTCTGCGCCATGGCAGTTATGCCATGGAGTACCGCAGGGGTCCATTTTGTCCCCTTTACTATTTAACATCTACATGAAACCGCTGGGAGAGGTCATCAGGAGGTATGGGCTGCGGAATCATCAGTACGCTGATGATACCCAGCTCTACCTCTCGTTTTCCACCAATCCAGGTGAGGCAGTGGCTGTGCTGAACCGGTGCCTGGCCGAGGTAATGGGCTGGATGAGGGCCAATAAACTGAAGCTCAATCCAGACAAGATGGAGGTCCTGTTGGTGGGTGGCTCGGGCCTCGGGATGGGGGACTTGGGCCTTGTCCTAAATGGGGTTGCACTCCCTCTGAGGGACAGGGTTCGCAGCTTAGGAGTGCTCCTCGACCCTGAGCTGTCTCTAGAAGCTCAGGTGACGGCGGTGGTGAGGAGCTCCTTCCTTCAGCTTCGGCTGATACATCAGCTGTGTCCCTTCCTGGAGAACTGCCTGGCGACAGTGACACACGCGCTGGTAACTTCCCGATTAGACTTCTGTAACGCGCTCTACGTGGGGCTACCCTTGAAGACGGTCCGGATACTTCAGTTGGTGCAGAATAGAGCTGCCAGGTTGCTGACAGGGACTGGGCATTGGGACCTGGGTATCTAAAGGAATGCTTGTGCCCATATATGCCCTCCCGCCCCTTGAGATCAACAATGGATGCCCTTCTCCGGGAACCCTCTGTGAATGATTTTAGGAGGGTGAGTACCCGGAGGAGGGCTTTCTCTGCAGTGGTGCCCCATCTATGGAATGCGCTCCCCAGAGAGGTCTGCCTGGCGCCGTTGTTATTTGTTTTTCAGCGCCAGGCTAAGACCTTTTTATTTAAAACTTATTTTAATTGCTAAATTATTGTATTAATTAGGATTTTAAAATTTTTAGCCAAGAATGCACCAGGGGTTTTTAAATGTTGTTGTTTTTTCTTCTTTTAATTGTTATATTATTATTATTTTTGTATGTTTTATGTATTCTTTGTGAGCCGCCCCGAGGCTTTGTTGCGATGGGGGCAGCATAGAAATGCTTTAAATAAATAAACAAACGAATAAATAAATGTTTTAGAAATCTGCATATTTCTCATACTAGAATATCCTTTATGAAATAGACATACTCTTCCAGGCACATTAGTTACTCACATTTCCTTAAAAGGTCTAAAGTTGTTGTTTTTCTCTGTGACTAGCATTTGGAAATGCTGGATCTGAAGCAGTGTTTGATGTGCTCTGCTGTTCCAGCTTGGGTCAGCAATGTCCTTCTGATCTTCCTGCTGAGACATGCCTACCCAGTTGGGACAAATGTTGGGGAGAAAATAAGACAGGACAGGAGGGCTTTAGCAACATGTAGGATAAATCCATCCAATTTGATCAGCTTTGTGTCAAAGTCTGTTCAATTTAATAGAAGCAGTTCAAATTGTATACAGTTTACATAAACATTAGCAATACCAGTGGATGTGGCCATATTTGTTTTAAATTAGAACCTGCACAGAAGGTGGTCATGCACTCTTGTGATCTTTCTTTTAGCTGCTCCTGTTTGATTATGATAAGGTGGAGCTCGCAAATATGAACAGGCTCTTTTTCCAACCTCATCAAGCAGGACTGAGTAAAGTGCAAGCAGCAGAGCATACTTTAAGGTATGACCATTTCTGTAATGGAATGATGTCCAATTTCTTGGAGTGTAGAATGCAACCGAAGACTTCAAATTGTATTAGAAAGTCAAAAACTAATCTTATAGGTGTTGTACAGGGCAACAAACTTCAACAGAATTAATTTTTCTGTTAGACTGTGTAGGATTGCTCCTTTACAACTTGCAATGCAAATGTATGGGAACTTCTTTTGTAGTTTTTCACATTAATCCTGAACACAACAGTGTATTTATTTTGCCCTTTAGAAACATCAATCCTGATGTCCAGTTTGAAGTACATAATTACAACATCACGACTGTGGACAACTTTCAACACTTTATGGATAGGATAAGGTAAAATATGCATTTTTTGTGTTAGTGGTCATAATTTGGTTTTTGTAAAAAAAAAAAAAAAGTAACTATTACAGAATGCATAAAATGACTTGCTTGCTTTTTTCAAAGCAAGACCCCTTAAAATGCCTGGTTTTGTTTTTCCTTCTAGTAATGGTGGATTAGAGGAAGGGAAACCCATTGATCTTGTATTGAGCTGTGTAGATAACTTTGAAGCTCGCATGGCAATTAACACAGTAAGTATGGCAGGAATGTTGAACCACTTTTAGTCCAAAGGGTTGAAGTCCATTTGCAAGATGCTTTCAGGGCCCACATTCCATTGGGAAGTGGGAAACCACCTACTTGGGGTCAACTGCAGAATCCCAGAAAAGCAAGATGTAGTTCTTTTCTTGAAATATGTTAAAAGCAGTGTTTCCTATACAATAATGAGTTTGTGTTATCCAGCTATGAATTGTACATTTGCTGCTAGAAGTCATGGATTTTTCATAGTGTCTAATGCACCGGGCTACTGTGTAGTTTTCAGTGCCAATGTCTGGAAGCTCTCACACAAATCTTTTTTTAAAAAATTGGTTCTGCACTTGGTACATGACCACTAGCTATTGTGAATCTAAAAATCAGAATAAAATGGCTTTACTGGTGAGAGTTTAGAGTACAGTATGATTTTAGATTTTAGAAAATTTTAGAAAACACAGTATGGTTCAAGCAGTTCAATTTGAAAATACTTTTCTAGCTTTGACGTGAGTGGGAATCTAACTGCCAAGTCTGTTTTGATGAATAAGATGAAACAATTTCTGATGTCCAGCAATGAAGGAACATCATTGCTATGTTGACATTTGTGGCAATTTAAAACCAGACCTATTTAAAATTTAAAACCTATGCAGCTTAAGGCCATTGTGGAAAACAGTGCTGTACTAACACAGGCCTTTGGTCCAGCTGGGCTCTCCTCACATTGTTTTTGTTTTCTCAAGTCACCTTTAACTTACAATGGTCCTATGAATGAACGCCCTCCAAAATGCCCCATCCTTCACAGTCTTGTGCAGCTCTTGTAAACTCAAGGTTGTGGCCTCCTTGATGAAATCGATTCATCTAATAGTTGGCCTTCTTCTGCCTTTGACTTTCCCTAGTATTACCATCTTCTCCTGTTGTTGTCCTTGCAGATGTCATCCATTAAAATTTTGTAGCAAATGCAACTTGTATACATTGCATTGTGTATAAATGTGGTGTGTTGTCATTTATTTTTTAAGGCCTGTAATGAGCTTGGCCAAATATGGATGGAATCTGGAGTAAGTGAAAATGCTGTATCAGGCCATATCCAGCTGATCAAACCCGGTGAATCAGCTTGTTTTGCGGTATGTGATATTCTGTTCACCTTCTTGTTCTATTGTGAGAGGAGGCAGGGTAAAAGTGGTTGGAATGTCTAGTTGTTATAGTTGGATTATTCTATTAATTACAATTACATAATGAGTTTTTGCCTCCATGTTCCTTAAAGGTTATAACATTCTTTTCCTTTTTTTTCCAGTGTGCACCTCCACTTGTTGTAGCAGCAAATATAGATGAAAAAACGTTAAAACGGGATGGTGTTTGTGCAGCCAGCCTTCCCACCACTATGGGAGTGGTTGCCGGTCTTCTTGTGCAAAATGTCTTGAAGTAAGTGAGTAAACTGAAGGTGCCATGATTTAAATTCTTAGTTTAGGGATGGGGGCCTTAAGGTCTTCAGGTACCAGTGGATTGCAGTTCCCATCAACCCTAGTCAACCTAGCCAAAGGAGAGGGCTGCTGGAAGCCACTGTCTTAACATCTAAAGGACTACATGTTCACCATTTCTGCCTTAGCTGGCAATTCATTCATTACAAAGGACCACTTTGAGCATATTGTGAACTGCAGTGTGGACTTTCATTTTGAAACATGCTTCTTTTATCCTTCTTACATGTCCCCAGATATTTATTAAACTTTGGCACAGTGAGCTTTTACCTTGGTTACAACGCCATGCAGGATTTCTTTCCTGCCATGACAATGAAGCCAAATCCACAGTGTGATGACAGAAACTGCAGAAAGCAGCAAGAAGTATACAAGGTAACATAAAAAGACCCAAGCTAGAGCCCTCCTTTAAAGGGGTGGGAAACTTAGGGGTGAGCTACTTACCCAGTATCAGATAGGAAGTATCATGTGTCCTTTTGCAGATGGTTTCCTTAGCATAGATTGGGACTATTTATTTCATTTTTATACTGCCCAATAGCCAAAGGCTCTCTTTTTAATTACCATTGGAAGGTAATTGTATAGGGGCGCAATCCTTCTGATTACACCCCTTGATGATCAGAACCCCTGGAACACAGAGGCTTCCGATCATCCAGTACAGGGTAGGAAGTATAGCGAACATTGTCTTTGCCTGCCTTCCTCCTTGGCTTCTATTTTTCGCTAGGTAACGAAAGTACCACAGAGTGAAAGAGGAGTCTGGAAAAGGCTCAGGAGTTTGTATCCTGAGCTTCCCAAGCACTGAAAAACCCCGTATCCCCCCCCCCCCCCCGATGGTTTTTTACCCTTGCAGGCCAGCCAGCATGGTTCCTTCCACGCTGGTTGCAAGGGCAATAGATGTCTGACTCTGCCTTGGGAGGACCAAGCACCAGACTTGGAGTAAGGAAGCCCCAGTAGCCTATGGCCCCTCAGATAACGTCTAGCTCCCTAAGTAACTTATGGCTCCCTAAGTTTTATTAAGTATTTTTTGTTGTCACTTATAGTACCTTTGTATTTCCAGAAAATAGCAGCAGCAAATCCTAAAGAAGAAATATTGGAACAGGAAGAAGAAATAGTACATGAAGAAAATGATTGGGGTGAGTACAGAGTTTTTTAAAAGTGTCAAGATGCCAGGACAATACAACTTACTATCTTAAGTTTTGAAACTGTAGTCCCCAAATAGTAACAAAATGCCCTTTGACTTACTGGTTTACTACTTTCTAGCAATGCAATCTTATGGCTACAAGAAAGGCCACCTAGAGGGCCACAGGGTTTTTCAGATACACAGCTACAAGGTTGGAAAATTGCTCCAACTTCATAGCTGAGCATTCATGCTTGTGGAACCTTTCCCTCCCTTGCAGTCAGAATGGAAAGAATTGTGACAGGTCCATCTCCGAGGTTGCCAGAGAAAGTATACCAGAATTCCAAGGGGGTGCAGGAGGAGGAAGCTGGCATTGCCAAGATATGAGGGATCCCATCATCCCCTCACTCTGCTTCCCTCCCACTCTGAGAAACGCCACTTAAGACAGCCAAATTTGCCTGTCTTGCAGGGTGAAAGGACCACAGAAATGACCTTCATCTCCACTCTCCTTTCACTCTTCATAGGATGTCCGTAATTCTCAGAGGGTCATGGGTATTTGGATTGGGTTGCGCCCTAACCCTACCTTCTTCCACTGACTTTTCCAGGGGCAAATAAAGAGAACACAGTCAAGGCAAAGAAACAAGCAGTCCTTCTGACACATCAGTGCTCCGTTGTCTAGCCAACCCGCCCCACCCCCCAAATTTTGTCCCCATTTCAGAAAATTCCAAGTCTTGCAAGCCAAGTAATTGTCTCTCACAGAAATCAGTGGGAGCTATTTACTATTAAGAGAGTAGGTGGTGGAATGGAAACCAACCCCTTGAGGAAGAGGATGGTCAGTGTGCAGATACCTGTTGCCTCTCGTTGCATCAGGTGAAATGTCCATCATTAGGGATGGACCAAGGAAATAACTGCATATACCACTGAGACACTGTAAATCCCTTGTAAGGGAACCTTGTAAGACTGCGAGGCAGAGTAAATTGATCCCTCTCCACCAGCTATCAGTGAAGGGGATGTATTAAGCCTGACCTCGCTACCATGACATCTTGGAAGTATAGCCATTAACTTTTCTCCATAGGGCTGAAGGGTCGTATCTAGGTGAATGTGACTGTCACATACTGTGTAAGTGGGGGGGTGGTGCAGTGGTGGTATGCACACATGAACTTGCCCTGGGGGTAGAGTGGTGCCCACAGTAGGAGATTCTAAACATTGCTTCCTGCCATTTGGATTGCCTGAACGAGAAAGAGGTTTGAGGTAGCAAAAAGATCTATCTAAATGTATCCCAAGAGTTAATGCTAGTAAGGTGCATTTTCTATACTTGCACCTATCATTAATCTGGAATAAGTGTTTACTTTCATATTTTTAGGTATAGAGTTGGTTTCTGAGGTTTCTGAAGATGAACTGAAAGCTGCTTCTGGTCCAGTTCCAGATCTACCAGAAGGAATCACACTGGCATACACAATACCAAACAAGGTGATAAGACATTCTTCAAAATTCTTTTCAACATTTGTAAACCACCCAGGTTATAAGTGCAGTTAAAATCATCTACAGTTTGTATTCAGGCTGGACATAATGAAGTTGTTATGGTAACCTTTCGTTGTGTAGTCTCATTTTAGTTTCCTCCAAGTGTTCATTTCCCACTTCTATAACAGCTGCAGCAGCAAAAGCAGGAGCAGCTTAGGTGTTTCGTGCCTCCCTGCTGGAGCAAACCCCCTTGTTTTCAGATAAAGATGGAACTGAAAGCATTTGGATTGTATATATGTCACATAAAAGCAAATTACTGTTTAATAATTTTTGAAGGAGGCCATGATGGCTATAATGTGTGTTATTTTGCAAGTGTAATGCATTTTTTGATTTGAGGAAAGCCAAGTAGTGTGTAAAGATACTGATCTTCTTTTCTAAAATTAACAGGAAGAAAATGCTGTAACTGGGGAAAGTGTTACAGAGTCAGAGGAAAGTCTAGAAGAACTTATGGCTAAGATGAAGAACTTATAGCACAGAGAACACTTCAAGAATACTGTACTCTCAACTCGTGAGAATGTGTTTTGTTACAATCTTTGTCTTCTGTGAATTGGTTCATCATGTCTTTGTTCTCGTAATTATGTAACTAAATTACTGTGAGCCAAGAAATTTTTTTGGAAGGTATGTTGGTCCAAGTATCCAGTTGAAAAGACAAAGTAGAAAAAAATAAACTTTAGTATATGAGACAGAATCGCAGCTGCCAAATAGACCAGTTCAATTGAGGATGAATTTACTAATGGCTAGCAGTTTACACTTTAGCATGACAGCACAAAAAAGTCAATAGAAAATAGTTCAACAGAACTCCTGATCTCCTTAAACTATATTCCTTAAACAAAGAAAGTATTTCAATAGTCACTGTAGCCTTACTTTTTAAAAATATATGACTGGGGCAGTTTACCCATAGCTTAAATTCAGCGCAGTCTTCCCTAGATTAGGTGCTCTAGATGTTTGGCTACAGCTACTGTAGCCAAAAATCAGGCATGGTAGAAGTTGCAAGCCAAAACTTTTAAGAAGACCCAGGTTGGGTAAGCCTGATTTAGACTTATGTGCACAAACTCTGAGAGTCTGGGCAAAGTCTCATGCTGGAGTGATCCCATGCAGCTAGCAGGAGCAATAAGCCATAATTCAGTTTAGATTTCCTTGCTTCCTATCTTGTTATTACATATGAACCAAGAATCTTGTTAATCAAGCCCATGGTCTGAGGTTAGGAGGGGTTTTTTTTTAGCAATTGTTTTGAGTTAATTTTAACTACAAGGTAGGATTGTGAAACAATCATGGTTTATTCCTCCTTCCAGCAGTGCAGGGTTAGTATTGCTGGAGAATAATATATCATGGTTTTGTATTATGTGTGAACCAGAGTTCTGTCTGTCCTTATTGCAACTTACATGTTTGTTACTTTGACCATGTAATTGTATAGATATGTTTGCTAGATCATAGCAACTCACTTCTGTATATGAAATTTGCTTGATTCCAAAACCAAAATTGGTCTGTACAGTCTAACAATGTGGGCTGGAAAACAAAGTATACTGAAAGCTAGGCATTGGGTTTTAACAATTTTCCCCCCAGACTGTTTGGGAGAAGGTAGGAATTTGGCAAAATTCACTCCTGTTGCCTTTATGAGGAAGAACTCTTGAATGGAAACCAACCATCTTCTTGTCTAACTTCATGGGAGACTACTAATTCAGAAATGCTTTTAGAAATCCTACCTAAAAAAACTGTTTCAAAATAAGGGAAAGAGCCAAATTCAAGCACCTGGAGCCCACATAATCCCGAGAACTTTTGAAATTGCTTCAGATTGTAGGAGAAGCTCTAGGACCTTGCTGGACCAAGAAGATTGCACCTCCTTGTTTGTTAGGACAGATGGTCCAGCTTAAATACTGTCACTTCCCAATCATGTTCAAGTGAGATTACCGCACACGTGCACTAAGCATTGTGAAATGATGAACCCTGAAAACTTACATATGTCGGAATTTCAAGGTCCCCAAAGACACACCCAACCTTCTAAAGCACTCAGCTGATCAGTCTCCATTATGAAACCAGAGCAGCCAACCAAAGGGAAGTAGAAAGTAGAGGGACCAGTAAAAGGAAGATCTAACTGCACTCACAAGCAACTTGTATGAACAAGTTATCTGCCAGTTCTTCCTAACTTTCTAAACAAGTCATTTTTAATATAAAATCTTCTACATTACAGATCTATTTGTTAAACAAGGAAGTTGCAGTCCAAAACACAAGTGTGCCTAGGATCAATGGGCATCCTAAGTGTATTTAACTTTGCTGTGGCCATCAATGTAAAGCCACAGCTTTGCAGGATCGAAATTTAGGCATCCAGACAGTATTTCTAAGACTGTTAATAGAAATGTACTTCTCATTAACTGAGGATTAATAAAGTACAAAATGTACTTTAAATTTTAAATTGAAGAGCTAGTCAGTGTTTTAATATTTAAAAGCTAAAAGAGTGCATGGGTAGGAAGAATGAAACTGATTTGCAAAGAAATGTTTTGGAACCTTAATACTTGAAGGTGGTATTACTGTTAATTGACTCAAATACTCCATTCCTATAGTGACTCATAGATTGCTGTTTTTGCAACAGAACTGTCTATTCCTTTTAATGACTTGGGCTAATAATTCTTGCTTATAAATAAATCTTACTATGAAGAAGAGTAATCTTCGCTTCTTCTAATGACAACTAATCAGTTCCATCCTCAGTGCCTTTATATAATGGAAACAATTTGCTAATCCATTTTGCTAAATGTTCTTTACTTGTGAAAGAGGCGGCTTAAATTTAGAAACCCACCATCTATGCTGTAGTCATTCCTCTTAGCCTTGTGTGTGTGGTGTTCCCAGTGGTAAGGCATAGCTCAAGAATTTCCTGTCTTTAAAGTTAGTGTCAAACTTCCATTAAATCTATTGCAATGGTTTTGAAGTTCAGACTGATCAGAATATATAGAGAATTCAGCTCCAGTGGATCCACATATTCCAAGTATATTGTACTTTGGGATCCGCTTCTTGCTAAGTTTCTCTTTATAATAATCTGTTGATTTTTAAATCTTGAATTTCTTACAACTTTCCTTCCCAATCTGCAAAGTAGGTGGAAAGGATCAGCAGGGCTTGCTGCCTCTTATTACATTCCCAAGAGGTTTAGTTTCATGGTCAGTGCTAGCAGCCTGGCAGGTTCTCTGCCTAGCCCAAATGACTAGGAAAGGACACCTGGCAAGGGAGGCGCCCCAAATCAGTGGTCACACGGGTTGACTCAATTGCCACTTTCTATTCCAGCCAAAATGAGCAACACCTGAAGTGGCTGAGGGAGGGAGGGAGTGAGGGAGGGAAAGGAAAGGGGGTGAGGTGAAAAGGAGCACAGGGGAGGGGTAGGAAGAGGACCCACAAAGAACCCACGCAGTAGAGGGGAGAGGGTGTGATTTGGGAAAGCTCAAGAAGAGGTAAGCATGGCTGGGGCATGGAGTCAGATTACTAGCAGTCAAGTCTGACTTCCTGAGGGGAGGAAAAATCTGTTGTTTTTACTGACAAATACTTGGTAGTATTAAAGAACTCACTTGCTAGCAGAGAGTCAGGAAGACATGGAGTTTGACCCAAAATATGTATTGACTGCAAACAGCCAGGAGGGGCCTCTGGGGAAGCAAGCAGTGTCCCTGGGTTTCCTACCAGCTATTTCCCCAGGAGTTACTAGAGACCATGGTTCTTGCACAGGGAGACAATTCCTGCCATGATCTATACTGTCTGCCATATTAGAGCTTTGGAGTGATAACTCCTCTTTTTGTTAGAGTTTAACCGGACTTTTGGTGCTTGTAACCAACCTTTTAAGTGTGCTCTCACTGATGGAGGCACTGGAGAGTTTGACATTGCTCTTCCTCCAGACCCAGTGATAGAAATAAACTAAAACCACACTGAAGAATTTGTTACCAATTGGAGGCTTGATACTGCACCATGAGCTTCTTCACACTGATACCCAATACAAAAAAACAATACTGCAGACTTACTTGTACTACAATGAAATCAAAAACTGCTGATCTCATAGATGTGCCGAAGGATGAAATGAGAGGAGGGTCATTCATGCCACACTAAACTCTAGTTTAGTGCAATACCCTAATTTAGTGTTAAATAAGAATGCAGCCAGCATGTATTTTTTATTTTAAAAATTACATTCTAAATTTGATTTTTAAGAAACAGATTTCATATCAATATTTTAAAATACTTTTTAAAGCAGCCTCTAATGTGACCATATTATACTTCATCCATTCCACTTATACAAGTGTTCACACAGTTAGATTTAAATGTAAAAGAGTAATAATAAGGTATTAATCTCACTGAGATCAACAGTCCTGCAATTTCTGGCTAAACAAGATATGTTCACACAAAGATGAAACGTGAAAAATGTAACATTTAACTTTTTAAGTTAAGGAGTCTTCTCACTCCAGTTTTTGCCCAGCACCCATTAGTTCCTTCAACAAAAGAAGGGGAAAAAATCTTGAGCCAATTGGTCATTAGGTGATAATGACATGTACATTATCATCTTGGGTAGATGCTTTATGTATTTACAACAGTTCTAATAATTCCAGTTGCTTCTGAAGGAGGTAGAAGATCGTTTCTGAACACCATAGCTGTGTTACAGTGCAAATGTTTATTAACATGGAAATAACTGTACCTAGCTATATTTTACAAGTTAAAGTCACAATTTCTGAGACAGAATAGAAGTCTGTAAACAAATGACTAACCTTAATCCAATCCTTAAAATCAATGTGATTTAAATCCACATAATATATCTTGGACTGGAGTGTCTGTATTACTAATACTACCTTAACTGGGTGGAAAATGCCATACAATATTCAGCAATACTGAAAATGAGTTCAGAGCTCCGGCCCTCCATTTTCCATTTCATTTTCAATGCAGTGCTCAGTTTTCCTCACCTCTTGTTAGCTTGGGTGACTAGTATCTCATGTTCCATGCCGCGTGCTACCATGCCTCACCTTTGACCATGTGGCAAAAACACATTGGGAGAGAAAGCACTTTTCAAACTGAGGGTGTCTCCACTTGATGAATGTCGGGAAGCTGCCTTTTCACCAATCAACAGGGTCTCTGCTTCTTTGATTTCCATGGCTCTCTTATAGAGTTCAGCAGCCTTCTCAAAGTTTCCTCCTTCATAGCTTTGTGCAAATGGAACAACAGTTTTACAAAATCAAGACCCAAAAACAATAGCTCACAAAATACGGTCAAGTTCGTTCATGGCTAAATGCAAGAATGGGAATTAGCCACTAGCTCAGAGGACAGCTAAAAGAGGTCTATAGAAAGTCTAGTAACTGGGGAATTCCCTTCAAGGCCCATCACACACTCCGTCTCTGCTTCAACATGGATATCCTGCACACTAGCTGCTGGTCAGGATTATAAGCATGTTTCTTAAGCTTCTCTTAGGCAGTTCACAGTGACAGCAAATCTGTTTCTAGGGTGGAGAAGTGCCCTGTCTGGATCTAGTCCAGGATCCTCCACATGCTAGTTTTTTATAAGCAGGAACCCATTCTATGCACTAGAGGAGCATTCAAGTCATGCAGGTTTCTACCTGCAGGGGAGCTCAGAGTTTTGCCACCTCCGTACAATAAGGACCCCCCATCATCCTCTTCTGTTACACAGAACCTGTCTCCTCTGAACTCTTCCCCACATAACCAACTTCCTTATTATATTGCCATATCTCTTGTTTTTATTACTGAATCACTTTACTTCCATGACATTTCACTGTATTTGTAGCAATTCATTTAACCATTTGGATTATTAGACTTAAATTTTGCCTTGACCTCTACGATATCCTTACCCTGTTATCTATGCAAGAACCCTAGTTCACAAAAACTATACACTTCACTTTTACTCTGCAAATGTAGAATTGCAATAAATCTGAAGAGACGATGCGGCCATAGAACATTATTCTCCTCAGAATTCTCTCCAAATGAGAAAAGAGATGAAAGAGGTTCAACTTCAACGAAGTTTTATTTACTTATTTATCATCTGTTTTTCTGTGAAAAATGGAGCTAAAATGGTGGCAAGCTAACAAATCCAGGTTAAAAACAAAATCCTAATAAAAACATGACATAAAAACAAGTAGATTAAAAAAGAAACTGCACCAACATGTTTGCCTGACGATGCAAGGACAACCAAGAGGGAGGCAAGCTAGCTTCCCTCTGCAAGGTATTCCAGTTTTCTTTGCTCTTCGCTGAGAAGTGGAAAGACACCCTTTGCTCTGATCTTGTTTTTTAAATGGCATGGGAGATCCAGTGTGCCAACCATATCAGCAATACACTTTTAAAGGATGTTGCAGCTCCATGGGTACAAAAAACCTGTGACCAGATCTTGTCCCCTCTGCTAAAGCAAACAGGGCAGCCTGAATCCATCTTAACGCTTACACAGTGTTTGGATTAGATTAACAGCCCGCACATTTAGACTAGTTCATTAGATAAAATTACCTCAGCACTGCTAAATTCTTCAATGTTTCTCCTACACGAGGATGCATACGCCCAAAGCTGTCTTCATAAATCTTCAGTGCACGTTCATAAAGAGGGAGGGCTTCAGAGTGTTTTTTCTAGAGGTAAGGTGTAAAAAGTAAATAAAAACAAAAATAGTTGTTCATTTTTGTTGTTTTTCAGATTCAGATTCATTGTTCAGATTCATCTTAAAAATGTGACTGTCCTATTTTCATGTAAAAATACACTCAATTTCTGTTGAAAACTTCAGCAGTCTAAGCCTAATGGAATAAGTTATTACCATTCCCATGTTTTAGCTAAGGTATGATGAAAACCACTGAGATGGAAGACAGAAAAGGGTGCTATAAATTATATAAATCAAACCATGGTGCCAAGCCACAGAACCTTATCAAGTGATGTTAGCACAACATACTTGCAACATAAACTCAGGCTACAATTCTAATCCTAGAATTAAGCTCTGGTGAACTCAGTCGAACATACTTCTGACTAGACATGTATAGGATCACATTGTTAAGGGTCTACTTAAATGTTAGTTTTATTTAATATGGAGCATGCACCTGTGACTGTCTTCTTTTAAGATGAAGGAACAGAAGCAGGATTCCCCATCCAGAATCTTAGCACATACAGAGTTTTAGTCCTCTCTTCCTGGCTCTGACCCACCCTCAAACTCTCCTACAGCCCATCCTGTGTTGCAGTTAGAGTGAGAAAATAACTCTCCCACTGGTATCCTTCCCCATGTGCTGTGATACCAATTTGGCTCAGAAAATCCCACACGTACTTTCAGGTCATCAACAATCACAGAAGCAACTGTATGCTACATATTAAAAGTATCATACTATGCCAAGTTCTGAAAAAGAAAAGTATTTTACTCATGAACTACTCTGATTTTGGAGCTGATCCAGTGGAATGTCCTGATCAGGAAGGAATGCAACTCTTTCAGCCAATCTTTGGTGCATACAGGGCAGCCTTCAAGATTTCAGTTTGTTTCAAAAACTTTGGCAGAGTAACAGAGATTGCCAGATAAGAACTACTGGCCACTATCTGCCAAGATTGTGCTATAAGAGCTCACCAAGGTAAACAGGAACTGTACAAGAGCATTAATGGAATGCCCTCTTAAGTTCATTATTGGAATGAGACACCATTTGGGTTCTCTGCTTTGGGCACTATTATGGCCTGGGTTGGCCTTCTGCTGAACTGGGAAACAGTCTCTTAGGTTTGATTCCAGAGTACAAGAACTGGCAGGGATTGTTCTAGTGAGCTGGCATCTATAAATCCCCCTAGCCAAGAGCAAGCACCCTAGCTCTCTGGTTCAAAGGATGCCCAGGAACACCCATCCTTTACTTTAGAAAAAGTTAACAGTAAGAAGCTGTTTCCTCTGTTACCCAAACCAGAGTGCACATGAGAAGAATCCATGTGTCAGAAGGGTCAAACAAGAGGACTAAATTGGTGGCAAGCACAAAGAAAGGCTGTCCAATGAACTAAGTCAATACCAGTGGGCTCTGCTAACAGCTTCTCAAGGAAAGATCTGTGCTGCAAGGCTGAGAAAAACAACCAGCAACCACACTTCAGATGCTTAGCAGTTTGTAGTTTACCAGTACTATGCCATGCTTCTATATCTTAAGACAAAAAAGCACCCTTAACCACAATGAACTTAATTCCTGCTGGTTCCAACTTGATACTTCCTATGTTCCTTCTGCAGTTGTAACATATTTGAACTTTAACTTATTTTTGGACTCTGCGCTGAGCTTTTGGGTAGATTGCATAGATCACACATCTACTACCTTGTGTAAAAAGTCTTAAAAGAAAATGGGGAACCTACCATTTGACAATAAAGAACTGCCAGGTTGACCAATGCAGTAGCCACACTTGGATGCTTTGGACCAAAGGATTTCTGCCTGATTTCCACAGCCAGCTCATACAGAGGTACAGCTTTGTCAAGCTTTCCCTAAGGAACAAAGCAAACGCAATCTTTTTCAAAACAGTCGTACATGTTTGTTTCAGCGTAGCAACGTAACAATCAGCGAAATACAGGCTAAGGCTAAAGGAAATGCAAAAGTGTGTATACCTCAAAGCTTTAAAATGCATAGCATTCTGCATGAAGAAAAGCTAAACTTAGATCTTCTAATTTATACATGTTTGTGTATGTCTGGCCAAATTAATTTTGTTTCTGATAGTCATGGGGGAAGACAAGGGGGAAGAATTCCAGCATGGAATTCCTTTCTAACCAGAGATATGTTGCTTCCTTTTCTACAGCTTAGTTCATTTTGGTATTTGGTGAAGACCTTCTTTTGAGCCATGCACTGAGCATTTAAATCAGTGGTGTTGTGTTTTCATTTTTCCTACTCATTGTTTGCTGGTTTGATATAGATGCTATGCTATTGTGTTATTGCTGTATTTTATAGTTACAGCTTGAACTATAGTTTCAGTTTTAAACTGAAAACTAAGTAATGAGGAGGTCCTGCCTCCTCATGGACGGAACTTACTGTACTATATCCCACACCAAAAAGCTAAAGGACAAGCAGTAGAAAGGAGAATGGGTGGGCTGAGAGTAGAGAGATGGGGCCAGTCCCAGTGGGACTTGTTGGGGGCATGGCCACGCCAACTGCCCACTTCCTTCACGTCCTCAAAGTGTTCGGCCTGAGTAGAGCTCATGTGGAGCAATATTTGGAAGGCCCTGTGGCAGTGATTGACCCAGAAGTATAGGGTCATGACTCACAAACAAACCTAGCAATACTACTCCACTGGCACTTAGATCTGAACTAGAGCTTTAATTTGTCAACTATCTCTCTTTGGTCTGAAAAGAGCTTTCCACTGTTGCTTTCCATCATGTCCTCCCAGAGCTTAAAAGCACACCACAAACTAGCATCTGCATTCTTTTATAGTCACCCTGCTAGAAGAGCTTCCAAATTCACAATGCATGCCTTGCATGCGCTTACCAATTTTTTGTACAGCACAGCAAGGTGCTTCACAGTGTAAGCCAGGGAAGGGTGGTCGGGTGCTAATGCTCTCTTCCGAATGTTCAGTGCCCTTTCGTACAGCTCCTCAGCCTTGTCATAGTTTTTCTTCTCATTGTTGAGGGCTGCTAGATTGTTCAAAGATTGGGCGCAATCAGGATGGTCGGGGCCAAGAACCCGTTCTCTCATTTCCAGGGAGCGTTTCAGAAATAGCTCTGCTGTCCTATAAGCAAGTTCATACAGCAATATGGTATCAGGGCATACTGGCTTAGCCATTCCAATGTGTCACCAACACCAAGAATGGTGAAAGTACCTGTGGAAGTAGATATTGGCTAGAGGGAAACTAGAAACGAAGCATTGTAAGTGATTTATGCTGCAACCCTATTTATGTTTAAACAGATAAAGGTCCTACAATTCCAGCTCTGCTGGCTGAGGAATGCTGGGAGCTGTAGGACTTTTTGTTCTAAAATGTCAAGTCTTGTGGCACCGTAGGACACAATCCAATCTACTGCAACCTTGATAGTAAGCCAATAAAACTCAGAGGTTTAGATCATCCTGCATAGGATGGAAGGAATAGCAGATGCAGCCTTCCCCATCCTCTACCCCTGCATTTTTTGCTAGTTAAGTTTCTTTCCCTGACTAGCAAGGGCATTTCAGAAGGGGAGAAAAGGAAGATGAAAGACATACAGAATCATTTGTATTGTGGCCTCTTCAGCCTCCTCCCCCCCTGCAAATTGTTCCCTTTCTCTCACCTTGAGGTCAAGCTCTCAGCCTTGGAGGCTCACCAATATTGGCCTCAGAGGGGAGACTCTGAACTATTCCATGGCTCCCTCAGATGCTTTCTAGAGGCCACAGGATTCCTCCATGAAAGACTAACACATTTATCTTGACATAAGCTTTCACTGACACTTGTGTCCACTCCATCAGGTGCTTGCACTAGAATCAATATGTCACCCTTTAAGGCTGCCACAACATGCTACTGTTTTCGCACATTGGCCGAGTTCAGACAATACAGGAAACCATGTTGTTTTTTACCACTCTTGGTCTGTTGTACTGTCAGAACCCAATTGTGGTATTTCACCATGGTAAGTTTGGTCTTTAGAAAGCATAGTAGGAAACAACAATTTTTTCTATGGCTTCTCTAGGCTACCATGGTTTGTCATGTTGCCTGAACCCAAGATCATAGTTCCCATGGCCCTGTAGGCAACTATCACAGAGTCCCTTGGAAAAAGCAGTGGTACAGAAATTAGATTGATTGATTCTTACTCAAGATTGTTTTGAAGATAGTAGAGGACTCCAAGTTCATTGAGCGTCCGAGCATTATCAGATGAGTCTTTACCCAGAGTGAGTTCTTCTAGTTGCAGGGCTCGTTGGCGAAGAAGAGCAAATCCATACTAAAATGGGACAACGAGAAACCTACAGCATTGACATTCTGAGCTTCAGGATTTGTATTTTCAAAATCACACTAGAAATGTTAGGTGGGAAAGGGTTAAGTAACATTAAAATGAGCACTTGACCTTATAAAAGAGAGACAACTCAACTCTGCTTCTGACCTCATTCCGCTGTAACGTGTATGCTGGGGGACTGAACAAGGACATTTATGCATGCAAAGCATATGCCCTCCCAACAGCAATGGCCAACCGGATGTGATATTTCAACAATAAGGGATTCTTATATCTGAATTGCAAATCAGACAGCAATTTCCATTACAACCAAAGGAAGGGAGGTAGAACAATGGGCAGGAAGATGAACACAACTTGTTTAATAACCTTTGAAGAAAAAATATGGAGGGGAAAGAGGGAAGCAGTGCAGTGATCAGGAACAAACAAAATTACAGAATCCACTGCTGAAGGCAGCAGCAGCCCTTCAAGTTATTCTTCACAGCAGAGGCACTCAGGATGCAGCTGGACAGCCATCTGCTAGGGACACGTTAACCGGGAGCAGGGGGTTGGACCATATGACTTTGCTGACCTTTCTGACTCTACCCTTCTAGGGTTCTAATCCATCTGGCACAGACACCCTTGTGCAAACTTACCCAGGTACGCTACGTTTTTACAACTGCCTCCATTTTCTTATCTTGTACCAACTGCCTGTACTTCATCTTCTCTACTTGATTCAGAACATGTTTTTGCTGAGAAATCTAATGCCATCCAAAACAAAACCCTTAAATAATTTTGTAAGTGACATTTAAATCAATTTACTGCAATTTCTGTATCTATAAGGCGAGAGAACATTTAGTGTAGAATGGCCATTCAAAAAATTGACAGAAAACTTCTTCTATTTTTATATTGCAGTGACTCATCTGAAACTAACAACTGTTACCACTGATTATGAAAACCCAAAAACCAAATTGTGCAAATTTACCAGGCTGCCTTTCCGTCTTGCAGCTTTTTGTTGAATTTTGAAGGATTTTTTTCTTAGATGTTCAGCTTGCTCATACCTAAAATAGATGGTACAGATTCAATTAACAACATCAATTAGGTGGTCAACAGGGGTATACAATTTTTTAAACCCATGATGCTTGTGGGAAATCTTGATTTCTTGGGCTGTAATTTTATGAGAAAAATATTGTCAGAACTAGTCCCAGTAATTAACTATGTATGGAAGATACACAGGTAATTAACTACATGCAGGTATGCAATGTGGGTTTCTGTACAGAAGTACATTTTTTCCAAACTTCTTATTTCATTAGACTCAGTTAGGATCACAGAAAATGGGTTCAGGGCCAAAGCTGTACATCACCTCTTATGTTCTATAGCACATTAGGTGCAATGCTACTTTATGCAGGGTGATCCTGGAAGCAAAAGTGCTTGCACTGGCTTCTTGGTGAAGGAAAGCACCACTGAAACCAAATGAAAATGATTTCTTAAAATCTTATTTTCAGAATATTCTCACTTTGACCCACAAGATGAAGGGTGCAGGATGCAAGTAAAGCTAGGTGTTGTTAGAAAATTAACCATGCTTGCTCTTTGTTCTACCCACAATCTCCTATTCCACTCCAACTGCTCTTGCTTGCCTTCTTTTCAGCAGCAGGAACAAGTTAAACCAATGAGGAACTCACTAGGAAAGATCTGTTTATCGCTGTGTTCAAACAGGGATTTCAGGATTGTCACTCCTCTAACAAGCTAGTCTGACACCATTGTTTATTCTGGGTTGTGACAAGCCAAGAACCCTCATTTGGACATAATGCTAAGCACATGGCTAACAAACCTGTGGTTGACACCATTCTCTTCACAGCCTAAAACCTTCAATGGCCGCCTTTTCAGTCTACCCACTTACTGTGCTCAAACCCAATGTCTTTGTCTCACAGATTTTCCAATCCAACCCTCCATGAATTCCCGTACTATTCCAAAGCAATACCCTTGCTAAAAACTGAAGGGAGCATAGGTGGTTTCTCCTTACTTGTTCTGTTTCTGGTACAATGTTGCAAGAGCATCAAGTTCACGAGCAACCGTGAGATGTTCAGTTCCAAAAGCATTCTCAGAGATTTCAAGAGCCTGCTTATATAACTGTTCAGCATTGCCAAATTTCTTCCACTGTACATAAACACCTGCCAACTGATGGAGTGACTGGGCTACCCTGGGATGATCTGGATCAAGGGCAGTCTCCCGAATTTCCAGAGAACGCTGCAGAGGAGCAATCGCCTATAAAGACAGACAGGAGGGATGCTCCGTGAAAAGATCTTTAGTAACAGAGTCAGGAAAATTCTCTACTTGTGATTCTGCAAAGAAGGGTCTGAGTCAAGTCAATTGCTGGTTTGACTCTATATAAAGTAGCTATAAATGCTGAGGAGGACCTCTTCATCTACAATTTTTAAATAACTCATGTGGTCTGGAACTCTCTCTTTTTTAAATCTGTGCTTGTACTCTGGGATTGCTGTGAAAGTCTTAGAGTTCTAGGAAAAGTCTGTGCTCGGGGAATAGAGAGGAGGCCTCCTGCTGTGGGAGAGAAAGAAAAGGAACTGGGGTCAAGCCAGAGGTGTGCTCACCTGACTGAGAAGTCCTAAGTCTTTAAGAAATCGTCCCAGGGTCTCATAAAGATCAGCCAGAGAAATCATGCTTTCTTCTTTCTCACAACTTTTCTCATATAGCTTCAAGGAACTGAAATATTCTGCTGCCATGGAGCTTTTATCTTTGCCAAGAAGCTGCCAGTAGCTCAATAGTTCTGCAAAATGACCCCTGCAGGCAATGAGATGTTCCAAGAAGCAAACTGCAATTCATTTTTTTTAAATGCCCATTTTGTAAAGGTTCTGGAACAAAAAGACGAGCCAACTGCTGCATAAAATTTAGGTTTGTCACATTGCTCACGGAGCAGCCAAGGTAGCTCATCTGCATTTACGGGGCTCTAGAATAAGCATTAAATGCATGACCACAGTCTTATAAATAACTCCACAATTATTATTAGCCTACAAAATGTTTAATGGCTTTCCATTTCCATGCTGGTAGCAGGAGAGACCCCCTCCTGAAGTCCAGCATGGAAATGAAGGCCACTAATCTTAAAACAGAAAGAGAGAGAGAAGTCTTCTGCCAAGTGATTTGGCAGAAAACAAATGGAGTAATCTATCTGTCTCTCCCAGCTACCTGTTTGGTTTCTGTGCTGGTGCAAAGGAAGAGGCTTTCTTTGCCATTTGACTAGCAAAGAAACCAAGCAGACAAGTTGCACTGAACTCATGGATCATTATTGCTAATAGTGCAGCTATATGGTAAGGCTGTGCCACTACGCCCTTACAAAATCAAGCTCTTGAGAACTATTGAAGCATCTTCACAGAGTTTATCATACCTCAAGGTTCTTTAAAAGGAAAATCAGAAGATACCCTCCCTCTATAGGTGTTAACATGAAAGTCCACATGGACTTCAAAGTTTCCATGTTTCCAAAGTCTCCATGGACTTTCAGGATAATACCCTTTTGTGCAAGTCCAGCAGTCCCAAAATCACATGAAAATCACATGTATTTTTAAATAAGTAGAATTATATATGGACAAATAAAGTGACCTAATCCAGGACTGTTTACTACTCATTCTCCAAGCTCTTAAGCAGGCCTTGCAAGAAATTGAAGTTCTTTAAAAAAAAAAAAAAGAAACTGCAGATGCTGGAAGTGGAACAAGACCACTTCTGTGAACTGTAGCTGTTACCCTAATTGAGCACAGGCTGAAGGACATGAAACAGTGGGGCTGCGGCAGTGGGCAGAATCAAGACAAAGGAAAAACCTCCTTAATTCCTTCTGTCCAGTTGTGAACAGCACCAGCTTCATCAAGGCCCTGACACTTTTAGGCACTTCAACTGCTCAGGGAGGTTCTAGACTTCTCAACGCTACCAGACAAGGCTTTGTATTCCTCCCTTCCTTCACCTATCTTCTGCAATATGAAAAACAAAAGATAGATGAAAGTGGTGGGAGTACATGAGATAGTTGAAAGTGAAAAATAATGACATCTGGATCCCCTGGAAAACTCTGTGGATAAGGCACAGTGATTGCCTGATAGAAAAACCTTCACCTCAAGATGCAGAGCAGGAATGTGCAAAAAAGAAAAGAGAAAAGAGAAAAGAGAAAAGAGAAAAGAGGAGAGGAGAGGAGAGGAGAGGAGAGAAGAGATCTCAAGCGTTTTTCTTACCTTTTATAAAGATTCTGTGATACAAAGAGATTCAGCAGACACTTGTGTAACTCCTGTTTGTCACCTTGTTGTTGGAACAACCATGGAAGTTCGTCTGCACTGCGCCAAGTCACTCTCTCTTCACTGATTTGGGGATAGTGGGGGAAGAGAGAAAAATGCTGCCTGAGTTTGGAAATCAAATTATCTTCTTTACAGCTAAACTTACAATACCTAATTTTCAAAATCACTTATGTGTGTATTGGTTTAAATTGTTACTTTTATGTCCTGGCTTTCTGTATGCAGCATCCAGAGTAGCTAACAGCAAGCAGTAATAAAAAGCACAGATTAAAACAGGTTTTAAATCAGCTAGAATGCTATCGTAAAAAGAACATGTAAACCAAAACCAAGAATCAAAGCAGCCAATCCACATAAAGCATTTTCTTTTGTAGTTCTATCCAAGGCTACACACTCATATGCACATGTCTAAGGGGTGACAAGCAGGGGCTAAGAAGGAAGTCCGACTGCAGATGTCCTGCCTGGGAAACATGAACAACTCCAACTAGTTCCGCAGTAATGACTAGGTTCTGGCTACACAGCAATTGTTGCTGAAACATGAATTACTGTGCTGTCTGAACACAGCTGAGATCACAAACAATGTTGAAAACTGCAGTTCACAACTCTGCAACAAATGGTTTTGTTGCAGAGCTGGGTTCAGACAATGCAACTACAACCCATGATCCAACAGCAATCCACACTCAACCCTGGAGTGTGGGACACTGTGTTTTTCTGAACCCAGTCAATATCTGAGTCCACCCAGACAGAAAATCTCTTTCAGACAGAGTCCCTAATTCAACAGAAACTTTCAGAAGTCACTTTCTGGTGGAGAGTGAGAGCTAAAACAAAAAGAACAGGGCCTAGAACACCAAATATGCCAGCATACTGCAGCTTACAGTTCAAACAGCCAGTAACTAAGCCTTTAGCAAAGTATCTGAGCCTTTTAAAATGGGCAAAATGCACAGGAAACTGAGTAGCCACCAAAGACTGGTGGTTGAGAAAAAGTATGGGCAGAAGAAGGGATATGGCCATTGGGGGCGGGGGGGGGGGATTGGTTTCCCAGTTTTGGTTGCTGGGCCTGAGGTTCTTCACCCTTAATCTAGTGAATTAATAACAAATATGAAGTTTGAAGTGGTGACTTTCTGGTTTGCACCTTAGTCAATTATGGTACAATCCTATGAGCATTTAGACAGAAAAAAGGTCCTACAGCTCCCAGCTTTCCTCAAGAAGCATGCTGGGAGTGTTTGGACTTCTTTCTTTCTAAACTTGCATAGATTGAGCCCTTATTTCCTAACTCTATTAAAAATCACTTAACTCGAGAAAATATTAGTTGAAACTTACTTGCCTTACACCCTGCAAATCTTACCTTAGCTGCTTGGTGAAATATTCTATCAGTTTTTCTCTATAAGTAGCAAGAGCATTCTGGTCTCCTTCCATATACTCCAGCTGCACTGTTTCCCATGCCTTAAAAAGGACATTGTTGTATTGTGTAAATCAGGGATGGACCACCTGGCTATTTGGAACTATAAGCCCACCCACCAGCCCCAGCCCCATAGCCAATGGTCAGAGATTATGGGAGTTGTAGTCCCAGACACCTGGAGTTCTCCAGGTTCTTGAAACAGATGTGTCATGAATAGATGGTCTATGAATTGCATCACAGGAGGCAAACAGAAAGATCAAATCTCATGTTCCAACACTGAGACTATCTGGGAAAAAAGACCTCCCATCATTGCTGCTTCAAACTCTTCCTTTTTGTTGCTGCAAGTGAATCACAGAGACTTGGGAGAGCACCCCCTGCCCAGAATTGTATATAGCCAGGAAGCTGTGGGTGCCGGGAATACAATTAGACTAGCATTAACAGTCTCTGTTGTTCTTTTTGGCCTATTAATTTGGGTTTGTTCACCACATGTTTCATGTCAATATTGAATTCCTTTCACATTTATTGAATTTCCAAGAAAGTTTGGAAAAAACTCATGAAAACAGGGGAACCATCTTTACCATGCCTTACAGTCAATCATTTCTGAACAAAGAACCCACTGAACTTACATATGAGTAGAAACCGACAGGAGAGTAATGTCTTTCCCAAAGTATTTTACCTGGAGGTGCTGAAACTTCAACAAGCCACAGCTGTATGTCAAAAAGTACATTTTGTGCAAACTGTAAACCAGGGAGGCCAACACTTCCCAGGAGAGTTCAGGACAGAGTTCCATCAGTTCTGATTCACTGACTCCATTGTGGCTAACACTGATGAGGGAGAGGATCTGCAGAACAAACATGTGAAACATTTAAACAAAGGCATGGGCATCTATTGCTTATTCAATCTATATGTAACCATCAAGACAGACATTCATAGAAAATACAGCAGCAGCAACTCAACCAGAATCAGATCATATCTAACATCCAGCTAGGCATCTTTCCACCAGCTGGTTCACCTGTCAAGGAAGAAGTGGCTACAAGTGGATGGGATCTTGAATTTAGTAAACTAGGTGCATCTGGTAAGGGGGAGAAGAAGCTGTCTGGGTAGGGTGGGGAGAGGAAGTCTTTTCCAACCAGAAGCTGGACACTGCTCCTCCAAAATGCTTCCCCAGTCATGGAGAGAAATTACAGGTTTGTTAGCTGGTTAGCAAATCAATAATTCTGTCTCTTTGTCTTGCCCATTTGTAAATCTTCTAAAAAAAACAGAAACAGAAACATGTCCAGAAAAGGGAAGCCAACTAGGTGCAGCTCCCTGCAGCATATTGCTAATAGGATGGTGGTGGGAGGACAGGAGCAGAACAAATGGATGAACAGCTGCAAACACAAAGATGATTCCATTCTATGGAAGCCAAGGAAAGTCATCACTGCATGACCAACACCAGTTCTGATTAAGGGTTTATCCACAGGAGGACTTTAACCTGCTGCTTTACTGAGGCTGCTGCTTCTGATTTTGTTGTGGAGGGAAAATACATCCTTTATACATCCCCAACCCAGGTTTGCATATCCCTGGTTTTTGATATACGCTATCAACCAAGGTGGTGTTTCTGGTATACCTGCAGTATAGCAGGCTTGTAACTTTTGGCCAGGCTTTCATCCAGTTCATTGCAATTTGAATTTTATTAGCTGATTTCCTTTGTGCTAAACCTCGCCCCACCATACATCTGGATAGGAAACACAGGAGAGGACATGAAGCATAGCAACACTGTGACATTCTCCTCAAACTTCCATGAATGAAGGCTCACAAGTGCACAATAAATGCCTTGTGCAGAGGCAGAGAAATTTCATATTCAGGTCAGCCTCTTTCCTCCAGCCACTGCGGAGGCCAAACCACAGTGAAAGAATCTGTTCTGCACTGACAGCAAAATCTTTCTTGGAGCTGACAGAGCGACTGGGAGGGAGATCAGAACCATGTGGAATCTGCCCTTCTCTTAGACTGACTCAGTTATAGTTCCACTATTTTTCAATGAGTGAAGTTTTCCAGATTTTCTTTTAAAGCAACAAGGATCAGCCAACACAAACATGAAAGAGCAGAATCAGAGAATCCCAACTGTACCCTTCCCTTGAACAATACTCAAAAAAGACAATGGTCTAGCAGTTACACATACTTTTTGTTAAGGGAATTTTTAGCTGCTGCTGCTTTTTAAAGAAACAACACCTAAAGCTTAAAGAGCCATTTAAATTAATAGGACTTGTCACACCTTACTCCTTTGATTTAAATGATCACAGTGGCCTATAAAGGACAGGTTTAGCTTCAAATTAGGGTTTTAAAGCTAAATTTGATCATATTAAGCCACCACTGTGATCTGCTGATGAAATCTGCCCAAGGGGGGAGTGTAGTCCTTGGATAGGCCTACCTAAAATATTACCTGTTGAAAAATATTGCAATTGTTAAAGGTTTGGTATCTTCAACCCAAACTAAACTCCAGTGCAAACTGAATTACACTGAAAATGCATCTGAACAGCGACTTTGAAACTCTGAAATTTTGTAACTTTCAGAAGGGAAAAATATGGCCAGAGACATTTTTTACCATCATGTACAAAGATTAATTTTATTTGATGAAACTGTAAGAATAAGATACTAAATTACAAGGCATGTCATGTCTCCATTATCTATGGAAACAGAGTGCTTAGCCCATGGCCAGGCTGTCATATGGGAAGGTCTACAGAGTTACAGAGATGGTATCACACTGCAGAATATATTATTATTATTATTATTATTATTATTATTATTATTATTATTATTATTATTTTAACATGGACTTCTTGCTCTGTGCAATAGCCTGAGGTACACCTGCTAGACTAGATCTGCAGATGGACAAAGTGTTTTTTGATTTGGGACCACAAGCCTATCAGCACTGCATCACCTCATGCATTTGCTGTGTAGATGAAAAGCCCTGTCTGTGAAATTATACACATTTCCCCCCACAAAAGAACTTTCAGACTTGTGAACTTGCCTCTTTCATGAGGCCCTTCTCCTTTTCACTTTTCAAGGATTCTTCAACGGATCTTAGAACAAGCTTGTACAGGGACACAGTATCCTGGCACTGTAAACAATTCTGAAGGATTGCATCAATATTTTCTGCATTTCTGGCACTAGAGAATAGGGTTAGGGGAAAGAGAGAGAGAGAATTTAAAATACAATCAATTTGAAATTTCACCTGAACCTAAATTCTTAAATTAGTATGGATTAAAATTGGGACAAAACCTTTTGGAATCCATCCCTCCAGAATCTGCAGACTTTCTCTCATGTTCAGCCCACTACTGTAAAGCAAGCTGAACCAAAAGGAAGCCTGCAAACCCTTCCCCAGTCACCATTCCCAGTGGCCAAACTTCTTCCCCACTCAATCCCAAGGGGAAAGTGATGCAGTGCGCAGGCACACGTGTGAATCCTTGCCAGGAACTCAGACTCCGGGCTGCTGCAAAGCAGACTAGATTCTGGGAAGCCAAAACCAGGGAATCTGGAGGATTTTCCACCCTAAACAGATTCTTCACACATCCCTAGCAGGGTTAAAGACATTTGTCATGAGTTTCCATAATCACAGAGCACGTGTATAATTAAGGAGTCCTACCAACTGTGCCACTGATGTTCCTGAGTCCCTGAACTTGGGGCCTACAAGTTAGACCCAGAGGGTTGGTGAAGGTGACCTTTCCCTCCCTGCTCTGCATCTTAGCTAGGCAGCCATTTTCAGTCCTCTGGCTAAGGCATTTCAGGAGCGGAGACTGTTTCTTCCCCACCCTGCTACCCAGAACACTCCCTTTACCCCTTCTCCAGAGAAGGGGCACCAAAGTGCAGATTCCCAATTCCAAAGTTTGCTTTCCAGTTTTGTGCCATTTGGAAATGAATGAAAATGGTATCTGGAAGTCAATACTTCCTAATTTGGCATGTAGCTATTATATTTCTGCTTTGAATCCCATCTTTAGTCTGGATAAGAGACAATTAAGGGATTGGTTATTTTGGATAGACTCTACAAATGTCCTGGAACTAATTAAAAACTCTAAATTCCCTCAGTGGTTTCCTCTTTTGAAAACAGAACTTTATAGAGCTAGATACCTGTCAAGATTGAGACCATGCTCTTTAAGAAATGCCTTTATTAAGTTGCGACTTCAAGTTATGCCAACCACAAGTTTGGATGGGTGATATAAGAAGGCGCCTCTTGAATGCAGTTTATGCATTTGTGATTTGTATCAAGTTGAAGACATTTTTCATTACATGCTAATCTGTCCTCTGTACACTGACTGCAGAGAGAGATTCTTGAAACCCTTGCTATCATTTGGATACAGGAATGCCTTGGCAGAAATAGTTTTCTTTTAAGTGATATTAATGCTTTGTTTGCTTTGGCAGCAAAAAATATCAGGAAGAATTAGACAAAATTGCCATAAACAGCATTGGAAGTTCAGAGTTAAATTAAAGATGAAATTCTGTTCATAGTACATTTTAATTATATTTGTTTAAATAAATCAATTTAAATACTTTTATTTTCTAAATAAATACATAAATAAAATGCATTTTATATGGTTGAAATTCTCCATTTTGTTGTCTAGGCACATTCATTTGATTTGTTTGTCATGGTCTTTGGCTAGTACAATAAACTTCAAACCACTACTAAAAAACCCCCCTTCAAAGTTATCACTCTGTTTCCTGCCACAGATCTGGGAAAGTGAAGTATCCTATGACTGCTCAGACAGTATCTAGGAGCCATAATACCACTCTTTAAAGCCCATTTTTTATGCTCAAAAACATCTGCCAGATGTTACCAAGAAACAGAGAGAAGGAGAAAGGAGACAAAAGCTTGTCCTGCATTTAAGTAAACCTTTAAGGTAAGTTCATTCCCCCACCCCCAGTGTTAATGTTTAGGCACACATCAAGCACAAAAACCTTCAGGTAAAAATATTTACAAATAAAATGCAGAAATTGTAAACCATGATTTGATCCTGGCTTGTTTTAACAACCATAGTTTAAACTAATCAAAGTTCCTGACAGATGTAATAATAAACCCTGGCTAGTTTAAAACAAGAAGATCTCCTTCTCATGGCTACATTGGAGGGGAGAGGAGGTACAGTGTGCAGCCCTAAGCTGTGCTCACAAAATGGTGTAAGATCACATTCAAAATGGGCCATTGTGAAATCTGGATCCGACTGAATGAAAGATACGACTGATTTTATATTTTTAATTCATAATAATGATGAATCAATGGAACACACGCAAAGCAGTACAGTTTCAGTATTCTTTCAACATACCAAGCCAGCATTCTGCCCCAAAGAGTAACATATAGGGCACTGCAAGTTGTAGTTGAATTACTGCTTTTCTCAAGCATCTTCTCCTAGAGAAGGTTTGAAAAAACAAATGCACAAAAATTTTAAATTAAACTTTCTGTAAGGAGTTGAAAACTGTACACAAATATACAGCCTTATGTACAGCACAGATGACACAACAACACATCACACCAGAATACAAACTACATTTGTGACAGTGTAATGCATAAGATTGACTTCTTTCAAAAGTACACACACACACACATATTTAAGAAGGCAATATAAGCACATTTCTGCAGCAAGTGGCATCATTATGGAAAATCTGAAGTTGACTGTCATCATATATGCTCAGTTATTTTTTCAATATCACAAAATACAATAAGAGCTATATTGAAAAGTAACTTGATTCCCTTATGAACTATACACAGATACATGGTGCATAACTTATTTATATTGTGGATAAAACTGTCAAACTACTTACATAGAAAGACCACTCACATGCTATGAAATTCATGAACTACTATCCTTACTGCAGTAGCAAGCTACCTTTTAGGAAAACTCCAACTTTCAAGAATGTAATAGTTCAATTCAGGCATCCAGTCAAATCATGGTTCTATGATTTGAAGTTTAGGATCTAAACCATGGTTTGAACTTTCAAACATACAGGCAAATCATGGGTCAAAGTAGCTTGCCCACTTTTGTTTTCCATCAGCTAAATGTCTATATCACAGAGGTCTTCTGAGGTAAAACAACAACCCTAACTATGGTTTGTCGGTTCAAGTCATTGCATGAACCACAACACAAACTATGGTTTGAAAAAATGTCTTGACAGCATATGGTTTCTGATTTTGGTTTGCTGCCTGATTACAAACCACGGTCTGCCAATTCAAACATACAAAACAACAGTTAAGGTGCCTTTGGCTTATTGTAATGTCTGGATTGAATCTCTCTTAATCCATAATTAGTTAATGCATAATTGGTTTACCAAAATTCTCCTTAATTACATACACAGCACTTTAAACCTTGAAAGATCATAAGTACAATCCAGAGAAGAGACAGGCATGCCAATCACATTCAGATTAATGAGACAAGTGAATGACGTGTTAATTCCAGTGGGATTCTATGCATGATGGATTGTTTCCCCTGAGTACATTTTAACTACACTGATTTACCAGTATTCAACATACAGCATTCTGCTTAATTAGAAAAGAAAAAGAAAAAAGTGACAGGTGAAGAGATTCTGGAATTTGCTTTCTAAGGAATGTCATCATGACAGAGTTTGCGAACCACCAGGCTGCAGTATTCACACCAAATGAAAAGCAGCAATACCTGTTCTTTGGTCAGTTTCAGGCCTGCACAGTTGCATTCTTCATTTATGAGCGATTTCACATCCTTAGCATTGAATGGATCAAGATGAAGTGTTGGCCACAACCTTTCAGTGAGATAGCAGAAATTTAGTTTCCTAGCTGATAATACAGGATGTGTAAACAAATGATTAACATATTAGAACAGAGTTTAAAAAAAAAAATCTAACATGGGCCTTTGAAGCCTACAGTACTATACAACGGATGATAAAACCATTTCACTCAATCAAATTTCACTTTATAAGGTGCCCAGACTTAATGCACAGAATACCATGCAGAGATGGGAGAAAACATATCTTTTGAGATACTGCCTGCATTTCAAAATAATGCACACAGAGGTGCTTCCTAGTCTCTTTTGAAAAGAACATGCTTTGCACATCCAAAGGGATTCTCCACCATGAGCACCTTTTCTATGCTGCTCAAGATGTTCCAACTGCACTAGCTGCCATTTCAACCTTGACATCACATTATGATGCATGCAACACATTCACAGTGACTGCACATTTTTTGCATGGGATCTAGAATGATACCACATTTCCCAAACACTAAAACCACAACGTATCATTTCTGGGAAAAGACTGTTCTTTTTCCATCCAATGTTGCAATGGAATGAGGCTGCAGGAATGTTGTAGGCAGAGTGCCTGTTGTCATCACTAATGAGGAAGAGTGTAAAGTCTACTTTCTGAGTGACTGTGCATATTATGGACTCATTTTTCCTTCTCTCTTAAAAGCAGAGGGAATTCAAAACAACAACAGTGGGTCAGATCCAGGACTTGCCTTCCACAAGATACTCTGCACACAGGAAAAATAACTGCACAATTTGGGAGGGAATCCTTCTCCCCTCCAGACCACAACTCAACCTGTCCAACAAGATTTCCAAACTCCTTGATATTTTCTAAGGGGCTGGAGGGACTACAGTGAGAAGGGGAGGATGAAGAACACCACTGCTATCAGCACAATTGATCCACGTAAATCTGGATCCATCCCATTCTGGCACACATGCCCACTGCCACTGCAATGCTTGTAGCTACCTCTGAATTAAAAGTAGTAAAAAGAGAATGGTTGCTCCCTTCTTCTGCTACATCTTGATAATTTTAGGGTGGTTATGGAAAACGGGAACTCTAAGATAATTCTAAGGACACCTTCCTGGGAATAAGCCCAGTGAACACAGTAGACCTGAATAAATATGCAAAGGTTTACATTGCATTTTAACAAAAGGAAAATAAAGGCTTTTAGTTCTTGGGATAATAATGCTTCAGAATACATGTAAGGAATTGCATGTTTGAATACAGTTCTACTTTGAACTCTTCTAGCATAGGAAAGAATGATTCTGAGCAGCTTTCTCCTTTTGGGGACAGCTTTATAAAGGCAGGGCACTTTTTAGCATAAGAACAAGAACTTCACCGTCCTTTGCCTGCATTCTGTAATGGTATAGCCCCAGGATAACATGGCTTTTCTGTATCACTTGTTAAGGTCACTTGTTTCAGGTCAGTTCATCCCCCTCTCTGTCCCAGGATGTCCTCAAGTTACAAACACTCAAGTTATGAAAAACCCATACTTACAAATGAACTTCCATAAAGCCTATTAATTTTTTTAAAAATTACTGAGGAAAATCATAATTACCATACAGAGAGAGGAAGCATAAGGGGAGAGAGGGAAGGCCTCCAAAACATCACCATAGAGGGAATGGAAATGGAAGGGTAGAGAGGGAGACCTCCAAAGAATCTCCTTGCTGCAAAGAGGAGGCACTGGAGAATTTAGGAGGTAAGAGGCCTGCACATATTTGCAGGTTTTCCACTTTCATGAGGGGTCCTGACCCCTGTGAATGTAGAGGCCCAACTATATGTGATCCAGCTTACATACATTTTTTAAGGCAAATTTCCATTTTTTCAGGAATGGAACTCATATATAACCCAGGGACTATCTGTATATAGCTGGAAAGGACAACATGGCAGAGCATCCAATGGGACTGGGCCACCTCCACCGATTCTATGGGGCTCTTCAGACCCACTGCTTTCGGACATCTAAAAATAACCAACAAGAAACAACAGAGTTCCCTTCTGCACACTCTGCTGACTGACCTCACTGTAGAAATGCTAGCTTCAGGTTACTTTTAGAATCACAAAAGATTCTTAAAAAGTGCACAGGTACAATAGCATATTGATTTTAGTTCTTCCCACGAATCTTTCTTTCTGTCCAGATTGAACTAGCTCTCAAAGGATCATAAATTAGGTTGCTGTTAATTTAAGAATTCTGCCAACTGAGCAACATAAACATGGCTTACTTTACAGCATCTCCACAACAAACATACCTCCATGCCTGTGGACAAGTTTCAACATTCACAGATACAACCACTCTTACGTTCACTGGCAGGGGATCAATCAGCCACTTCATGTACCTTTCAGCTTGCTGAAAAACAACCATTTAATTTGACCTTCAGAAGCTATCAACATGCCAGAGGTACAAGCAGTATTAACTCATATTTCCTCCCAATGAATTGCAGTCTTCCCATACCAGATTCTCCTCTTTCAGCTGCAGTTTTCCTGTACCTCCCCATAAAAAAAGAGACACAGCCATGAAGCACGAATCTTCCCATTTCTCAACAAGATGCCCATGGACTTGTGGTCACGGGGCTTGCAGCCAATGTCTTAGATCAACTGCACAATGGACCTTGCTGTTCTTTCCTTCCAGCTCCCTAAAAATGCTAGAGAAACAGGAGAGCCTGATGGTCTGTGGTATACGTGGAGAGGGAGCGGATCTCCCCAAAATGGGCAGAGGGACTTTCTGCAAGCTGTTCCCTTCCCCCCACTAAGGGCAGAACTTGAATCCAGTACAATCTGTAGAAGCAGCTTTTCCTGATCACTCTACATCACAGGTGCAGGAAGCAGTGCTGCCTCCCAGTCCCAGTCCCAGTCCCCCGTTTTTGTTTTTTCCTAGCTGCAATCTTCTCTCCCCAGCTGGAAAGTTTAAAAAAAAAAAAGCTCTAACCCATTTACAGGAACTCTGTTGCCTGTTTTATACCATATATGGTACATTGTGTTTAACAAGCATTATTCTAAAGAAATGAAAAGTCTAAAATAACTAGGACATCACATACTCAATTGTTTCAGCAGCCAAACACATTGCAACATTACCTGGATTCTATCAATAGAGTCAATAATTATGATAATACTGCCTTGGTGATGAGCAGAAAGCTTCTCAAGCCAACGAGGAAATTCTTCTAATAGTTTTGCTGGATCCAGTGTCAAGGGTGAAACTGACCAGGAATGCTGCATAAGCTACAAAATATTTGTTACATATGAACAAAATGTTTTATCTAAATTCTAATGAAACAGAGAGACGACTGGCAGTTACTCCCCATCTATGATCCCGTGACATTTCCAGTTAGCTGCCTTTTCTTTACTAAAAAAGAACACAAAAGTAAATTAAAATACGCTTATGTTAAAATTGTAATACTAAGGCTGCAATCCTATGCATTTTTAGACAGGAAGAAAGTACTAGAACTTCCAGCATGCCCCACTTCATCATTCTGGCCGGGACATGGTAGAGCTATAAGATGTTTTATTGTCTAAACACATGCAGGATTATGTCCAGAAAAGATTTTGAAGACTTCTTGCTAGAGATGTGTGAATGATGTTGAAATGTAAAATACGTGTGATGATGTGTAAAGCAGGAAAAGGCTTGTTTTCTTCTAAGCATATGCAATTTTGAGAATTAGGGAGCAATCCATAAGTCTTCTCAGAGTCCCACAACTCCTGAAAGCATCCACCCCGGCCCCTCACAGCTGGCTCAGAAAGAACTGTGCCAGCTGCCTGAGATTGCAAATGAGGGGGAAAGAGGGATGTTGAGGAGGGGAGGGGAAGAGACAGGGTCCATCTTTTCTCACTGATCCCTACTGGTGATCTCCTTCCCCCTTACTCTGGCCACTAGATGCATGTAAGCCTATAAATACAAGGCCCATTGAATTGTGCCCCATTCTCAACGTCTGACTATGCTTACAAAAGACTGCAACTAGCCTTCTGCTCCTTCATCCTGGCACATCAGACAAGTATTCTTTTAAATGTATACAACATGATGTCCTCTGCAAATTTCTTATGATGAGAAAAGAGATGATGTCAGCTTGGGAAGACCCACTTCTCTGAAACAGAGGTAGGATGCAGTGTCAAGGTGAGTGAAGAAACTGGTGCAGGTGCAGGGAAAGGGCTCTGCCATCATCATCATAACTACCTTTATGCCCCACAGAGGCTCTGGATTGGAAGATGACTCGGGGCTCCAAAGTGAATTCATGGTTCAATCAAAAAAATCAAGGACTTAAATATTTTTAAGCAACTGTTACCCTTCTGCCACCCAGAATGCCTACGTATAGTTCCCAAGGAGTCTCCCACCCAAGACCAGAATGACTTACAAGGCCAGAAGAGCAGAGTGCCTGTAGAAACTGCATGATGCGCTGTTCTCTGGATTTATAATTAAGCTCTTATTTTTCATGAATGTATCACATGGATCTACACCAAGAGAGACTAGCCCCGTGGCACAGCAGTGAGCTTCCAACTGGAAACTGCAGACAGGGCTTGCCTAAAGCCTCAAATGCCACCTGTCTTTCTTGGCCCGATGGCTGGAAATAGCTAGAGAAACGTATTACTCGTCATATATGCCCTCAGACTTTTCTTTATAAATGTTGTTTCTAATCTATATTTTTAGATATCCCAGAAATTAAAGGGGAAATTCAAGATCTATATAAGAGAGTCCTTGTTTTCTTACATACTTACACAGGCATTTAAGTCTTAAACATTTGTGCTGATTCAAGGTAAAATGGAAATACCTTCAAAGTGAGACGCCTCAGGATCAGGGCAGGCTCTGCACTGCTAGACAGAGGTTTCCCAACAAAATGATATAGGATGAGTGTATTTGGCGAATGCTTCTGTTGCAGCTGAATCCTAATGAGGGGTGGGAGTGAAAGAAAAGAGGGAGAAAAATGTTTTCTTAGCCTACATTTCCTGATGGGGTGTTTTGACATCTAAATGGTGCCAGACACACGCTGTAATGTCAACTATTAATATATTGTTGCAGTTTAAGCTTGTTGTAGTATTTTGATAGATACATAAATTGAGATGTAAACTAAAAAAGCAAGCAGGAAAAAGCTATTAGCTTCAGTACAGAAACATAGGAAGCTGCTTTAGTTGCTTGCACTCACCAGCATCTACACCAGGGCAAGCCGTTCTAAAGAATTTAACCCTCTCAGCCTCTTCAACATATACAGTGATCAGGAAGCTGAAATCCAAAATATCTAGAGCAAAGTGGTCTACACACAGCAGCAGTGACTCTCTGGTCTCTTACCTGGAGATTTGAAGTTAGAGCCCTCACTGCATGCAAAAGATGTGTTCTACAACTGAGGTATGGTCCTTTCCCCAAAGTCTGACCACTGACACCATGTATGTATGCACTTTCAGTGACCCTCATCTTTGAGGACAGATTTGGCTTCTGCCATCCTAACCATTCACTTTTGTTAAGTAAACTGCCTCAAGCAAGGGGAGGACAATCCGTAAAAACCTTCAAAGAAGCAAACAAATTGGAGCAGCCAACAAGCAGGACATGGACGGCATAAATTATCATTCAGGGATAACCAAGCCTATCCCAAAATGATGCACTATGATGGCACTTATCGGGCAAATAGTTTCTCCCAAATAGCACAAAATGCTCTTGATCCACTTTGAGGACACCAAAGAAAGGTGGTAAATTTGACTCTGCCTTTACTAGGCAGGTGGGGCATTGGTTTCCTCTTCCCCACTACATTTTCAGCTGCCACAGTGGTAGCTAGTTACTCTAGAAAAAGGAAGAAGCACCATTTTGATAGAAGAAGTGATTTTCCAGAGCCTGGTCCTCCAGATACAAGAAGGGGTGGAATTGGAGCTGGGGCAGCCACCAGGTCATTCAGACGTTCGTAATACTGCAAACAAAACAAGCAATAGAATCAAGCATTATAGGGTTAAGTTACAAAAGGGAGCCTCAAAAAATCCAAGCACCTATTTAATCTCAAAGCCCTGTATAATATAAAAATTACAGTCCTAATCTTATTAACTTGTAACTGTCCATGTTAGTATACTTCAGGGGTAACTATGTCCCTGCTGTTTCTGGAATATCCACAAGTTAGCTAACAAAGTGCGTCTCAGAAGAGCTGAAGCTTAATTTCTCCAATACGGTCTCACAAAGTGTAGCGAAAGACATGTGCTTGACATAAGGAGACCCATAAAGGTGCTAATAAGTGTGTGTGTGTCTGTGCGTATGTGTTTGTGTGTTTCAAGGATCTGGGAATACTTCTCTGGACCACACAATACTTTGAACTATATGAAACTGAGGAAGTGAGGAGTCATCCAATCATTAATTCAAATCACTTAGGAGTAAAAAAAAACAGGACAGGGGGATTTTTTTTAAAAATCTCTCATTTGTTAAAAGCTAAAATGCAACAATGTAGTGGGGGGAGTAGGATATATCTGGCCTCTGACACTGGGAAAAGGGGTTTAACACTTTCCCTAAGGGGTTTTTTTTTAATTCCAAATCATTCTCCACTCACCAGGCAATTAGAAGCTCCAGAAGTGCAGTCCAGATGGGAAAAAGAGTACAATGGGAAAGGATTAAGTCCCCTCTCAAACTCCCCTTAATCCTAGCCCCAAGGTGGTTTTTGGGCATTTCTAGATGAGGCTTTTAACCCATCATTTTAAGCACTGCTTCTGCATCCTCTAGGCACCACTGTGGTACAGCAGAATTGTACAATTACACTTGTGTTTCATTCTGCCATTTCCTCAAATGCCAGATTTCCTTCAGAAAAATGCCTGGAAAGCACAGGCAAGGCTTAGAAGATCAGGAGATCGTCTGAAGCAATCACTAATTGCTATGAGCTTAAACATTAAAAATAAATGTCTCCCACCATCCATCGAAATGGCCGAAGTTGTCCCTTCTAACCAGACGTTTTCTGGGCACAGTTCAAAGTTTCCATGCTTGAAGGAACTCAATAGATTAGAGCAATGGGGTACAACACAGAGAACCTCAAACATGTTTACAGTCCACATAAATTCAACAAAACTTCCACTGATTTGAGAGCAGGCGCCCTTGATCAGAATGGAAGTTATCTGTATGCCTAGGGATGATGAGAACAGTAGTCCAACACACCTGGAGGGCCCAAGGTGAACAAAAGCTGCACCAGAAGCTTGAATTTTGTTCAATCTGCCATTTGAACTAGCAGAGCTCAGCAAAGAGGCTGGAAAATATACTTGAAAAGCCCTCAGCTTAAGAGAGAAGGTTTCATACTCAAAATGTACTGAAAAATCCTGAAAGGATAAGATTTTACACAGGAAATTATTTTTCAAAAACCTTCAACTTGAAAGAAGAAGTACTTTTCATTATAGGAGGCTGCAATACTATTAATGTTTCCTCCACGACGAGTGAGGACCACATCTACAACATTAATACAGGCACTGCTGGCATTTGTCCCAGAACCAAGGGTGTCATCTGTGCCTAATACATATGCCCGCTTTCAGCCTAAGAATGGAAAGCCCCTGGGGGCTGTTCTCAAATCCTGCTCCTTCTGCAAAGCGGCAGCCTTGCTTCAAGGAAAGGAGAAACAGATGCAAACCTTTGCTTGCCATCCAGGGAGAGGGACACGGACTTACCTTCTCAAACCCGAGCTCGCAGGTTGAATTGGATGCCTGCTGGAAGGCTTCCATCTGCTCTTGTTCATCATGTGCGTTCCACAGCACATCGCCAAAGAGTTCCTCTTCAGGAAGGGCGGAATGGTTGTTTTCTGCCAAATCTTTCTTTTCTCCTTGTACAATTTCACAACCCAAAATATCCTGTGTGTGGATATAAGCAAAATCTGAGAAATGATAAAGAATGACTCACAGGAGGAAACTCCACGGATCTGTCCCCAACCAGAAATTAATGTTTCTAGGGTTATGTTTAGAGGCACAAAGGCCCTGCAATGCAAGTGGAAGTCTGGTGAAAGCAACACAAGCAGTGGAGGATAGCACCCTGTCAGCTTCTGCCCTTTATGAGCTTTCCTAGTGAAGCAAACAGAAACCAAGAATCTCACTCTGAATGTGCTGCATTTTTTTAAAAATACAGCATTTATATGGTGCTTTCCCACCAGACAAATGGCTCTCAAAGCAGGACCCTTTGGAAAATATTCATTTCTTTTCTAGACTACCCCATAGCTGAAGTTGTAATACCTGTTTTATGGTTTTCTCCACATAATTATAGACTTCGTATGCTCCCTCCTCTTGTCCCCCTATATGACTGATGATCTGTGGAGGGAGGGGTTGGGAGTAGATGTAGGGAAAGAAAGACATTATTTTGAAGGGGTTAGATCTCCAGAGAGTTGCTGAGCTTGAGATGATGGCCTGTCTGCTTGTTCATTCGTTTACCAGCCTTGCGTAAGAACTATCTCCTATTCTGAATGAATTTACATACTTTCAACAATTCAAACCAGTTCAGCACAACACTCCCCATACCAAGAAATAAATGCCTGAGTTCCATAAGAAGCCTAGATGAGCTACCATTTTTCTAACAACACAGATCTAATCTTAGGTGGGATTTTATCCTGTGTTCGAAGCATTTGCCCTTGATAAGCATAGAGCTTCTGTTCAGACCTGAGTCAGACATGGCTCTGTGCATTTCCAAAGCACTGTCCTTTCTAGCTGCTATTTGCATTAAACAACACCATAATGGGAAAATAGCAGAAAGCGGGAGAAGGAACTGATATTCCTCAGTCCTGATCAGAAGCATATACTGAAGTGTGGGGGCTCTGAAGTGATGTTATCTTCAAAATAAAAGCAACACACTTTTGAAAAGCATAAGGAAATGTAGCATAGCAAAACAGCAGCAGCTCCATGACAACTACTCTAAATTTATTCTACCTTATTATCTATTGCAGCCTTCCCCAACCAGCTCCCCTCCAGACCTTTCGGACCAACTTGCATTAGCCTCAGCCAGCATAACCTTTGGTAAGGAATGCCAGGAAGCAGAGTCCAAAACATCTGGGGAGCACCAGCTTTGGGAAGCCTTCTCTATTGAAACAATAATGATGATCATAAAGAGTTGGACAGAATATTGTTCTTGATATAATCCAAAAATTGTCTTTATATCATCGAAATTTTCTACACACAGCTGTTAATTGCTTTATCTTCTTCAGGTTTCTTTACAGAACTGGGATCAGAGTTTTACAGTTTTCTTTCTCCTGCTTTTCTGCTACATAACCTCTAAGTGGTGCTAGATGCTGCAAGGAAATAGCACAATTAATTATTTACTTGGCTTCAGAAGTGATATCCCAATTTCCAAGCACTAAAAAACCCCCAGGAAAATGCTTTTTAAAAACAGAGGATCACAGCATGAACTGTAAACAACCACAAGCAAAGAATCAGAAAAATACAATAAATATCTTGCATAGAAAAGCTTTTGGGGGGATCTTTAATTTTCGTGTCAGGAAAAACAAAAATATTGTGCCCATAGCATGGAGCTATTCTTTCACCATGTGATCAGCCACCAGACCAGTTATTCCCAAGCCCAGGTCCTCAGACCTGTTGGACTACAATGCCATGCGCTCTGTGTGCCGATGGCAATGGATGATGGGTGTTGTAGTTCAATAGCAGTTGGCATACAAGTTTCAGAAGGGCTGTGCTAGGCCTGCAGACTTCATGCATCTGCCAGCAATATTTCAGAAAGGAAAGTGGATGAGCATGGCACCCTAACATGTACTGGTACCAAAGCCATCCATACTTCGGATTTCAAGCACAAGGCTTCAAAGGGAAGAAATAATGTGAAAGAAAAGGAATTATACTAATTCACAGAAGAGCATTTCAAAAGATCTTCCCATTATGAATCAACTTCAATTTTGAGACAGAGGTTTAAACAAACTCTGCAAAACAAATGCAAACCCATGTTGAAAATAGCAAATCTTTTTAATCAGTGCCAAGACAGAAAAAGGTGCCTAAAATCTAAGATGGTTGCAAGCACAGTATCTAAACAGTGCCATCTCTTCTTGGATGTATCAGCATTATCTTTACTAGATCTCTTCCAGAATGAAAGGCACTTAAATCCCTACTGATACACAGTAGTACTGTCACTGAGAGAGCTTATTTGGGATTCAAATGAGCATGCAGCATTCAACTGCTTAATAGGTGCTATTCCATTAGCTTCCCAGATGCACCATGCTGCAGTGAATAAAGGTGACTTAACATTCAGCTGTTAAAAGTGTTGTGCTACAAAATGACAACCAATCAAAGTCAATGCACCAACCTTAGTCAACCTCTCATTACCTTTGCTTTGTTCACATAATGCACTTGTTCCATTAAATGCTGCACAGAATCTGCACTGACTTGGCCATCTTCCAGTCGGTGGTAAATCAGCAGGGGCTTTCCTTCTGGGTTTTTCAGAAAGGCTTCTTCACACTCGTCCAGCAGATAGCTAGATTGGAAACCAGGATTCTTGTTCTATACTATTTGGCTGCAGTAAACAGTTCGATCAACATCAGCCCCAAGGGTGTGTTTTTCTACAAAAGCTCCAATCAAAAGGTCAACTCTCTTTATTATGAAATAAACATCGTGTTTGAAAAAAATGAGAGCAAAAAGCCTTGAGTGAAAGGATGTTTAAAAACTTACCCTGCCCTACAGAGAACTAATTTGAATATTAGCCTACACATTGGCTGAAATCTAAAGACACCCTTCTGCACAAATGCAATTGCAGCTGGCTGCTTCTTTTTGACAAGAGTACAAGGAATGGTCCAAAACTACTGATGCACATCTGGAACACAGTAACATCCTTTGGTCCTTAGCCATGTACCTAGCCAACTGGGCTTTCACCACTCACACAATTATTTTTAAATGTTATAATATTTTATTTGCAACAATACTAACAACAAATGAACCAAGAAGGAAAGAAAAAACCCCAGAGGGAGAAGGGGAAAACATTACATGGCATTACACTCATGTGATGAGTACGGCCCGGGTGTGCTAACCATCTGTGCCCCATTGTTGACTACACCTCCCAAAATGAGGGATGGCATGAAGAGAGGAGCTGTCTTGACATGTGTAGGTTCTATATGCATTTTAGGACAAATGAGGGATGGCATGAAGAGAGGAGCTGTCTTGACATGTGTAGGTTCTATATGCATTTTAGGACCCCACTCTTGATTGTAATTGCATGAGGGGTGAATGCTGAAATGAGGCTTCTGTATCCAGTGTATCTATAATCTGGAAGGGATGGTAAGTATTAGGCCATCTTCCCATTCCCATTTTGCTTCTTATAGCTTAGCTATCATCCTCTTAATGCAGCTCCTGCTTATTTTAGATCTAAGCTTACCTAGCTCCCTCTCCTTAGGTTCTGGGAGTCCCCAAAGCAGCATAGCTACAAAACTCAGTTCAAGAATCTTGCTCTGAAGGATCAAGGTAGCATGAAAGGCTTTGCTGCAGAAGTAGAGACAGAAGCTTCTGGACAGGCTGCAGACCTTGTTCGCTTGAGTTCACTGCCAGGGCTCTACCCATAAGACCCCAGAGTTCATTTCCACTGTTGGAAAATGTTTTCCAAGCAAACCCACTGAAAGGAAGCCATGGTTGCTGGAAAGAAAGCTCCAGGGGCATTTCTGCCAGACTGGGTGGGTGGGGGGAGCCATACAAATCAAACAGTTATAAGAGTGCATTACCGAATGGCAAAAAAGTAGGTGTGTCTAATCACCACTACTCTCGCATCTGCAGAAGCAAGTCTTTGTAGTAGACAGTGAAGGGAGGGTGCAACTGACAAGGTGCAGCCAAAGCTATGTTTGTTTTGACAGCTTGCACAAATCCAAAACACCAGTATTAGGAAGACATTTGTGGCACCACCACCACAAAAACAGGGTTGGGGAAAACAAGTCAGTAATGCTTGGCACTTGGGCTTCAGTGCATTGGATACCATGGAGCTCCAAGAATTTAAATAAACTTGAATACAGGGTGGCAATCAGAGCAGGATGGGGAAAACAAGATGGATTCTGGTGCAAAGGACCCTGAGATCCCAGCTGGAGGGGTGGGGGGCATGAGATGGAGAAGAACCCCCAGTAAGTTCTATCATCTGGTGGGCATGCTGAATGGCTTATTTGTAGGGTGAGTTGCCATGTCATATGAACTTGTCCAATGATTTCCTAAGCCATGAACTCACCTTGGCAAACTTAGATGTAAGAACAAAATGACCAAAGAACTTTTCTCAATTTCCCATTTCCTTACAGCCTGGAAAGGACATTCAGGTTCAACTGCAAAGTGGACAACTTGGAAGAAGTATTCCATTGCCTCACAATACTTCCTAAGGTTTGGAGAGTATTTCTGAAATTTAAGAAGAAAATGCAGTCTGTTATGGCCATCAAGCAACTATTTATTTATTTATTATTTATTAAAACATTTTTATGCCGCCCCATTCGCCGAAGCCTCGGGGCGGCTTACAACATAGATAAAACAAGTTAAAATCCATATAAAATAATCTTAATTAAAACTCACATTATAAAATAAGCCGCCCTGGCCAGATAAAATTCAATTGTATTTAGCATTTAAAATGTTGCTTAAATAAAAAGGTCTTAGCCTGGCGCCGAAAAACAAATAACGACGGCGCCAGGCGGACCTCTCTGGGGAGCGCATTCCATAACTTAGGCGCCACCGCTGAGAAAGCCCTTCTCCGAGTAACCACCCTCCTAATTTCTCTCACGGAGGGCTCCCGGAGAAGGGCCTCTCCCGCCGATCTCAGGGGGCGACTGGGCAAATATGGATGTAAGCGCTCCTTCAGGTAACCAGGACCCAAGCCGTTTAGGGCTTTATAGGTCATTACCAACACCTTGAATTGGGCCCGGACTTCAATGGGGAGCCAGTGAAGCTGACGGAGAACTGGCGTCATGTGAACATAACGTCCAGTCCCCGTCAGCAGCCTGGCAGCTCTATTCTGAACCAATTGAAGTATCCGGACCGTCTTCAAGGGTAGCCCCACGTAGAGCGCGTTACAGAAGTCAAGACGGGAAGTCACCAGCGCATGAGTCACTGTTGCAAGGCAGTCGTACTCCAGGTAGGGGCGCAGCTGATGAATCAGCCGAAGCTGGAGGAAAGCGCTCCTCGCCGCTGTTGTCACCTGAGCTTCAAGTGAAAGCTCCGGGTCGAGGAGCACTCCCAAGCTGCGGACCTTGTCCCTAGGAGGGAGTGCAACCCCATTCAGGACAAGGTTCAGGTCACCTTCTCTGAAGCCCGAACCGCCAACCAACAGGACCTCCGTCTTGTCTGGATTGAGCTTCAGTTTATTGGCCCTCATCCAGCCCATTACCTCGGCCAGGCACCGGTTCAGTACAGCCACTGCCTCACCTGGATTGGTGGAAAACGAGAGGTAGAGCTGGGTATCATCAGCATACTGATGGGTCCGCAGCCCACACCTCCTGATGACCTCTCCCAGCGGTTTCATGTAGATATTGAACAGTAAAGGGGACAAAATGGAACCCTGCGGTACCCCATGGCAAAGCTGCCATGGCGCAGAGCCATAGTCCCCCAACACCACCTTCTGGAATCGGTCGTTGAGATAGGAGCGGAACCACCGCAAAGCGGTGCCTCCGACCCCCAATCCCGCCAGCCTATCCAGAAGGATACCATGGTCGATGGTATCGAAAGCCGCTGAGAGGTCCAGGAGAACCAACAGGGACGCACTCCCCCTGTCCTTCTCCCTGCACAGGTCATCGTACAGGGCGACCAAGGCAGATTCAGTACCGTACCCGGGTCTGAAGCCGGACTGAAATGGGTCCAGATAATCAGTTTCATCCAAGAGTGCTTGGAGTTGTCCCGCCACCACTCGCTCTAACACCTTGCCCAGAAACGGGATGTTGGCCACTGGTCTATAGTTAGCGGCCATCCCTGGATCCAGTGACGCCTTCTTCAGGACCGGTCGGACTACCGCCTCCTTTAAAGGGGCAGGCACCCGACCCTCCCTCAGAGAAGCGTTAACCACTTCCAAGATCCAGGTTCCAATCCCGTGCTTGGAATCCTTTATTAACCAAGACGGGCAAGGGTCCAGAAGGCAAGTGGTAGGACGTACTCGTCCAAGCACCTTGTCCACATCATCGGGCCGCAATAACTGAAATTCATCCAATAATTCTGGACCAGACGGCAGCGTTGGTGTCTCCCTTAAAACCTCTGAATCAATAGTGGAATCCAGCTCGTGACGAATCTGAGCGATTTTCTCCCTAAAATGCTCGGCAAAGTCGTCACAGCGGGCCTTTGAGGGTGGAGTCAGCTCTTCCTTTGGCCCTGGGTGAACCAGGCCTTGCACCACTCGAAAGAGCTCCGCCGGACGGCATTGTGAGGAGGCAATGGAAGCGGAGAAGGCTTCTAAATAGAAGCCTTCTAAATAGATTTCTAAATAGAAGGCTCAGTATGCCCATCTATTGTTTCACTGGGACCTTACATTTGGGACCTTAACCAGCATTAGAACAACCACAAACCACAGTCATTCACAAAGGAGTACTCTTAGTGGGATATGGAGTCTGTGATTCTTTTGACATGTTAAAGATCACTTCATGCCTGGCATGCATTTATCTTCTCTCCAGCAAACAACTATTGGTAATGGGTTAGATCCAGATTTGCACTGGAAGTGGACTTCCTCTTCCCACCTTACTGTAATAGCATCTCCAGACCCCTCAGAGGGTCAACAGACTCTGCTGAATGGGGTGAGCTTTGCAGAGGTAGAGTCTCCAAAACTCCGGCAAGAAGGATGTTCCAGAGGCCATCAAGGAAATCATTGATCTAACCCAATAATTTGACTGAGTCAAGAGCATTTTGAGACAGTCTCATTCACTGTTACAAATGTTTGTTTATTTAGAATTCAGAAGCTACCTTTTTTACCAGGTACACAGCAGTTTCTAAAAATGCACAACTCACTCAAAGGCTCTCTTGAAAAAATATTAACATCACAGCATAAAAACACAAAAAGCACTGACATATAACATCATCATCAAACATTAAAATCAAAGCAGAATTTAAAATAAGAATTAAAAACAGTCTAACATAAGCCCCAAAGGCTATGTTTTCATTGCCCCACAAAAAGTAGGTAGTGATGGAGCCAAGCAGAACTGCTTTAGGAGACCTCTCCAGAAACTTAGTGCCACAATGGATAATGCTTCATTCGTTGTGTCTACCCACTGTGGCAACAGAATCCACTGCTGAGACACCCATGTTAGTCATCAGCTGAGTTTGTCTCAGAGGAGGCAGGTCTAATCTGAAGGGACCTGAACGTTCTTTTCTCCACTGTACAACATGTCTTGTAAGTGGGTGGGTATGGAAATGAGAACCATCAATCTCAAAATAAGAACATTTATTTAACTATTTATTAAAATATTTTAGAGTGCCAATTTGAAACAAGTTTTTTGTGGGAATGTAAAGGGGAAAAGCAATATTAGTGGAACATCATTAAGTGGATGGAAGTGTATTTTACTATTGTAATACTTTCACTTTTGTTCTTTTTCATTGTTCTATAACACCTTGATGACCTTTTAGCGGAAAAGGCAGTATATAAATAAATAAGGTCTTATGCTTTAACCAAATTTAAACCCAGAAGGTACAACATCACATAATACTGAGTCATTAGAATATGTGGAATGGCTATAAAGTCATATTTTTTCACACTGATGCCATTCATTGTGTCACATACTAGGCCACCAATGCGCCATAAATCCAGAAAACCCAATTCTACAGGGCAAAAAAATGTTACATTTTTCCAAGTGAGATCCTACATCTTACTTAAGGTTTCAGGCAGACATCTTATATATTATGGTCGGTATATTTTACTCATCTATCTTACTCAGCAATATTACTTGACAACCTTTTAAAATGAGAAAACGCAAAAAAACTGAACGTAAAACTGGGGATATATAAGAATTCTGTTTCCGGGGTTTTTGAGTTCTTGAGTTCAACCCTGCAAATTTCATTCTTTTTCTTGTGCTTGATTTGTATTGAGTTCAGCTAATACAACACAGATTTGCTATTTTTCTCAATGACAGCAATTTACACAAAATGACATTTCTGGAATAATCAAACATGTATGTGGAGAGGTTGAAACTGTTATCTGCCATAGTCAAATGTGCCTCTGTGGAATAGGTAGACTTGTGATTATGTGTATATGTACAAGAATGTCATTTAAAAAAAAAGGCACTAATTTCAAGATGCCCACCACCACAAATTACAATTCATGACAATGGCAGAAAAGCTCCCACATCCACCTTTCCTGGAATCAGGAAAAAATCCACTATACTCTGCTATCACACAGAACAGAAGCATCATGGAATCCTGTAGGACTTAAATGGAATGGAATTTCCCAGCATCACATATCCCTATTTTTTGCTCCTAGGTTTTATACTTTTAAACTGTACCATACTGATACCTTTTTAGAATATAAGGTAGTTGCTGTTACGTGCTGCCAAGTCATCTTTGAGCTATGGCAACCCTATGAATGAAACCCCACAAAATGTCTTGTCCATAACAGCTTCATTCAGCTCTCCCAACTTCAAGGCTGTGGCTTCCATTATGGATTCAATTCACCTCATATTTGGTCTTTCTTTTCGTGTTCTGCCTGTGACTTTCCCTAACATGACTGTCTTCATCAGTAAATCTTGCCTTTTCATGAGGTGAGATAATACTATAATGAATACTACTGAACTATGGTCCTCCACTGAATTCTGAGAAATCAGAACAGCGTCTCGTCCATGGGGAAGAAATTGCATAGTTTTCTATCAACAGAATGAAGGACAGTGAGGAAAGGTGCATCAATCATTTGAGCCCCTCTTCTGTACACATTTTTCTTACCTGTATGAAGATGTCCACTTCTAACTGAGTCTCATCTGTATTGATAAGATACACCCTCACTGTGTTACTCCACAAGGAGTGGGAAAACAATGGGGTGACCTGCAACAAACTAGCAACAGCTGCATCCCAGTCATCTGTTAAACAACAAACAGCAGGATACAAAAGCATTTCATTAACCATTTCAGAAACAGACAACCAACTGGAGGTGTTGGAACGATTTTCAGTGCTTAGGTTACTTTTAAAATCACCTTCCTGGACAATAAACTAGTGGGACAGCTATAAAATACATAGCAAGACTTCAAAAATTAACTGTAAGAAATGTATTAAGCTAGCAAACACTAAATAAGAACAAGCATAAAGGTTGTATACTGCATGTTTTTATTACTATTATTTTCCCTTTAACTATTAAAATTCAATGTCATCTCAGCCCTAAACTCAGCCCTAAGCTCCCATGATTTAAATTTCAGTTAACCATTGGTAAAACAATGGTTAAAGTTTAAGAAAACTATTGAAAGCCATCTCAGTGACATCAGAAATAGTAGCTATTTCTGGATATACATTTTATTAATGAATCAATGTAACTGTTGCATGTAGTGCTGAACCTAGACTGCTCCTTCCAACTAAAGGTTTTCTCTTTCTTTCTCGGCCCATTAACTTTTGTTCGTTCATGGTAAAGTTTTTTTTTTCTTATCAGTACATCTTCAAACCAAATTCCAGTATGGAAGGAGAGAATGAAAACACCCTTTGCAACTGACTAGGACCTAAGTGATGCTTGTATTTAAAGAAGTCCCTTTGAAAAGCTTCACACAGAGTTCTAGAAAACAGACATCACTATATAAAACAACCCAGCATTCATCTGCTTGAAAGCACAGACAGGGGAGGTTCTAGAACCAATCTAAACTGTAATTGCCTGTTACTAATAAAGAAGCAGAAACTTGTGCTGTTAAGCTGTAAAAATGTCCAGCTCTTCATAAATATTAAACATCAGTGAAGAACTTTAGGTCAGCTGCACAGTTCAGCACAAAATAGCCTGGAAGGGCCACAATCTAAGTTAAAGTTAGCAAGATAGTGCATGATTATTATCATGACTAGCCTTGCTTCAGGAAGAGCTGATTCCTCACCTCTGTTGACATTTGCAAACGGCCCTTCCACATCTATGGAACTATGTGCAAACTCAGGGCCTCTAAAAGACTGTTGAAGATGCATCATACTGCCCATTGATGGCTCACTTCCCAGGGCTCCTCCAGTCCAGTACTCAGTCTGAGCTCCGGTAACTTAAAATAAAACAAGCAGATGCCAACTTAGAACAACTAAAATATAGTTAAACTGTGATTATGCTTCAAAGGCAAACAATCACCAAGTAGCAAGCGAGGAAGATGAGAAAATCATTGGCAAGAAACTATTGCAGGGCTACAGTCTGGATCAAAAGCACATGTAGTTTTCCAAAACAAAATTGTAAGTTTAGGACATAATCCCATGAACATTTAAACTGAGAAAAGTCCTGCACTTATTCCACCCAGCAGCCATTCTGGCTGGAAAATAATGGAAATTGTAGTTTTTCAGCCTAAATATGGGTAAGATTGCCCCTTTAGGCATGCTTTTTAAAAGCTGTGTTATCATAATGTGTAGTTTGATCCCTATCTGAAGAACACTAACCAGTTTGGTCCAAAGTAGACATGACCCAGACTTCTGTGCATCTTCTCTCACTCCAACCTCTGCTGGCAGGTAGAGGTGTGTGTGTGTGTGTGTGTGTGTGTTAATGAATGCAGTGAGGATGGTAGGACTGTCCAGCTTTCCCCCTCTAATCATTTGACCCCTAAAAAAAGAAAAACCTCCATTTTGCTTTCCCCACAGATTTGGAAAACTATTCTGCTTCTCGACTGGATAAGGGTCTTTGATCAATTTTGGTCCTAATGCTATGATTGAGGTATCACCTTGGATTAGCAGGCATATTTAAAATGAAATGGAGGTAGGGATTGGGGGAGAGGACTACTGACTCTTTACAAACAAAAAAAATTAGAGTGGACACAAGACTATGTATGTTTAGACAGCAAAAAGTCCTACCACTCTCAGCATTTTCCAGCCAGCAATGCTGGAAGTGCCAAAAACTTGTTCTCTAAATATGCATAGGGTTGCACATTTAATAGGTTTATGAAACATAACAGCATTTTATTGTTCATAAATCAATATGAAATTATCATATTCTACAAAGAATAGCAGCTAACAGTATTTTGTGTCTTTTATACTGTACAGATTGTCATTGCATTTGCTATATGATTGACAAAAAGAGTAGGTAGAATTCTTACCAGTGACCTCTGTACAGCTGTCATCTGAGTCTGATTCCTCAGGATCAAATACCTGGATGCCTTGAGCTTGAAGCCTCTGCAGTTTTGCTTCCAGCTCACGCTTTGCTCTCAGTAAATCCTGAATTTCATTTTCCTTGGTTTCTCTAAAAATCTTTAAGTGAAAGAGGAGGGAACAGAGGAGCATTCTAACCAGACAAATGTTGCCACTTGCAGCATATGCACCTCTTTATAAAACCCTGTAATATTTTGTGAAGACTCCTTCATACTGGCATGAAATTAATACATTCCTTCAATGGTGTCTAGCCATTGTCAGCCAACAGGTGTCTAGCCAACAGGACCCTAGGACCCCACTCACAGAATGTGAAAGACGGAAGGAAAACAGGAAGGCACAAACAAGACCTGCACCAAAAATTCCCACATGGAGTGCTTGTATTCAGGGATCCAGCACATTAGCCATTATTTCTTCAAGAATAGGCCACTCCAAACCCCAGCACCAAGCATTTTCATTTCATCATCCCCACCAATTAGCAAGCTTCATGCGCACTGAGCTTGCTTAGTCCTTATGGGGGATTTTGGGGGTTGGAAGTTACACGTTAGGATTTTTGTTTTTGATGTTTTTGTTGTCGTTGTTTTAACTTCTGCAAATCTTGGAATTCCCTTATAACATGGCAGTGCTGCCCTCTTTTTCCTCAGTAGCCCTATTTTGGCTTCACTCAGCCCCTAAATTCACTTTTAGAGGGAAAGATTTACCTTAAATTGTCTCTTCACTTTGTCCCGGTCATGTTCAAATGTAGCAGCTCTCTCCATGGCTTGATATTTGGCTTCCAAAGCACTTTCTTTCTCTCTGAGTATCTTTTGGTATGTTTTCTGAAGGGCCTGAAAAAAGAGTAGCACTATTTATTTTACCTAGAGTGAGAAAGTACAGTTAGCAAGCGCTCAGCTGCTAACCTTTAAGTGTCACAAGACTAAAATTAACAGTTTACAGAAAGCTCTCACTTCCAAATTACAAATCTGTAGTTTGATTACATTTGGCCTTGTAATTCTATGCCAGTCCACGGGTGCCGCAAGCCCTCCCAGTTACCTGAAGCTCTGCTCGCAATCGCTTGTTCTCCTTGTCCAGCTTGGCCTCCTTCTTCATCATAGAAGCCACCTCATTGTTTTTGCTGATGCGGAAGATCTCATATTCTTTTTTCAGCCGTTCGTATTCTGCCATACTTTCCAGTTCTTGCACTGAGGCGGTAGATTTGAAGCTGGCCCCTATAAGGCCTCCGGGCCGTGAGGTACCTACACGACGGAAGGAGCTGCGCAGAAGACGAGCTTTGGGTTTTACCTCCACGGGGATCTCACAGGCTTCACCACCACCTCCCTCATAGGTGTCTTCAATCACTTCCGCAATGGTGCCGGTCGGGCTCACCAAAGATGATGCTGTCCCCATAGCTGGGGAGATTTCCTGGTCAGCCCTGCCTTGATGGAAGGTGTTCCCTAACTCAGAGGCCACACTGAGTATCAGATGTTCACCACTCCTTGGTATTTTGGGCAAGACCTACAACTGCAGCTAAGCACTCAGCCCCAGCCATGCAGCCCTGGATTCTCCTCCCCCCCCCCCCCGCATCCCAATTAGCCACAAATGGACACTGGGCTTCTCTTTGCCCTGCTTCAGCTAGCCAACTCTTAAGGCTTGTTGCACAGTTAGCCTTTTATTTCTTGCTAGCAAACTTTAAGTGAGAAGAGACTATAGTTCAGGGGCAGAATACATGGTCTGCATGCAGAATGTTCCAGGTCTGAACCCTGTGTCTACAGGGTTGGGAAGATCCTTGCCTAAATTCCAATCAACAAGCCTGGACTGCAAGAACCAAGGGTGTGACTTGCTGTGTTTCTATGCTTTGTAGCTTATTAGCCTACACGGAAATCTTAAAATTTGCAATTATTTAATTCATGCATGCAAGCCAGCCCTGAAAAAAATAAATTAAGGAAACCACCACACAACCAACGCTTGAGTTTTCCTTCTATGCGTTTACATCACACAGGCAAGATCAAAGCCTCGCACTCCACGTTAGAAGGATCGCCTTGCTCTGGCCAGAACTACCACGCCCTGCTTCTGAAGGCACATTCACGACCATAGATGTCAATCTCCAGTCCACTCATAAACATGTACCGAAAACAGGCCAGAAAATCGTCCCTCTTTTCTTTTTTTTCACCGCACTGGCCCTCAGCATTACGCAGCAGAGGGGAATAAGAACTACGCTTCCCCGGGAGTCAGGCTCTATGGACGCAAAAGGGCTTACTTCTGAGTAGACGAGTACATCATTGCTGGACTCAGTGGGGCTTACACGTACATGACTGCACCGGGGCAATCCACATCAAGGATCAGTGCCCAGGATGCACTTACCACGGAGCTAGTCTTACCCGAATGTGTGGGACTTGCTCCGGGGAAAACACGCACAGGGCTGCTGGCCCTGGAAGAGATCTTTGCTGCACTACGTTGCAAGATTGCAAACTCTTCGAAGAAGCGAGCCTCTCCCAGTCGCTACTCTTTGCGCCCCGTCTGACCCTTCGTAAACGAAAAGCGCACATGGGGTGGGGGGCCGCCCTCAAAAAACCGGTGTGTGTTGGGAAGGGGGTGTTGGGTCTACTGCCCTGCACTTCGGTAAACCCGAACGAGGCGGGGAAGGGAAACTTGCAAAGGAAAGAGTCTCTCAACTTTCCTGGAGCCAACGCGGAGGACCACACGCTCCGTGGGGCAGCGAAGAAGATGCAGCCGTTCGCCCACCTCCTCTCCTCCCCGGTCTGCCTTGATGGGCATGCAGCATAGCCGAAGCTGCCATGAACAGTCTTGGCCGGCGCGGGAGGTCAGTGGGCAACGGGAGGAAGGGAAGAGGCAGTGACGTGGCAGCTCTCGTCCCTCCCTCCTGGCTCCAGCAGGGGACGGAGGCGCCGCCGGGGGGGGGGGAGGAGGAGGGAAAGGGGAGCGGATAGTAGCGGGAAGCAAGCGGTGCTCCAACTTTCGCGCAACTTCCTCCAGCCTGTTCTTCAGCTTTGACCGGCCGGAGAAATTAAAAGCCGGAGGGCTCGAATAGACTATAATCTCGGACGGTCTTCGCTTGGGCTGAGGGCGGGGAAAGGATAGTGCCACTCCGAACTATCTATGCACGTGAAGCGGGGGGGGGGGGGTGAATAGGCTATGACTTTGGTCATCCTTACTATAATTTGCCCATTAGCATTTTGGGCCTTTACCGTGTCAATTCCAGCATATTAGGTGTGTGGACCAAGCAGCCTATTAATTTACCACCTCCAGCGCACAACACGTGTGTCTGTGCAACTGTGTGTTCCACTCTGCCATACTACAATGCTTGGCTGACTAAGGAGCAGAACCCTGTACAGACAAAAAAAAATTACGATCACACTGATGGCTCTTTTCTCCACACCTTGCACAGGGGTTCTAAACAGGGACATGTGCTGGACATCTCCCACTACCATCTTGCACATACGGATACAAGTTGTGTGATTTGTACAACCGGAAGCCCTATGCAAATATTCTGTATAAAGGGTGGTTTGGCTTGCTGTTATGTTGCATTTTTATCCTGCCTGTTTTCCTCTTGTGAGGAAACATGAAGGCTTACATAACTTGCTTTTTATCCTGGCAACCAGAAACCTGTGAGGTTAGACTGAAAGTGAGTGACTGGCCCAAAGTCACCCAGTGGGCATCAAGTGGGAACTAGAACCCAGACCTCCCATGTCCCCAGGCCAACACACTCACCACCACTGGCTTCCACTCTTAAGCACCCACACCAAAGAGTAATCAGCCTGTCTTGAATGGAAATCCCAACAATGAAATGTGGTTGTTAGGATTAAGAAGGATGGTAGTCTTGGGCACTCATTTCCATGGCTGCTGGCTGCATCCAGAGGGTTTGAAATCAGAAAGTGAAGCACATTTTAGTGAAATTGGGGAGGATGGACTAGGTCAACATTCTGAGATGCAGGAGAAAGAGAAGGTGATTATCTCAAGCCAGGTGCTTTCCAGAGCCAGGCAGTTCCTGGGAATGGCCAAGGTGTCCAGCCAGTAGGAGGGATCTCTGAGAATGAGGGATTCTCAGATGCAGGCCAGGTCCCTCCTGCCATCAACCCTATGGCAAGGCATCAGCAGAGATGGGAGGCCCATTTGAATGAGCAGTGCACAGAGAGGAGGCGTGCTTACAGAAAGCTCCTTGCAAGAGGATTGTGCCCAGCCATGTTCGTAAGGAGTTTTCCTGGAGGTAAACACTAGATAGGCTCAACAAACTACTCTGTGCATGCTCCGTTCGGTTATTTGCAGTTAAGCAAATTGCAAGGAAAATGGTCTGTGGCTAACGATTGCTTGAAGGAGGAACCACAGCTTACAACTTAGCTTTCAAAGGAGATTAGAGAAGGAGGAAAAAAAAGGCACTGACAAAAGATTCCAAAAGGCCTTTCTGCTTGACAAGCAGAGCATAACAGGTTGAAGCCAGTCATCTATGGATATTAGCCAGATGGAGAAGCAAACCAATACTATACAGGAAGTGGCTAGTTTGGTTCTAATACTCCATGTGGGGCCTGCTTTCACAGAGTTTTTGCCTGCACAGGAAGTCGGAGGAATACATGGATCTGGGGAAGCTGGAATTGTCAGAACTGAAAAGCAGTGCAGAGCTTCCAAGAAATTTCTTTTACGGTAGAATAGGATTTGAGTAGAAATATTTCTGACCTAAGAGATTGGCAGTAGTCCAAAAGCATGCCACATTGGACTACCCTAAATGAAGATTTCCCACACCTTGATCTGCTACTTAGATTCTTTCAATGGACTGAAAATGAGTCACTTTACAATGAACTTTCCTGAAACAGAGATTTTCAAGTACCCTTTCACACTTAAACTTGCAAATTTGAATTGGCAAGAATTCATTATTCTCTTACCGTTAGTATAATTTAGCAAGGCAATCCAGCTGTTCACAGTTTTGCACAGCTGTTGCAATCCCAGCCTCAGAAAGTGTAGAGACAGGGTGATTTACCATACAAACAGTATTAAATGAGCCAGGCAAATGGAAAGTTTAGCCATTGGGCAAATTATGTTTCCCGCATCTGCCTCATGCCCAGATCACAGAGATTCTCCCATGTTGTGACAGCTAGTATGCTGCACTTGCCTTAGAGATGCTAATTTTGGAGACCTTAATGGTAACCCTAAAGTGCTAATCTTATTGTGTAGGGCAGAACATTTGTAAGAGAGAACTGGCATCATCCGAGAGGGAAACCTAACTTTTCCAGGGACTACTGATTAACTTCCAAAAAAGTTCCTCCTGTTTATTTTTCTCTGGTTGTGCTTATATCTAATCACAGAACCCAGCTGGGAAGAAAATGAGTTCAAAACAAGAGGGGGTTGCCATAGAAATCGCTGTTGAGAGTTTAGAACCTCCTGCCTAGGCCTGGCCCAAGACTTTATGCCCCCTGAGGAAGAATAGCAAATTCAAGGACTCTACCCTCTGCTGCCCCATGCCAGGGGCATAGAATGCAAAGTCCGCCAAGTTACTTGGGATGTGAGACAGAAAATCCCCAAGAGAGCCAGCATGGTGGTGTGGTTAAAGGTGCAAGACTGGGACTCAAGTGATCTGGGTTCTAGTCTCCACTCAGCCATGGGGCTCACTGGGTGACTTTGGGACCCAGGTGCAGTCTCCTGGGTCCCGGTCCCATTCCCCAGAAGGACACCTCCCCCTATTTCCTCTGATTGGCAATTGTTTGGTGGTTTCCCACCTTTTGTGCAGATTTTTCTCATTCTAAAACATTGACATGGCTCTTCTAAGGCTTAGTTCCTTACAGTAAGAATTTTAATCTGCACCATGTTGGTATATTTAGTACTTTGGGCTTCTCATCTAGTCAGTTTTGCCCCACTCACATGCAACCCTTGAGAGCTGCAAAATGAAATGTGGCCCCTGGATTGAAGAGGTTCTGTTTCACAGCTGTAAAGGTTTGAGGGCATGATTCCCTTGCTCTGTAGGCTAGGCTGAGGGAGTGACTAGCCCAATTAACTTCAGGCTGATAAGAAATGCCAAACCAGGAGTGGATCTATGCTAGCAAGCCTTTTGCTCATCAGGGAGGGCTGCTGCAGAATCTGTGCAGAAGAGGCTGAGCACCTGTAGGGACACCTGCTAATTAATATAGACCAATTTCTGTGACGTAGAAAGTGAAATACATATTTCACTTAAGAGTTCAGAAAAAAAATAGAATTTATGTAAGGATAATCTAGCTGATATATTTACTAATCAGCTATATATAGAATACTGCTTAAAACATTTTATGTTAAATGGAAAATCTATTATATATCCATTATTTAGCAATTGAGAATGTTACTATTATTATGCCTCAAATGATCAAATTAATATAATTGCTTTATGAATTCAACTCTTACACTGTTTTATCTGAGAATCAATTATTAATTGCTGGTGGGTTTGTGGATAAGTTATAAGTGAATTATTATTTACTTGATACCCATGTTAAAGGATTTTTTGTAATAACCATGTATTAAGTAAAATTATAGTTATAAAATTGATAGACATAATAATTATTGACTTTTTGTGTAATT